GCCTTGAGGGTTTGCATTAAGAAGTCTGCTGTGATTCTGATGGGCTTTCCTTTGTATGTGATTTGTTTCTTTTCTCTAATTACTTGTAGAATTTTTTTCTTCTGTTGGGTTTCTGGAATCTTATCTATTATATGCCTAAGTGTAGATTTTTTTTTGACCAAGGAAAGTTGGAGTCCTATATGCCTCACTTGTCTCTATGTCAAGTTCTTTTCCCCCCGCTTGGGAAGTTTTCTGCCATCACTTCTGTGAATAGTTATTTAAATGTTGTCTGCACTCTCTCCTCTTTCTTCATTGACTCCGATCTGTCTTATGTTATTCTTCTTTGCATCATCTAGCACTTGCTGAATTGATGTCCCATAATCCCTTACTATTTTAAAGAGAGTTTTCTTTTCCTGGTACACCAATTGCAATCTTATCTTCTATATCTGAAATTCTGTCCTCACACTGGCTCATTCTGCTGCATAAATTTTCAATGGAGTTTTTAATCTTCTAGAAATCTTTGCATCTGTTTTATGGATTCCATTTGTTTCCTATATTGGGATTCCATCATGTTCCTCAGCTCCTCTATTTTTTCATCTGTGTCTTCTCTAGATTTAGTGATCATATCTTGCACTGTGGGCACAATCTCTGCTGTTATCTGAGAAATTATTTATTATTTCACTTTTTCCAGGTATCCTTTTGTTGCCAGTTCAGGGAGTCCAGGTGGTTGAGTATCAGAGTGTTCCATCTTGTTTCCCTTTGGGGTTGCTGTAGGTGATCTGGAAGTCTGGTTTTGAGGCCTTTTTATGTGTCTGCTCATTTCGACCAGGCGAGGCGGGGGGCATGCGTGGCTCACCTCCTCTGTGCTGGGCATGGTGGTATGGAAGCCTGGAAGCCTCCTCCTTTGCCCTGGGAGCGGTAGTATGGCGGCCTGTAAGCCTCTTCCTCTTTGCTGGGAGTGGTGGTTCGGCAACCTCTGTGTCTGTATTGAATATGTAAAGACTTCCTGGTCCTTTTTTCATAAAGTAGAATAAGAACTATTTATCTAGCATTTACATTGTATTAGGTGTTGAAGGTAATCTAGAGATGATTTACAGTGTATGAATGAACGGATGCAGGTTGTATATAAATACTGTGCCATTTTATATTAAGGGCCTGAGTACCTGCTTCTGTATCCACCAGGGGTCCTGAAATCAGTCCCCACAGATACTGAGGAACGACTGTATCTGTATAAGACAGACAAACAAACAAACAAACAAACAAAAATACTCTTTCTTGCCCATCCAGAATTGAGTTTCTATTTACTAGTTATAATTCATGATAAGTCCTTGGTTTAGTTGTTTTGGAGTAAATTTCCTGGCCAATTTAATAATCATTTTGCCTAAAAAAATTTAGCATTCAATTTTTAAAGTGTTTTCTTTGTTTCTTCCACATATTTGTCCCAGGTTTTGTGATGTTACTAGGCATCAGTGATTATTGGCAAAATGGTGATTGTTTAATTTCATTATTCTTGTTTTTATAGTTGACTGCTTGTACAAAGAGATACTTGTTTTTTTCTCACCTGTCCTATTACCCTGAGTTGCAGTTCATAAAGGAAAGATGAAAAATAAGAGTTCTGTGGGATGCTCCAGAGGCTAGTACTGTATGTTAGCCTTCTGCTGCTGCTGGGACAGATTACCATTTTAAGTTGGTGGCTTAAAAGTACACATTTAGGATCTTACACGTTTGGAAGCCAGAGGTCTGAAATAGGTCTCACCATGTCCAGGTGGTGGCAGCTCTGTGTTCTTCTAAAGGCCCCAGGGCTCTTTGTCTTTTCCACCTCCTAAGGGATGCCTGGTTTCTAGACTGCTGGCTCCTTTCTAGCTTCTCAGCCAGTAATAGTTGAAGGAGTCTTTTTCTGTTTTATTTATTTATTTTTTTGGTACCAGGGATCAAACTCTGGACCTTGTCCTTGCGAGGCAGGTGGTGGAACCACTGTGCTAAATCCACAGCCCCTTTTTTCCCTTTTCTATTTTTCTTTTGGTACTGGGGATTGAACTGGGAACCTTGCGCTTGCAAGGCAGGTAGTGGAACCACTGAGCTAAATCCTCAGCCTCGCCCTTCCTACTTTTAAGGATCCTTTTGGTTAAGGACCTATATGCTAATTCAGCATAACATTTCTATTTTAAGGTCAGCAGATTAGCAACTTTAATTCCATTTGTTACTTTTATTCTCTTTTGGCACCCGAGGATTAGGATGTGATCATTTTGGAGGAGCTGCTATCCCAACTATCAGGTTGACTTTAAAAATATTATTATGAACTCATGGATTTCTCACTTTTTTTTTTCTTTGGTGCTGGGCATTAAACTGAGGGCCTTGTGGATGCTAAGCATGTGCTTTGCCATGTAGTTGTACCTCCAGGCCTGATTTTGGAGGTATTTTAATTCATTGGTATTATCCTTATTTAAATTCTAATTTTTCTCACCTTGGACAGTGGAAGCTTATTCTGGTTGATTTCTGAGTTCCTGGGATGTAATCTTTGATAGCTTCCTTTGGGTATGAAAGGAAGTCTGGGACCGTCTTGTGCATTCCTGCTCTAGGTTTGCAATCATCCCTTTCTCGGATGCAGTCTTGAATGTGCATCAGAATTACCTGGAGGACTTGTTAAAACATCCATTGATAGGTCTACCTACTTCAGAGACTCACTTAATAGGCCTGGGGTGGGGCCCTAAATTTGCATAGTTAGTTGTCAAATGATGCTTATTATGCTGTTTTAGGGCCTACACTTTGAGACCCACTGCTTTAAGGAACTGGATTCTTCAGGTAGGAAATGGAATTAGAAATTACAGTCTGTATACCAGGGAGCACGCTACCTCTGGCCTTTTTCTGTGGAAGGAAGTAAATAAATAAAATATGTTCATATTGATGGTTAAAATTTAAATTTATAATTACAAGTTTTTAACTTCTTTTCTGTTTGTATTTCTTTTCCCATGCTTAAAATCTTGCTTCTTATGAGATTATTAATTACTTACCTAATGTACATTATGTACATATACATAGTTTTAGGATAACAGTACCAATATTAATACAACATGATTACTGAAATCAGCTTAAGATTTTTTGCAGTCCCTTTGTTTTTATATAAATATTTCACCTAGGTATGTATAGATTACTCTGCCTTCATGGTACTGAAATAATTCCTCTGTTTGCATGACCAGTCAACTTGATACAAAGATTCATCTGTTTGTTTGCTCTGCTTTCAGTTTTAGATGATTTTTCTATTTTAAAGATAATTATGTAAGCATTTAAATGGTCCCAATGTCATGTCTGTAAAATAAATTGTAGGCCCCCCCCCCCTTTATTTTTGAGACGTAGTCTCAGTATGTAGTTCAGGCTGGCCTTGAACTCAACTAGCTGAGGCAGACCTCCAACTTGCGGTGATCCAATCCTCCTGCCTCAGCCTCCCAAGTGCTGGGATTATAGGTGTGCGCCACTATGCCTGGTCCCTCTTTCTACCTCTTCTACCTTGTTCTGCCCTGTATTTTATAGGCACATTATTTAATTTGTTCTGTGGTTAAAAAAATGGCAGTGTGCTATACATACTTATTTCTCTTGGGTTTCCCTTCCTCTTTCTCTCAACTTAATATATTCTGAACATTACTTTAGAGTAGTATTTGTAGATAGAGTCCTCATTACTTTCCCTTTATAGCCTGAGAGGGCTCCATTGTGAGACTGTAGCACAAGTTTATTCCCTGTTGGTGAACATTTGGATTGGGTACAACTTTTTGCTGTTCCGAATTATACTTCAGCATTACAAATAGTCTGTATTTTAAGGTAGTCATACTCATACTGTATGCTGTTTTTTCCTGCCTTCCTTGACATTATAACATGAATATTCTGTTATATAAATTCTTTGTAAATGACATTAAGACTTTATTCTGATAATTAAAACAATACAAGATTACTTAGAAATTTTTAGAAAGTCAGAGGGAAAAAAAGTAAAAATAAACCACAGTCTTTCTACTTAGGGATACTTACTATTTTGATGTATGCCCTCAGGGGCTTCCAACATTTGTATAAACATTTAGAAGGCAGTCAGTACATACATTTTGGTACTTAGGTTTGTTTTTATTCATGATTATCCTTTTTTAAAAAATACTGTACTTTAAAATTTTTTCTATTATTTCTCTGTTGTTGGCCTTGTCTTTCTGATTTTTCAGCATTATAAATAGTAAATGTGTGCATAAAATTTTTTCCAAATTTCACATAATCTTAAAGTTGGTTTCTATAAGACTCTAAATGGGAAGGAAGTGTATGTTTGTTAAATATATCTTTAGCTTATTGTCTTCTAGCAGTAATTTGGCAAGGCACACATGTAAGAGATTGTGACCTTGAAATTTTTGATAAATTCCATTTTTTCTTTTTCTTCTGATAGGACCTAAGAAATGAAGTTGAAAAATTACGCAATGAGGTAAATGAACGAGAGAAGGCAATGGAGAATCGTTACAAGAGTCTTTTGAGTGAAAGCAATAAAAAATTGCATAATCAAGAACAAGTGATCAGACACCTAACAGAAAGCGCCAGTCAGAAGGACTTGTTGCTTCAGGTACCATAACCTTTTTTTTCTTTTGTATTTAAATCTTTTGATTTAGCACCCCCCGCCCCCCCACTCTTTTGCAGGAAGATTTGTGATTTTAGTCTCCATTGCTATGATTCAGAGCACTTTAAGTTTTCTGTATCATTTGGGCCTTAGCCATTAGGGAGGTAAGAGAAACAGAAAGCTCGGAGGGAAGAACTCATCCTGGGTCATGTGCTGGGCAGCTGGTGCCTGGCCTGTTCTACTTCAGTGGCCAGGCCACTCAGTGAGGTACTTATGCTGTGAATACTGCCTGTGCCTGATTTAGGACAGGCCCCTCCTCTCCTCTGTATTTCTCTGACTCTTCCTTTCAGTTTTGGAATTCCTTTCTTGTTTGGTGTGTCATGAATTTTTGAGATTGAATTCAGACTTACAAGTAACCATGATGGACTGAACATAGATGTTTAATTCTGCTTCCTATGGAAAGCCTCAAAGACTAACTAGGAGAATTGGGAGGACGTACAACAGTAGGTGTGAATGGACAACCCAGTGTTGGATAATAGTGGATGAGCAATGGTCACTGCATAGGATTCAGCTTTTGCCATTCTGGTGCATGTTTGGGAGTGAAAAGGCAACAAGAAGCAAACTGAGGGGGCCAGGGATTTAGCTCAGTGGTTCCGACACCTGCTTTGCAAGTACAAGGTCCCGAGTTTGATCCCCGTACGAAAACAAAAAAAAAGAAAAAGAAGCAAACTGATTTTGATATAACTCCAGAAAGGCTCCGCAAGTTTTGAATGTAACCTGATAACTGAAAACAGGAGATTTAGCTGGAATCTTAAGCAGTTGTAGGTGATGCTTTTCTCCCCACCAGCAGGAGATCTCTGGAGACCTTAAACCATAGAAACTCGAGCCTGGAGGTCACCAGATGCAACTGAAAGCAGGAGTGGATTGCTTGAATGAAAGTGGGGAGGAAGTAAGTATTCATATTAAGCAGTGAGATTCCTCTCAGGAGAGAAAAATCGGAAAGGTACTGAGAGTTGAGAGTCCTCCAAGCCAACAGCCTGGTGCCCACCTGAGCATCTCACAGTGAGGCCACTGCTGCCAGGGTCTTGTTACTCTCAGTGCTTCTGAGCACTTTTAACTCTTGAAGGGAGGTAGATTGCTTGAGTCCATCAAACAGGAGAAAAGTGTTTAAGATGATAGACAGAGGCACACTGACAAAGGCACACAGGAAATAGAAACAATGCCAAATTAGATAGCTTTTAAAAATCCAAAAAATTCAATGCTATAACATCATAAGCTAAGAAATAATATCAGGATCTGACTTTTAAAAAGATACCTACAAAAGAAAAATGACCTATTTGGAATTCAGAGTATGATTGTAGATATAAAATGATTAACAGAAAAGTTAGAAGATAAAGTTGGGTAAGTCTCCCAGAAAATAGAGTTAAATGAACTAAAGATGGGAAAAAAGGAGAAAAAAGATAAGGAACCTAGAGGCATAATTCAAGGGCTCCAAAATATGACTAACAGGAGTTACAGGGAGACAGAACAGGCAAAGTAGAGGGAAGAAAAATTTCCAGGCAATGAGAGACTATTTCCCAGAATGGAAGGACAGCTGTTCCTACACTGCAAGGCCCTGACCTGTTTCTTGCACAGGGAGTAAAAGAAGACCATATGCCTCGGCAAGTCATTGTGGAATTTCAGGACACAGGGATAAAGAGAGGATCTGAAAGGCTTCCAGAGAGAGGACAGTATAGGTCACATAGAAAAGATCTGGACTTGCTATGACATCAGCATTCTTAGCAGTAACAACGGACATAGAAGACAGAGGAACAATGCATTTAGACTTAGAGGAAAAGTGATTTCCAGTCCAGCATCCTGTCCTCACCCAAGCTGTCAGCAAGGGTAAGGGCAGATTAAAGGTGTTGCCAGATGTTTGGTATCCTTAGTCATCTGCCTCTCATGTACTCTTGGAGGAAGCTCTGTGAGGGTGATTCCAGTAAAAAAGGAAGTGAGAGAGAGAGAGAGAGAGAGAGAGGAGGAGGAGGAGGAGGAGGAGGGCGGGGAGGGAGGAGGAGGAGGGGGAGAGAGGAGAGAGGAGAGGGGAGAGGAGAGGAGAGGGGAGAAGGGGAGGGGAGGGGAGGAGAGATGAGGTCCAGAGAGTAGGGAATTCCCTTGGAATATGGCAAAGGGAAGTCCCAGTGTGAAGCTGAGCCACTCGTATGGAGAGCCCTGGGCCTTTGAGGGACAGTGTCAGCTGGGATGGCTCCAAGAAATAAAATGGAACTGGTTGATTACCTGATGTGTTTTAAGTTCTTTTAGAGAGTTTGGAAATAAAATTTACATTTAGTACATAATTAAATTTTATAAACCAAGTAAACAAATTTACTAATTCCAAGAAAGCAAAGAATTGAACATGAACAGAATTGTAATCATGGAACACTGGCTGAGCAGTATTTGCATAGCTATAAAAATATAAATGCGGAATATTGATTTGACTAAAATTTTGATATAATTGTGAGGAAGAGTGTTGAGGTGCAGATGATATGAGAGCTAAATTCTTAAACTTCTATAATGTGAGCAAGTAGATAAAACTGAAACCTAAGCAATAAAGAAATGTGAGAGTAAGAATATAATATAGAAGTGGGGAAATAAATAGCTGAAGAAATAGCTAAAGAGTTGCAAGTTGTTTCTTCTGGAAGTGGAACTTAGAGGTGAGAAATGGGGAGGTAGTGAATTGCTGTTTACCAATTAAACCTTATACAGTGCCATTTGACAAACTATATGTGTATAATTGAACTCGTTAAAAATGAAAATGAAAGCGTAATTCAAGCACAGCTGTATTAGGGCAATTCTAGAAAGGTAGTGTTGGTTGTTTGATTCCTAGTTCTTCCTATTACAGTTCAATGGGTTCTTACAAAGAATTGCTTCTACTCCTCTCTTCGTTGAGTTCACCTAATTTCTTTTAAATGTTTGGCAAGCTCAGTCTCAGCCAGGGACTTAGGAGTAAGCTGTGGTTCTGCGCTTGATTTCCCAGAGAGTGAACAGAACCCGAGTTCAGGAACCTCCCAGTTATAAGTGGTTGGAATACATTCTATCCTTGAACTTGGCCGAAGACCAGAGAAATGGTCTCCAACCCTGTTGTGCTGTTGGAGTCAGATCTTCCCAAGGGTTAGAGTTGGGGATTGTATTGTGTGTCATTAAGAAAGAGCCTTTCAGGTGTGACCAGGCACTAAAGCCATATTCACAATCTTGGATTTTTCTTCCTGGAAATCAGATCTCCTTGTGGATATAGACGATTTAAATTTTGTGAAATTTTCAGTGTCTCAAGAGAGACTTAAGACCTGGTTGGATTTTAATGTAGAAGCCCTCAGATCATCCCAGGTAGGCCAGCAGAATAGGAAGCGGACCCGAGATTACACCCTAGGATGGACCCAGGTGTGTTACTGGTTCTGTGAATCAGAGTCTGGTGTTATCTTCCACACCCACTGAAGCGTAACCACAGTGGTGGCAAGTAAGGAGGGTTTGTGGTGACAGCCATCGTCCTCGACTCTGCCTTGCTGGAATGCTGCTACTCTCTCAGTCGTAATAACTTGGAAATGGAGTTGCATTACAGTTTTGTAATTGCCTAATATTTTGGGATGATGGAAATTATTTAGGGGACCTGTGGGTATTGTGACAAAATAAAAAATCTTCCCTTACTGAGTTTAGGAAAAATCTCTTAATATTTTTTTCTTGATGAAAACTTTTTTATGATTTGTTTCATTTCTTTAGAAATTCAATGAAAAAGATTTGGAAGCAATACAGCAGAACCGTTATTTAATGACTGCGGAGGATCTCGAGTTCAGGAGCGAAGGCTTAATAACAGAAAAGCACTTTTCTCAACAGTCACCAGGCAGCAAACTCATCTTCTCGGAGGTAAGCTTGACTGAAATTGGATGTTCACATGCCAATGTATTCATACTCTCTTCTGAAACATATTTGAGAACTCTTTTGATCATCCTCCAATGCCTCCTTGCTGATAATTGAGCTCACAGCAGGTAGGACAGGGAGTTCTTCGTCTAGCCACCCTACAGGTTAATATTCTTCAGATGAGTCTTATTGTTTGCCCTGCACGTGAAGCCGAGAAATCACAGAATATTAAAAGAAGAGCATCATGTTTGCTCTATCAAGAGTTGCCTTGCAGGAACTATGTGGTCCCAAGTGGTGAGGTTTTTCTGTTCATATGGGCATGAAAAATGGTACAGGAGGCCCTTCATCTCCTAGCCCCAAATTATCTTTCATGACTAGCAATAGCTGATTTCTTACAGTTTCCTGAAAACATGTTTGTTCCTCTGTGCCTTTGTCTGTGCTCTTCCATCTACCTGCACCGCTTTTCCTTCCTGTCTTCCTGCTAACTCCTGAACATCCCTGTGGGTGCCGCCCAACCCTGCTCCAATGTGGCACCTTCTCTTCCTCTGGCTGCCAACGCTTCACAGAGCCCTCTATTGTCACACATGCTTCTCGTTTTGGCATTTGCTTCCCCCTCACCTGAGCCCCCATGCAGCACTGAGGGCAGACCTGAAGGAGTGGGAACTGGCGCTCATCCCTGAGTCCTGCTCAGCCCATTGCTTGGTTCTGTAGATGTTAGTTGAGTGAGGACTGAATAATGCTACCAGGCATCCAGATATGGGACAGGAAAGAAGTTAACTTAGGCCAAGTTTTTTTTTTTTAAACTTGTCTTTAATTAAGTTCATATGTGCAGCAGATCGAATACTCTTACATAAATTAGTTCTCTGATGAATGCCTGTGATTGTGACTTGTGGTTTTTTGAAGTGATGCTCAAAATTATTAACAACCATATAACATGGGCGTTAGGTCTCAGAACAGACTCAGGGAGTAGGGGTGGAGTGGGGAGCTGAAGGCCCACTCTCATGCCAGACTCCACCTCTGCAGATAGTGGATCATGGGGCAGGCCCTAGGGCCCACGATGGGGGCCCAGGGAGTGGGAGAGGTTGGAGTAGATGGGCTTGGGTTACAGTGGACCCTTGGCTTATGAACTCAGTTCGTTCTTGAGGGCTCGTTGTAACTCAAGTTGGTCGATTGAAGGCTCAGGCTCCTCTACACAGCCTTCAAAGTCTCCCTCCTGTACAGGCAGATCTCAGTGTCCTGAGAGAGACATTGGCCCAGGATTTCTCACTTACCCCCACACAGGAAAGGATGTTGTAACCTTTCTTCTAGAACTCTTTAAGGGTTAAATCTGTATCTGAGACCATCTGGAAGCACAAGTGGGTGGCATTCGGGTTGTAACTCATGACTTTGGTCATAAGTTAAAAGTAAAATTCCACTTGTAACTCAAGTTGTTTGTATGTCAGGCCAGTCGAAACTTGACTGTTTTCTAACAGGTGTAGGAGTATTTTAGCAATCAGGACTAGCCGTTATGTTGCATGTCAGTTCAGTATCAGACCCAGTCCTGGCACCATTGGCTGAAGAGTTGGAGCTCTTCCTTAATTCTATTTGTATATTTGCATTTTGCTGATACTCATGAGAGTGGCAGCATGGGTTAGTGGCATCCTTGGGCTGGGCCAGAAATCTGGGGCCCTGGATTTTTCCTTCAGCTCTATCATTTCATTTAGGTAACCTTGGGCAAGTCTGACAAACTAAGTCTCAGAGGGCTAATACTTTGTGATTCTAACTTACATTTATTATATGATTTTGACCAAAGTTAGTAGAGCAGTTAAGATGTACCTTAAACTGTAATAAGGCAATATATTTGAAACAAGATAGTAGCCCATCAGTTTTTTTTTTTAAACAGGGATATAGCTTCACTAATCTGAATATTTAGTTAAATGTTGTTATTTTGAATCACATTTTAGTCACGAAAAAGTATGTTGAACAAAATGTTTGTAAACTTATCGAACAGGGTATTTTTATATTTAATCTCATCAATTTTATCATCTCTGCCATTTTACTTTGAGTTTGTGTGCTAGGCAGTATCTGTACTTAACAGCTACAAGGTGAAAGCCATTCCATGGGTATTTTGGTAATATATAGATCCTGGTGATGTTTAAATCACTGTGTAAAATATTAAAGTATTTTAGCAACAGTTTTAATTCTGTTCTGTAAGACTAATTGCAAATTATGGATAAAGATTATAAATTACCATATAAGAATGATAAATTTCTGGTTGTCAATTTAAGAAACCTCAACTGTTGCAGACCTAGTTTTTTATCTCCCCCTACAAAAGGTTATGCTTTTCAGATTGTAGTCCTTTCTTTGAAGAAAATGTGGATTTCTTCTGCTGTGCTCTGGGCCATTTTGTGTTGATTTAGAATTTATCCTCTGCCCATTTTCACAAAAGGCTCCAGGCTCTGATGATGTCTCCATAGAGTCTGGGTGGTCTGTTTTTCTTCTGATCATTGTGTGATCCTGAGAATTAATGCTAGGTGATCAGGGAATTGAAGAAGAGAGAGTGAAACACACTGATCATATTTGACTTGCTGAAGCCAGAGATTTATAGCTTGGTTATTGACATGGTTGGGACATTGCTGCTGAATTTTCCAAATTTTAAAATAAATGTCTTTGTTGCAGGGCAGTGACATAGCTACTGAAATAGACACCATCTACTTATCAGGCCACTAAATTGCTCTGATTACCAAGAGTGACCCATTAAACTTTCTCTTTACATGTCTGCTGCCCGTTCAGATTGTGGCCTGCACATTACATATGTTTCCTTCAAGTCATAAAGGGAACAATGGCGCAGTAGAAAATAGAAGGTGCTTTAGTGTCAGAATGTCAGTCTTTGGGCCAGGAATTTAGCTCAGTGGTTCTGGTGCCTGCCTCGCAAGCGCAAGGACCCAAGTTCGATCCCTGTACCAAAAAAAAAAAAAAAAGAAAGAATGTCAGTCCTGCTATTTACCAACTCTGTGACCTTGGACAAGGCAGTTAATCTCCTGAAAAGCACCTCCCTAATCTGTAAAGTGGGAATTAGGTGCCTTCCTTCTGAGAGAATTAGAAATAATATAAGTGTACTAGTTGAGGTTCTTTGGGGTGCAAGCTACAGAAGTCAATGTTGAATAAACTGCCTTGCAAGGGGGTCTTAACTGGGAAGATGCTAGATGCTTTTGCAGGTGCCAGGCAGGAGCTGAGCAGCCACACCTTGGGGAAGGTGAAAAGTGTGCCAGTCCCTGAATCTTGAGAGCAGAGGCCATGGGCTCTGTCTCATTTGACACGACTTAGCTCCCATGACTCCCAGATGTCTGGTGTCTCTGTCTAAATCTTGGAATTCCTTGGTGAGAATTGTACTAGTTTAGCGTAAGGTTGGGCCCTGGCTTACAAAAGAGAGACATCTTTCCAGGACTTGGCCCTGTGTTTTGGGGACACCACACTGCAGGGCTTCACTCCACTGTGGAGAGCATACTACAGTCACAGGCACAGCAGATGTGCAGCAGTGACAGGTCTTCCCTGTGAAGAGAGGCCTCCTGTTGGGACTGCTTCTTGTGGAGGGGCTGGGTGGGGGTGAGGATTGGTGACCCCCAATTAAGGCAGGAGCTCTCACTGCTTCCCTCTGGGCAGCCTGGCCCTCTCCCTCTGTGCCTAGGAGATCTACTGGGTTGTCAGCTCTGCTGAGGGAGCCAAATGACTTCATTCTAATGGGGCATGATTCAACATAGAGAAATAAGTGATTGATGAAATGGGACCCAAATGGCTCCGAAGAGTTCATTTATTTAACATGGGTGAGCAATTTGCTTCTAGGAAGACGTTGGACTCTCTGACTTTTTATGCAAAATATCCACAGGAATCTCTGCTCTTAAGATTCATAGCACTCCCCATGTTTCCCTCTTACCTGTTTAATGATCAGTTCTGCAAGTATTTGTGGCTGCATTTGATTTGTGCCAGGCAGTGTGTCTGGCTTGGGGCACTGCTGCTGGCAAGGGGCCCAGGCTGTGAACAGGTGGTTGGCACGCGCGCTCTGGGGCAAGGGTGAATCTGGGTGCTCCGGAGGCTAGAGGAGGGCCAGAAGGTTTTCTGGTGGGCTCTGACCTGAGCAGATGCTGTGGGCTGCCCTGGGATGTGTCAGTGGGGAGTGATAAGTGATGGCACTTGGATTTTGAAGAGGGGAAGGAGTCCCTGCCCCTCCTGGGAGCCTTCGTACAGGGACTTCTCAGTGACCCTGAGATGAGAGGACATGAGAAAAGGATGAGGCAGAATGAGGAGAGTGGTGGCCTGAAGACCCTGGTGAGGGTTGGACTAGTTGCCAGGAAGGAGAGAAGGGGGCTCCGCTGTGCACCCAGGGTCCCTGATGTGGCTGTGAGTTTTCTTCCTCCAGGGCTTAGAGCCCAGCCTCCTGAGATTCAGTCACACGCAGGGGCCAGGATCGGGATTTTTCTCACGCGCTGCCTGTACTGCCTTCCTGAAGTCTCTGTTCCATCCACCAGAAATCTACATTCACTGGTCTTTTTTCCTAGGCCTTGTTGGTTAGCTTTAAGTTACAAGTGCAAACTCTAACTTTACTACCTGTTAGCTGAGTGGTCTCAAACAAGTTACTTCTGCTGCCAGAGAATCAGTTTCATCAACTGAAAAATGGGAAGACTAACAGCCCCTGCTGTTGTGGTGCTAGAGACAGTGTCTGTAAAGGACTTAGCATAGCACCTGGAACTTAGGACAGCTGGCATTTATCCAGTGTTTACTCTGTGCCAGGCATTGTTCTGACAGCTTTGCATAGATTAACTCGTTTAACCTTAACAATCCCATGAGATACATAGGATTATCATCTTAATGTATAGGTGAGGTGATTGAAGCATAGAGTAGCTGAATAATTTGTTCAAGGTCACACAGTTAACAGGGTCACATACTACTAACCATCACTGCCTCTCCTGTTAAGTGCTCAAGAAACAGTAGGTTATGTTTTGTTTGATTTTGAGTAGGCTGGCCGTGAACTTGCAGTCCTCTGGCCTCAGCCTTCCAAGTGCCAGGATTGCACGTATGGGCTACCACACCTGCCTAAGGATTTATGAATTTTGTCACTGGCTTTTCCTGTCTTCTTTGGCTGGCCTTTGTGTGGTTGGCAGTACCAGTACTGCCTGTGTGGTCACCCAGTGCTAGGCATTATTGTGGGACAGTGAGGGGTGGTCTGAAGAGCACAGGCCTGTGGCACATGCCCCTGCCTCATGACCCTGACCTCTCTAGCATGGGGAGGGATGACACCTTAGTTGTTGTGGGGATCCTGGAGAGCATTTACCATGGTGGCTGACATGCTGAGGACTTGGTCTCCTGTGGTCTCTTTGTCTTGATGCCCTTTTCAGCTCTGAGCCACTCTTTGGGATGCTCTGGCTGCGCAGGTGCTTGTGTGTAGGCAGGAGCTGGGAGAACCCCGCAGAAAGTTTCTGTGCACAGAGGCATCTGGGAGCTCCTGTGCCTGTGGCACATGGTATGGTTCACACTAGGGCCTGACATTTCCAGCAGTCTGGGTGACTCACTTGTCAGGACTGTCCTGGTGGTGTAGCACTGAAGGCCCTTACTGGACAGGTGCTGCCAGGCCCTGTTTTCTGAGGGCTGGAAGCACAGCAGTGTTCTCCTGGGGCTGAGGTCTTAGCCTTTTTTCTCTCTGTGTCCCTTTGGCAGCCTACCTGTAGCCAAGGATCACTTTCTCTGGAAACATGTGTAAATGCGTGAAGTGGATTATGAAGGATACCAAACATTTTGAAATTTAGTTTTCAAAATATAAAAAATTATGCTGTAAAATGATATGACAGTGACTGTAGTGACCATTATAGCTCTGAAGTAGTGATAAGAAGAAATATTTTGTGGTATCTGTGTTATGTATAAAATAGTTGTATTTCTTTTGATGAGGAAGTCACCAGGATAACACTAGTACCTCTATGGTTTATAGTGATACTAGTATTCCTTCAACTCATAATTGAGAGGTATGCTAAATTTCAGCTAGAGGGTAATGGAAATTAAGATAAAATATTTTCTTCTGTTCACATTCTTGGAGCCTCTAGATTTTAGTTAGGTCAAGAACCCCTGGCCAATCTGGTATCTTTTTTTTTTTTTTTGTACTGGGGATTGAACTCAGGACCTTTTGCTTTTGAGGCAGGTGGCGGCACCACTGAGCTAAATCCCTGACCTGCCAGTCTGGTATCTTAATATGAACTACAGAGGCTGTTCATAGTCCTGTTTGTCCATTAATAGAGTCTTCTCTCTAGCATTTGGACAGCACTTCATTCATACTGGCCAGTGTGGTAGGTGTTCTGCACACATTAACTTCAATGTTTATCATGTACATTGAAATAATTTGAAATTTATAGAAAAGTTACAAGAATAAAGGATTTTATTTTTTTCTGAGTCACCTGAGAGAAAGTTCCAACTGAAGCCCTGTGCTCTCTGATTACTTTAGGGTCTATTTTCCCTTTAAATAGGGTCACTCAGCTCAGCCACCAGAGCTGAGAAATTAGCCAGGATGATGACTCCCTTCTAATCCTCAGACTCACTTGTAGTTAATCCATTGTCTGAGCAATGCTCTGCAGTAAAAGAGTTGGTTCAGGATCACACCTCACTTTTTCCAGTCTTGATTCTTTAGTCTGTGGTCTGGGACCGTTCCTCAGTTTTTCCTCGACAGTTATCACCTTCAGACCTTTGAAGTGTTCAGGCCAGTATGTTGGTGGATGCCCTTCAGTTTAGGGGTTTCTGATCTCTCCTTATAGTTAGATCCAGTCTGTACCTCTTTGGCAGGAGTGTCACAGTAGTAATGCTGTGTTCTTCTAATTGTGTCTGGTCCAGTGGCACATGATTTCAGCTTGTCCCATTACCATACTAGCCATCCTGACTTTGTAAAGTGTATCAAGGCAGTGTCTGCCAGGAGTCATGACTGTCCATTTACTCTTTTTTCCCTTTTATTAAATATCTTGTGGGAAGTGTTTTGTGTCTGTACAAATTCCAATCTTCAGGCTTTCACCTACTAGTTTTATCATCTTTTAATGTTTCTTGGCTGAATTATTTATTACCATGATGGTTGCCAAATGGTGATGCTTCTAATTCCATCATTCATTCTACATTTATTATCATTTTTCTGTAAAGAAAAGCTGATTCTTTTCGTTTACTCAATCATATCAGTATGGATTCATGAATTTCTGTTTTAATCAGTGGGTTATAATCTAACATTATCATTATTTTGATGCTCAAATTGTCCCAGATTTGGCTGGTGGGAGCCTTTTCAAACTGGCTTCTCTGTCATTTTGACAATATTCAGCTAGCTAGCTTTCTCTCTCTCTCTCTCCCTCTCTCTCTCTCTCTTTCTTTCTCCTTCCTTCCTTCCTTCCTTCCTTCCTTCCTTCCTTCGTTTTTTGAGACAGGGTCTTGCTGTGTAGTTCAGGCCGGTATTGAACTCACTATGTAGTCTAGGCTGGCCTCAAACTCATGGCAATCCTTCTGCCTCAGCCTCCCAAGTGCTGGGATTACAGGTGTGTGCTACCACACCCACCCCATCATTTCTTCTTTAAAAAAATTTTTTTGTGGCTTTATTGAAGCATACTTGACAAATAAAAATGTTATATTTTAAAGTTGTACAATGTGATATTTTGATATATGTATACATTGTGAAATGATTACCATAATCAAGTTAATTAATATATCTATTACCTCACAGTACCAATTTTGGGGGACATCTTTAGATCTACCCTCTTAGCAAACTTCAAGTGTGCAATACAGTATTGTTCACTATAATCACTGTACTATACATTGTATCTCCAGAACTTACTCATCTTCCATAACTGAAGCCTTGTATCTGAAAAGTAACTCCCTCTTTTCCTCTCGCCCCAGCCCCTGGCAAGCAACATTGGACTTTTTAAGCATTTCTTTATTTTCTAGCACAACGGAATGCTGGAAATATATCTTCTGTTGTCCCTGATTTCCCTTGTCCCAGTATTGGAATTGGTCCATGTGTTCCTGTTTCCTTACGGTGCACAGTGTATCTTTTATCTGCTCTATAACTCTGTCTAATGGAGGTTGTTGTTCAACATTTTATAGGTAGGAACGCCAAGGCTCCTGGTAAGTAACTTGGCCAAACTAGTAAGTGACAGGGCCAAAATTTAACCTTAAAAAAAAATTCACAATTGGAAATGCCTCCATCTATATCCCCATTTCATAAAAGTGGGGACTGAACCTAATACAGGAGTGTTCAGCTGCTTACCCAAGGCCACACAGCTAACTTTTCTCTGTTCTGGGTGCCTTCCAACTGCTACACACTTGACTTCTACTCTACTTTAACACGTTCATGACGGCGCTGTAATTTATAGGTCTTGGTGCTGGGTGGCTTGAACCACTGGTGGTACATACAAGACTGTCTCATCAGGAGGCTTGTAGCCTCCTGGTGGTACCAATGGATGTAGTCACTTTTATCAGTCTTTTTACTAACAAAATTAATAAAAAGCTGCCAGATAGGACAAATCATGTGTGTACCACTGGTGGTTCAAGCTGTCAGGAACATGTTACATTTCTTGACCCCGGGTCTTGTTAGGTTTTGGTTTATGAATTTCTCTTCTTTGGAGCAAGAGCAAGTGTGGCAAGACATTTTCTTTGTAGTGTTGTGAAAATAATGATCAATAGCTTTGAGGAGTGATAGTTTCACCTTGGGCAAATAAATTCTATGATTCTTAGCAGTCGTTGGATATTGGAAGCACAGCTCTCAGCTTTGTGCTGGGTAAATGTATTATCTTCACGTTACTATAACAAAACACTTGATGTGTCTACTCTGTAAAGAGAAAAGATTGATTTTGGCTCACAGTTTTGGATATTTCAGTTCAAGATTGGTCAGTCCCATTCATTTGGGCTTCAGGTAGGGGTACTGGAGGCAATGGCAGGGAATGAGTAGTGGAGCAAACTGCTCACCTCATGGCCAGGGAGCAAAAAAGAAATAGAAGGGGGCTCCATCTTGAGGGCAAGCCCCTCATGACCTGAGGACCTCCCACTAGACCCTGCTTCTCAGTGTTTCTATTGCCTTCCAGTAGTTTCACCCTGGGGACCGAGCTCCTAACACATGGCCTTTGGGGGACGTTCCAGATGCGCACTCTGGCAGGCAGTGGCAGTCAGGCATTCTTCACTCCTCCTGCAGGTGGTGCTATCTGACTGGTCTGAACTGGAGCCTGGCTTGGCCTCACCTCCCTGTGGTTTTTAAAAACCAGAACTAGCCACATATGTTTGCATAATGTGGAGCCACACTCTTTAAGATTCTTCCCCTAATGCCAGATGCCTTTGTTATTTCCAGGAAAAGCAACAGTCAGACTATGAAGAGCTAATGCAGGTCTTAAAGAAGGAGCGGGACATCTATACCCACCTGGTGAAGTCTCTGCAGAACTCAGACAGGTAAGGGTTTCTGTTTGGACGTCATGTAAGTGCTGGTGGCATCAGAGCCCTGCCAGTTTGCTTAGGAAGTTTACAAAGTGCTTGGATGGTGATGGTCCTGCTTAACAATCAGGTATTCCTGGTTTCTGTCAAGAATTACCTCACAACAACATCAGATAAATTATAATGCTCAGATTTTAAAATACTTTATTATATACTTAGAGATGCTTCCATATGTATTGTTACCTCAGATGATGGTCACAGCTGTTCTGTGAGGTAAGTAATAATGTTGTACCTCTTTTACACGAGTCCGTGAAACCTAAGGGAGGTTAAGTGATCTGTCCACAGTCACACTGATGTTGCCAGAACTCCAGGACCCAAGAAACCCTCTGGGCCTCGGAGTGACCTGGTCTGCAGATGATGGATGATTTGGTGCCTGGAGGTGTGGTGAGGAGAGTGAGTTACAGGCCAGCGGTCTTGTTCTGGTCCTGGCTTTCCCACTCGCTAGGTCTGTGTCCCCAGGCAAGTGGCCTGCTCCAGACTTCTGTCTGCACATCTATAAATGCAGGATTGATCTCAGAAATTTTTCACATAAAAACAACATCCCTCTTCACACGAGAATAGTTACAGTTGAAAGGATATGGTATCTGGGATTTGTTTCAAAGCAGCACAGAAGCTGAGGACGCGGTGGAGATAGCAAAAGAACAAGATTGGCCCTGGCTCCCCGGGTTGTTGGCTGGGCTGTGGGTAGATGGGGGCAGGGCTCGTCATATGACCTTGTCTGTTTTTGTATTTATCCAGAATTTTCTATAGTAAGTGAACCAGCACCACCCCTCAGTTTTCCTTTGTGGACACCCTTTGCAAGCTCTTCCTGTTCCTAGGACTGTGTGCTCCTGCCTCTGCCCTCACCTGTGTTTTTTTCCTGCCCCCCTGGCCTCCCGCGCTTTGTCTCCCACTGCTCCTTCAAAATTCGCCTCTGTGTCACTCTAGTGAGGAGGCTCAGCTGGCCCCCAGCTCGTTGCCCTTCTGTGTTTCTTCTGCCTGACCCCCTGCCCGTCCTGTGGTTACCTCTGGCCACTCTGCCTGCTCACCTCCTCCAGGAGCTCCCCCAGGGTCATTGGGAGCCTCTGGCAGCTGTGCTGTCCAGGGCCTTTGGGAAATGCTTCCTGCAGCGTGCCCCTCCCCCGGCTCAGTCCTCCAAGCTACACGATGATTTCTAGATTTTAAACTCTGAAATGAATTTAGAGGAAACGAAAACATGTTGATGAAATTCTGGGTGTGGGCATCTCTCTCCAAAAGTGAGCTTTTTCAAGAAGCCTCAGCTGCTGGCCATTTTCACTGGAGGAGGGGCTGAGTCACAGAGAACTCCCAAGAGGGCCTGCACCAGTTTCACTCTAGTTGTGCAGCTTCTCTGGGGAGCCAGGGTAGATTCTAGGTGCTGAGAGGTGCTGTGGGAAGTGACTGTCAAGCCCTCTCAGCATCGTGATTGGTTCTGAGTCTCACAGGTTCTTTCCTAATGAACACAAATGTGGATAAGACGGGTCAGAAGTGGGTCAGAGCAGTGACCAACCAGGAAACTTACAAGGTTTCCTGTTTGCCTTTAGACTTAGAGTACATTTAGGGAAAGATGGCTTGGGTCCATATCCCAGCTCTGTCACACAGCAGTTCCGAGCTCTCGTGCAAATTATTTCACATGCTGAGCCTCAGTGTGTGGGTTTGTAAAGTGCAGATTGGCTGTTCTGCCTACTTACCTACCCACTCTCTACCTACCCACGAACTTACCTACTTATCATCCAACTTATTTACCTATCTACTCACCTGCCTATCAACTAGTTACCTACCTACTAACTTACCTAGGTACTATCTAGTTATCTACCTGCCAATTTACCTATCTGTTCTCCTGCTTACCTCCCCACCTGCCTGCCTATCTCCCTACCTTGCAGGCTTGTTCAGTTATAAGAGATGGTACTGTGTCAATTCCTAGCACTGCCTGGCACAGAGTAAGCACTCAATAAATAATAGCACTTACTAAACATGACAACATGAAGTGCTCCTGCATGCCTCACTGTGCCAGCATTCGTGAGCTGAGCTCCCAGGCTCTTGGATCCTCAGACCCTGACATATCCAGGGGGCAGAACTGTGGGTGAGGGCAGGTGGCATGCTCACTTGTGACTCCAGCAGTGCAGAAACTGGCAATAAAGGAGAGTGACTGGAGACACAGAACATATTTGTGATTAAAATGGGAACGAGAGGAGAGAAACTGTGTGCAACTGTGAGCCTGATCCTTTCACCTTTCCTTTTTGTTCTCTATGGGAGCACTTGGAAATCTGCGGCCTTATTCCACCTTATGTCCCTGACATGTTAAGGGAACCATAGTGAAGAACCATCAGAGCTGTATCTCTGTGGCCTCAGAGCCTAGGTCCTTGCTGGTAGCCTCCCTCTCAAGGGCTGGTTCACTCTGCACTTCCTGTAACCCAGGCTTGCTCAGCCTCAGCAGTACTGTGATTGGGGGTTGTTTTTTTTTTTTTTTTGTCACAGAAGTTGTCTTGTGCATCAAAGGATGCTTAGCAATATCCCTGCTCTACCAAATGCCAGTAACACACTCACCTCCTCCTACCACAGTTGTGACAACCAAACATGTCTCTAGACCTTGACAAATGTTCTGAGGGGGTGGGGGGACAACATTGTCTCCAATGAAACTTATGGTTGTAATTTGTGAGAATCAAAAATTTTGGCTCATAAGTATCTCTTCTGTATGGGAGTCATTGAGGTATGCAAAAGAAAAGAAATGATGTTTGCTGAGCACCTCCTACACATTAGGGACTGTGTCACATGCTTTCTGATGTCACATTTCATTTATTCCTCCACAGTCTCAGAAGAAGGGTGACATTATCCTCACTTTACAGATGAGACAGTTTATCTGGCTGGTCAAGGTCAGGGAGCTGTGTAGTCACAGTATGGCATTGTGAGCTTGGCTCTCTGTCTCATTTTTGCTTCCCGTAGCCCCTGCCTCCAGTCCAGAAAGCATACATGGGGCTTTAATTTCCTTCTGCACGAGTCACCTTTTGTTCTGCCAATTCCTCACATCTTTATACAATTCTGGAGTTGAGAAAACATAAATGACAGACACAGGAGCAGCAGCTGTGTCCTTTTCACCCTGTCAGAAATGGAGGAGGGAGTGTGGCAGTTAGCTATCCCCAGCCCTAATCGCAGGAGCTTCACTAAAACAATCTCCTTTTTTTTCCTGGTTAAATGTCTCAGCAGCACAACCACATCCAAGCTGTGCTGTGCTGTGACACCTCGGGAAGGTTTCCCATCAGCCGTACAAATTGATCATTATGATTGTCTTCAAATGGAACTAGGTACAAGTTGCTGGTAGGCCCCTTCCCTTGCAGGAAGGCTGCTTCACAATGAACCGTCCTCAAAGCAGCAGGCACAGAAGATTAGACATAATGGTTTATTTTCCTTCCAGGATATGTTGATTTATGTGTACAGTTAGATGCATAGAGCTGGAAAAAAATCTCTGAAGGAGAAATGGGGTTTGAGAACCTGGCACATGTATTCAGAGCAGTGGCTCCTAGCCAACTGGGGGCTCTGTACCCCTTTGGGGAAATCTGATAAAAGCTTTGGCCCCTTGCCTTAGGAAAATCCTTATAATTAATAAATGTTTACAGATAGTTTCAAAGTGTTGATGAACCCTGTCAGGGAACCAACCATAGGTGAAACACTGGACAAAGAGTGATATAGTCTCTGTTTAGAGAAGGAGGCTTTCTGATTTGTTAAGGTGTTTTAGTGGCTTTAAAAATGTTCATATGCTTTGACCCACTGATTTCACTGCTGGGAATCCTCTTTAAGGGAATAACTTAATGTCAAACCACACCATGGATCTGCACTGTCCAGTAGAATAATCAGTAAATGTGTGGTTATTTAAGATTATGCTTACTTTAAAATTCATAAGATGAAACAGCTCCTTAGTACATGAAGCCACATTTCAAATGTTAGGGAGGCACATTTCCTAGTGGCTACTGTACGAATCAGTGCAGATATAGGATATTTCCATGACTGGAGAAAGTTCTGTCGGATGAGCCACCTCAAGATTCATTCAGACTCGGAGGTATGGATGTTCATGGCCTCACCTGGGTTCTGGGCTTCCAATTCCATGCAAGCTCTCCACACAGCTTAACAGTATATCACATTGATCTGAATGTGAAACTTGACCATCTCCCTCCCCAGTCAAGAAGAAAGGTCCATTTATACTGTGCATTTTTGGGTGGCTAACTCACTGCAGTGGAGTTCTTTTGGCCCTTAAATTGGTCCTTTTCTCTTTTATTATTAGCTCACTCTTCTTCCTTAGTTTTTATTTCCCTCCTGTTCCTTACCCTTTCTTCCAGTATAACTTCTTTGATGGGATCACAGCAGAAATCCTCTGTTTTTCTCTTTTGAAGTCTGAGGGCCAGGTACCTTCCAGGCCCAGAACTCTCTCTTCTACGTCCATCTCATGGCATTATTCCAAACAGAGTTGCACCCTGGAGAATTAGATTATTTCCACCTAGTTACATCTAGCAAGAATTCAGAAATGACCCACATGTCCACCAATAGGGGAGGAGTTACAGTAACTGGTAGGATATTCACCTGATTTAATATTATATAGTCATTAAAAATGATGCAGTATGGGCTGGGGATTTAACTCAGTGGCACCACCTTGCAAGCATAAGGTCCTGAGTTCGATCCTTAGTACGAAAAATAAAATAAAAATGATGTAGTAAATAATTTCCAGAAACATAAAGTAGTATTTAAGCCAAGGCTACACAGTTCAGCATTGTATACGCAGTGTTATTTCTGCCTTGTGATAATGCTTGTAGAGAAAAAGATTAGGGGGAAATGTAGTCTGCGATGTGTTAACTGGGAATGGGATCCTCTTTGTTTTCTTTATACATATAAAAATAAATTTTCTTTGTACTTTAAAAAATTTTCGGCAATGAACATGTATTTACTTTTGTAACTAGAAAAACACAAGTGACATAAAAATCATAGAAAGGCTCGCTAGACTTTGCATCTTAAAGCACAAATAGGTCTGTTTGACAATGTCTGGTATCTTGTTTCACCAAGCATCGACAGCCTGCAGGCCGAGTTAAATGCCATTTTTGCCCTACGGAAGCAACTGGAGCAGGATGTGCTCTCCTGTCGGAATTTGCAAAAGATCCTGGAGGAGCAGATCAGTGAAATCCAGAGGCGGGAAGGTATGCGTTGTCTTCTATGTATACTTCTGTTTGCTTCTTCCATTTGGAGGTCCTCGGCTGAACTTTTATGAGTCCCAGAACTTCATGAGTTGAAGCAGCCCTAGAATTTCACATGGGGATCTGTTTTTGTGGTGGGCATGTTGATGTGACAATGTCCAGTCCATCTGGCTGGCTTCTGCCTTCCTAGTAGATGGGTCCAATAAATTGTATTTATTTTGCAGAGGATCTGTTGCAGGCTTGCTTCTGGGCTGCTTCTACTATATTCCATATCATTTGCTGACCTAGTTTCAGGTAACCTTGAGGACTTGCAATTCTTTCTGTATGATCAACACTCCTCATTGACTGGGCCCTGCTTACCTTCTACAATCTTGCAGGGAGCCTGACAGCAGAGGCATTGGGTTGCACTTACTACTTCCTATTGAAACTGTATCCTGTTGAAATGGCATTTTTAGTGTTGCAGACTCCTTTAGGATGGGCTACAGTATGAGCATTTTGTAGAATCCACACGGCTGGGCTGCTCATCATAGTGTGTCTAGCCCTCTCCCTTGCCAGACCCAGATACCCCTATGGTGTGGGATGGTATTTCATTCCTTTCTGATCTCTAGCTTGGGGTCTGGGACATGTGGTAAGAACTGGAAAATAGTAGTGGGTTTGACATTTCTTGGGTACCTACTGTATGTCTGTGGCTCTTCCATTCTCAGCACTGGTCCTTGCAGTCGTTTCATTGGGCAGAGCACATATTAATTTCATTTTAAAGATGGAGAAGCTGAGCTGAAGGGACAGGGGTGAATTGATTTGTCCAGATTTGAGTCAGGGTGTGCCCCTTTGAGGTCTAGCTCTTTCTAATTTCCTGCCCAGTATTATAGGTGCAGTGGGACTTACCCATGTGTCTTAAAAGCGATACTATTGGGAATGTGCCCCACTCAGTAAATGTCCTCCCCTCCTTTGCCCTCCCCCCTTTTAGATTGTGCCATTTGCTGCAGAGGAGGCAGACCCTGATGTGTAGGTGATTGTGACTCTTGTCTTGGCTGTAGCAGCACTTTTTGCACTTGGTGTACTCACTTCCCAGGAGGGCTCTGAGGCCAGTGAAAATACATCAGACAATTTTATTTCCCCTGAGTTCTACCCTCAGGGTCACATCTAATTTTCCTGTATTCTCGCCTAAACAGAATCACTCACTCATTTAAACTGAAATCACCATTTGCTTGTGCCATTCAGAACGGTCTTCAGGCACAGCGCACAGCACTTGATATGCAAATTGTAATTCAGCACTGGCCTCAGTGAAAACCTACAGCCCAAGATGAAACTCTACATTGAAATATCAGCCTGGAGAGCAAGGAAAATTACTTTTGCTCCAGAGGTGGTGCTTTAAACCCCCAGTGTGTGCTTCTGTACCCCTCCTCCCTCCCCGTTCAAATTGCTATAGATGAATTGCACTGGGAGCCGTCTTGGATCTGTTTCTGATAACTCTTTTTCTCCTCCCCCTCCCCACCTTTTTTACTTTATTTTATTTTGGGCAGAAGAACCATTTTCATTTTATAGTGATCAAACATCTTATCTGAGTATTTGCCTTGAAGAGCATAATCGGTTTCAAGTGGAGCATTTTTCTCAAGAAGAACTTAAGAAAAAGGTATTGAGCTCTTTTAGTGCTTTTATTTGTTTATTTGTTGCCTCTTGGGTTCCTGATCATGGGGATGTGAGACTCAGAAAGTCCCTTTCCTGTCCTGTCTTCCCCTCCGCTGTCCTGCTTGGCTCCTCCCATGTGCACTGCTCAGGCTGAGGCCCTGGCCCAGGTCTGCACCCCTGGAAGAGAAGGTCCCAGTCCCTTCAGGAACAGCAAGCGCCTCCCCTCAGGCTGCTCCCCTGTCCTCATTGTGTTCCTCACTGATGTCCTTCTTAGACCGATCTGGGATTATTTGGTTTTTTGTCTTTGGCTATGAACATCTCATGGCTTACTTATTTCTGGTGTTCCAGTACCTCGCACACATAGTAGGCATTAATAAAAGGTTTTGAATGATTATAGCCCCAAGTGTGATCAGTGCATCTTTTTTGTAAATTGCAAAAGTTTTTCAGTCTGTCTGTCAGTGGAGTGCTCAATGTTGTGTAGTGTTTCAAGGATCTAAGAGGATCTACATTTGAGTAGTAGTTCTATAGTAGTTCAAGGATAGTAGTAGATCTACAGTAGTTCAAGGATCTACATGTGAGTAGTAGTTCTACAGTAGTTCAAGGATAGAAGTAGATCTACAGTAGTTCAAGGATCTACATGTGAGTACAGAGTCTGTGTGGTGTATTGTAAAATTACCTTAGATGCAGGATTGAGATTTAGTTTCATGGAATCATTCACATCCTGGCAGAGAAAACAGACATGCAAACAAACAGGCTGCTGTGAGAGGCAGCTGTACATGGTATAGGGGTAGCAGAGGAGAGGTTACAGTAATTGCCTGCTACTTGGTCAGGAGAAGCATCTGAACAGAAGCGAGCTTCGAAGTAGGTTTTGAAGGATGAATAGGAGTTTGTCCAGGTAGAGGGTTTTCTCAGCAGAGAGAGAGAGAAAAAGAAGCCCCTGTAAGGCTCAGAAGACATATCAAGGAGATCTATAAAAATTGGGGTATTTTTGGAGGAGTAGGTCAAAGAGCCTTGAGGCAGCTATTGGTTTTTGATGAGGAAGAAAATGAAGACAATCCCAGCTGCTGGCTAGTACCTAGTATGGCCCTGGTCAGGGCAGCAGGCAGTTTGCTTGGTTGGCTCTTAGTAATGTCTTGTTCTACCCACCATATCCTCCTTGAGGATTGGATTAATTTTATTCATGTTTTGATGTATTGGACATCTACCATGTGTAGTCAAGATGAGATTTTCCACTCTTATTTGAAGGGTTTATGATTGTTCCTCTTCAGTGTTTGAAAAATTACTTGGAGCTTGCAGGGAGCCAAGGTATCTGCTCACTTACCTGCATACCTGGTCCAGCAAAACCTATGGCTGGAGGAGGAGCACTGGACTGGGAGCCTGGGAATCTTGATTCTGGGCCCGCCTCTGCCTCTGAGGAGGCAGCTTCTTTTTCCCACGGGATCTGACATTTAGAACATTGTTTTTATCTTGTTCACCAGACAGCGTAGTTATAGGGCCCTGGATAGTTAGCTTCTTTGTATCTCTGTTTCCTTGTTGTAAAACAGGGATTAGGCTGGACACCTCCTCAGGAATTTTGCAGGGAATGATTGACTAAAGCTTGCAGGAAGGAGTGTTTAGCTGTGCATTGCTGTGTAATAGCAGTTTTTGTTACTGACATTGCTGGGTAGGTGTACAAGGAAGAAAGTCTGTGCCATAAAATCGGGTCTGACACAGTTGCAGAAACCTCAGCCATGGGGGACACTTCCTCCCGAGGGCCTCCATAGAAGGCAGAAGTGGTGTTAGCTGTTGTTGATTGGGCACTGAAACTGTGTTGAGGACATTAGATCATGGGGAGCTCTCACAGTAGCCGTCCTACAGGTGAGGAAACAGAGGCTCACATCAGGCAGCTTGCCTAGGATCTCTTTGCCTTAAAGTGGTGGCTGTGTCCCCCGCTCTTATCTCCCAGGTCAGTGACCTCATACAGCTTGTGAAGGAACTGTACACAGACAATCAGCACTTGAAGAAAACCATTTTTGATCTTTCCTGCATGAGTTTCCAGGGAAATGGGGGAGCTGAGTCAACAGAACAAAGAGAGGTAAGAAGAAACATTCCTGTTGTCATGTGCTACTTGCAAAAATATAGCAATCCAAGAGATATCTCAAGACTGCATCTGCCCTGGGGAGGTCTCTAACTGAAATTCTGTTTATTGGATGGGGCTTTGTGGGCCTTGTTAGGTCAGCAGGTGTGGTCCCTGGCTTCCTCTGCTTTGGGTCATTTCTGCACAGACACGTTCTGTATATTGTGATGCTTTTGACTGTGGTCCGGCCCTGGAATCTCTCATGCAGATGGCACATCTGAGTGAGTGGTGTGGTCTCCAAGGGATCTGGAGAATTGCCAAAGCACCCGGATAATTTGTGTGGTATAGATGTAGCCTTAATGAATCTGTTAACATTGAAAAACAGATGTCCATGTGCCCCACCTGGGGATTCACCCTCATGACTCCTGGTCTCAAGCCTTGATCTTGGTGATGTGTTGTCTCGGATTTTCTCTCTTCTTAACCTGTGCCACACAGTGGGGGACCCTGCAGGTGTGACAGTGGGGAAGATCATGTTGTTTCCCTAATTCATCCCTAAGAAGAACCTTGTCTCATGCATTAGCGCCATTTCAGGAGACTAGAACTCCTTGCACCTGGATGCAGAAGGTCTGTTTTGTTCTTGGGTTGCTCCTGGGCAAGACTGGAATCTTCCTGCTTGGGATTGTCCTGAGCTCACCCTGGAGTACTAGGTAAATGCAGGTCTCACGTTCATCGCCACATCATTTCTGGGAAAAGATTTGTCAACCTTAAGCTGTCTCCTCCCACCATCAGAGAAGGAACTGCTCAAAGGTATTTATGCTGTGCTCTGGCCATCTGCTGTCTTTGAGACAGGGAATATTATTGATCTTAGCCTCCAGGGCTCCAGATAATTTTGAAAACCAAAAGTAACTGCAAGCCATTTAGGGAGAAACAAGTCTCCTTGGTTTGCTTCCTCCAAGGCAGTATTTTTAATAAGCAGCTTGTTCTTCACTGACTCCATTTGAGTCGTAAATGGTGAGTTTTGTTTGTTCATTTGCCCTTTGAAGAAAATCTGTTAAATGTCCCATTATGTCATTTGGAGAACAGAGGCTTTTTCCTCTGCCCACTCTAAGATCTTAATACCAGCCGATTCAGATTTGAGTCATTTGTCAGATTGCACTTCAATTTGATGTTCCCTGTGAATAGCCTTGTCCTTTATAGCACAGCTCCCCATCTTTCCCCTAGAATGGGACAGGGCTCTCTGCATGGGAAAGATGGTATGCCCATTATAATCAGGAGCTGAGGGAGGAGAGGGCATCAGGGTGGGGTGGGAAGGCAGAGAGAGGGGTCTGCTGTTCCCCAGGAGGGTGTGTGGGTCTCCTTGGATGAGAAGTAAGCCAGAAACAAACCAAAAATGCTTATGTTGTCCACAGCATATTCTTTTTTTTTTTATATTAAATGTTTTATTTAAAGGCTGTAAACATGAAAAAAGAAGAACACAACACAGATTACATTATGATGACCAAGGCAGTGTTCTACATGACAGAAATCAAAACAAAACAAATTTATACAGTAAATATACCAGTGCTGAACACAGTACTTGAAATTTAACCCAAGCTACATATGCATAAATGATCTGACCACAGGATTACGCAAAATAAATTTTTTTAGAACACCAGAATGCCAACCACTCTGACTATAAACTTAGTCCCCTAAAGAGTATTTTGAGACAATTTCTATATGCCATGAAAAGAACTGACATAACACTTAAATACTACAAAAATAGTTGAAAACATATTTGTAATGCAATTCTGTATAAAATATAGTTAATCTTATTACTTAAAAAATTGAAAAAGAAAACACCACCATGAATAATGGTGAAAACCTCATCAAAGAAAAATGCTCATCATTTGGATATCATTGGCAGAAAACTGATAAGATTTTGTTGAGGGGAACAAGGAAGGTATCTAATGAAGTCATTCATGTAAAATTTGTTCAAAAATGTTCATAAAGTTGTAAATTTCTGCTTATACTGTCTTAAAATATTAAACCATGAACACACTTTCTGCTATTTAACTGGAGGACAGAAGAATATCTTGAAGAAAGTGTTTCTCAAAATGAGGTTCAAAAGCCCAAAAGAATTCTAATGTGGCCTCAGTAATAAACATGGTAAACAAACACCCTGGGTGATTATTCTACGCTCTGAAATGCCCCATCGAAAAGAGCAACACTTAAAAGGGAGACCATAAACATATTTCTAACATGTTAGAATTCTCTGCAAGTTTATGTTGTGAATACTGCTTTTTGTTTTAAAACAAGTTCCAGGCATTAATAGGAACATACATGCCTCGGAAATGAACATGCAAATTTCTATAAACATTTTCCTTTGATGTTTTCATTAGTTTCAAGCTAAATTATATGAAGAAAAGACAATACATGACTACAAGCTTTGGAAAAGCAATATTTCTCATGAAATTGGGCATCCGAAAAAGATTAAACAAACAAACAAAAAGATAATTTATTAAATAAATGTTTACAAATTTCAGATCGCTCTAAATCCAAAACCAGATCGTTAACTAAAATTAAATTAAACTAAGATTGTACCATTATAACTTATTTACATTTAGATGATGATGGTTACCTTTCAGATCGTTGGTTTAAAAATCATACTAAAACAGAAGGATGCTATATCGCATCTTAATTTTAAAGATGTAGTTCCAAATTCAGAATGCTTCAAAACTTGTAAACATTTAAGAAATTATCCTTTAACCATTTCCAGATGCCCCACCTCATGAGAACCATTACCTTTCCAAAGCCTGTAGTCATATATTGTCTTTTCTTCATATAAGAAAGATACAAGTATATGTGTTTTTATTCAAAATTGTTGCTATTTTTTTGATTTTCCTGAAGACTACATAAACCGAGCCCAAAATGTACAGGTAATGTGGTTGGAGAGAAACTAGCGTAGGTAAGATATTTTACTTAAAAGACAAATTGTTTTCTTGTATCATAAGTAAAAAGAAAAAATATTAGGCATTATGTCTCACTCAACAAACGGAATGTGTCTACAAGTGTGGTTAACGAGTGACTGCCTCATTGTTATTTAAATCAGTTCATAAAAATCAAAACTATGAACAAAAAATTCTATATTCTCTACTATAGACTATAAGAATCAAGTATTACATCTAAATATAACTTTAAAATAATAAATTAATATTAGTTTCCAGACATCTGTGAAATGGTTAATTCTATCCAGGCTCAGGCTGGTGTCAAGTTTTTCCAAGCGTTAAATGGCAACATAAGCAAAATACATAGTTAAAAAATGAGGATCAGACCCCTTCTTCATACGTTGTAAGACGATTGATATACTCCATACCTGCAAATTCATATCCATCAAGCTCCCTCACGATGTCATTATCATCTGGGGTGAGCCGGACAGGTTCATTAGTAAATTCAGGATCAAAGTTGTCCAAACCGCATTGCTCAGAGATATTTGGTTTAAAGGGAAGCACCACCTGCTTTTGCTCCATCATGTCCCAGTCCACATTTTGAAAGAATGGATGCTCCTGAACATCAGCAAAGTCCCTTTGAGGAGGACAACCCAGTCGTTCTTTTGGGTCCTTGTTCAGCAATCTCTCAAGGACACTTGCAGCTTCAGACAGACAACAAGGTATGAAAATGCCTCTTTCCAAAATTACTTGCAAGACATACTTGATTGAGTTTTCATAAGGGTTATCAGAGCTCTCATCAAGATGGAATGGAGACTCTCCGATCATTATCACATACATCAGTACTCCAAGATTCCACCAGTCCACACTGAAATTGTAATCTTCCCCTCTTAGAAGTTCTGGAGCCACGAAATTAGGAGTGCCACAGAAAGTGCTGGTCGTATCTCCTGGCTGTAAGCCTTCTTTACACAAGCAGTAATCGTGTTTAATATGGGCTTCTGAGTCCAGTAATACATTTTCCAATTTTAAATTTCTGTAAAGTATTCCTTGCTGATGAAGGTATTTGACTGCTGAACTGATTTCTGTAGAGTAAAACCTGACATGTTCTTCAGGAAGCATTCTTTGTTGCTGCACATGAAACAGTAGATCTCCCCCATTGACATAGTCTAGAACAAGGAGCAGCCTGCTTTCTGTCTGGAAGCAAGAATGCAGTCCAACTAGAAAAGGACAATTGGATGCCTGCTGTAAAACGCACTTCTCTCTCTGTACCCAATCAATGTTGACACGCTCTTTTATCATTGCTTTCATTGCATACATACGATTTGATTTTTTCAGTTGGACTAACAGTATTTTCCCATGACTTCCTCTGCCAATCACTCGGAGCAAGTCAAAGTCCTTAAGACCTAGACCAGATGAAGCTTTGCCACCTTCCCCAGAGTTCTCTGCCTCATTCTCTTCATCAACTTGTTCTAAAGCCTCATGAGTTGAAAGGTTATGTGGGATTGCTGTGTGTGCAGGGTCTAAAGGGATGGATGGTGGATTGACTGGCACCATGGGCTCTGATGGTAAAAAAATGCTGCCCACAATCAATTGTGACAAGTTTGTGGCACTTCTTGTGAACCGAGAGTTTGCAGTTGGTGCACTTATACACCTGGCGGCCAAGTCCCCCTACACGGTCTGTGCAGACAGCACAGTGAGCTCGCCTACTGAAGCGTTTGGCCTGAAAAGTGTGGCCATTTGCATAATACAGCTTTCTCCAGCAGCCTTCAGCTTTGTGGTGGATGGATTTCTCTTCTCCTGGACAAGGCACTTTAGGATCCTCTGGTATACAAGGCAATGACTGAATTAAGAGCTCAGAATCTTTCGTTAGCTCAGAAAGCCTAATGGCCTCTTCTAACTCCAACTGAGGTGGCACAGTAAATGTGTCTCCTTCCTCCTCTACCCAGTGTGTGGTGAAAAGCTGTTTATTGTCCAAACACCACACATCTCGATCTTTATCACACAGGCCCTCAAAGGAGATGAAATTCTCAAGAGATCTTGTCATGATGTCTCTTCCCAAAATCAGGGCTGATCGGGTAGAGGTGTAGGTCGTGGAGGTGCCCAGGAAAAAGGGACCATAGACCTGTTGGCTGCCCAGGAAAATGGGCAGGAAGGGCTCAGAGAATGAGTGCGGCCTGACTGACTGCATGGACCTCACTGGCTGGAACTCTGCAAGGCTCTCTGTGAAGTTGTTTCCAATAGTGGCGGCCAGGCCTGGATAGATGTACACCAGGCTTCTCAGTGTCTCTTGGGGGCCAGTGACTATAACTTTGGACTCCCTCCCTGGACTTTGACTCTCTAGGTTTTTTGTGCCTGGCTCTGGGGAGACCTGCCCAGAGCTACAGGGTGTTTCTGGGTCTGGTGATACTTGCCCTGTGCTCTTCCCAGTTTCTGTGCCATTGGTATTTGGGCTTAGGGAGACTTCACTGGGGTACCTTGATTTTGGTAGGTCACTGGTGGTCACTCCTGGGGAGACCGACCCTGGGGTGTCTGTGACAGCCATGCGGCTGCTGTAGCATGGCCTGTGGCATCTGGATGGAGCCAGCTGTCTTCTTAAACTTTCACAGATACTTTCTCTACCTGGGGTCCTGAGGCTGCGGCCTCTCAAAGTGGAGAAGCAGCTCAGCATGTTCACTGTTGACCGTCTCTGGCCAAGTGGGCTCGGGAGACAGCTGTTACTAGATTGTGATGCCCGTTAGCAAGGGTTCCAAGTTCTGTTTGGAGATGTGGCCAAGGAAGCAAGCTCATGTCTTGGGGTTCCACAACCTGAGTCTCCATGTGATAGAAAACCCTATGGCCCACTTTTTTCTTCATAGTAAATAAATCAGTGGCCACTTATTTTATTATTTTTACCTAAGTACTTATGAATGTTTTTATCTATCATCTTTCTGTTAGTTTTTCACCTTTGAAATCCTGGGGCTTGTACCTTGCATCTCCACAGTGTACTGTCGGTATATCCTCAGACATTTTTTTTTTTTCAGATAAACAACAAGAGTCTAAGTCACCAAAGTGGTCAGGTAGGACTACACCTTGTGATCTTACCTGAGCTGCCCAGAGTCTTGGGATTACAGTCACACACCATCCTGCCTGATCCAGTGTGCTATTTAGAAACATCAGTACTAGGAAATCTTTTGGTGATATTAGGCATTGGTGATATCTTCACTTTTAGAGCAACATGTGTGCACTGACACTTTGCATGTGGTGGGCACAGTGCTGAGGGTCTTTTCCATATAAAGGAGGCATTTTTGTGAAAATGCAGTGGAGAAACACACTTAGAGAATCATGAAATTTTAGAATGCTTGTCTTTCTTAGCATCATTTCCACTTAATTGGGTCATACTGTGACTTTCTATAAATTTCCAGAATGATTTTCCTTAAGAGATACATATGTTTATTTCAAAGTGTAACTTGGGGGGTGGGGGTGGATGGATTCATAACAGGCTGTAGCTTTGAGGTGCAAACAAATGAATAATTATTCATTCTTTGCTAATGATCTAAATGCCAAAGTGTAGTATTCAGTATAGTAACATACTGTGTTTCCCAGAAAATAAGACCTAAGTGGAAATATCTAGCTGGAGCCAGCCCTAGTGATTGTTATCGCGGTGATGGCCAGTGTTATGCAGAAAATTGTACCTCACTATTGTCTTGCTCTATGGCTACTCTGTAATGGCAGGTAAAACAAGATAGGCTGACTGGGGTTGTCATTTTTTTCTAGTTAGGTCTTATTTTTGGGAAAACACAGAGCGAGGCAGGAGAGCATGTGGTGACTGCATGGCAGAGTCTTCTTAAAGGCTAGAAACCGTCACCCTAGCGGTGATGATGAACACATACGTATAGCATTTCAAGCTTTCCTTTTGGCCACTTATAATCACTTCCTATCTTCCTATCCCATTCGGCCCATTGACCTTGTGTCCCAAGTGGGTAGTTTGCATTTTCTAGATCCAAGGAAGCTGTAACCATTCGGCATGTAGTTTTTTTGTTTCTTGGTTTGTTTTAGTACTGGGGATCGAACTTGGATCCTTGTGCTTGTGAGGCAGGCGGCAGAACCACTGAGCTAAATCCCCAGCCCTAGTTTTTTGGTTTTTGAGGAGCTTATAAAATCAGTATAAACCATGTAGATGAGAGAGAATTGATCCAAAGCAGTGCTCCACCCCTCAACATAAGAAAGCTGACTTGTGAAATAGGAGCAGCATCTTCCCCAATGAGAGAGTCGTTCTATGATCGAGTAGTGTGCCCCAAAAAGATCGTGAATGGGGCAGCAGAGGCAAAGACTAATCAATGGACCAGAGTCTGGCTAAAGACAGCACCTGGGATGAAAATGGAAAACCAGAACCTAGGGCTGGTCCACAGCATATTCTGAGCAGCAGGACTTGCAGAGTGGGGGCTGGACATGATTACTGCTCACTAGGAGAATGAGAGAGACGGGGGGGGGGGAAGAATTTTGTGTTTTTAAATTTCAAAACACTAGTTCTGTCACTTTAAAACAGGTGCAATTGGGGGCAGGGGATTTAGCTCAGTGGTTCTGCTGCCTTTTAAGTGCAAGGTCCAGAGTTTGATTCCCCATACCAAAAAAACAAAACAGAACAACAGCAACAAAAAAACCAGGCACAATTGTAGGGGCACTTGCCTATAATCCCCAGCACTTTGGAGGCTGACATTGGAGAACCAGCCTGGGCTACATAGCGCGTACAAGGCTAGTCTAAACTCCATAGCAAGACCCAGTCTCCAAACAAATGAAGAAACAAACAACCTAGGCACAATTAATTAGCATTTTGGAATTGTTCCTTCCATATTTGTGTGCATGCACACACACCATAATATAGTTTTTATCCTGTTTTTTCCAATTGCTATTAAGTTACAGCATCTTCTGCCATTTTATGAATCCACTGGAATTTAACAGCCTCACCCTTATTGGACATTGTTTTAGGATTGTTTTAAGTGATTTGCTATAGTAAAATTTGTACTTAAAGTCTCTGTATACAGATCTTTTACTGTGTGTAGGATTTTTTTCTTGGATTATATTGCCAGATATGTAATTACTAGGTCAAAGACAGATAGAGATATGCAATAAGCATAGAATTTATTTTCATAGAGCCACCCCAACAACTTTCAGATTGCAAAAGGGTAGAAGTTATGGGGGACCCTGGCAGAGTTTGTCAGGTTTCTCTTCAAAATGGCTGCCCTGGTACAGAGGCGCACCAGCTAGGAGCCATGTTGCTTACTCCCTCTTTGCTGGCTCCACCAAACAAACAAAAGCCCATGGCCAGCTGTTCTTTTGTTTCCATGTACATTTGAAAACCTCTTATCTGATGGCCTGCATTTTCTTATGTGTGTATGTATGTATGCATTCATTTATTTAGTCAGGATCAAACCCAGGAACTTCCCACTGAGCTACATCCTCAGCTCTTTTATTTCTTATTTTGAGGCAGGGTCTTGCTCAGTTGCCCTGAGTGGGCTTGACCTTGTGATCTTCCTGCCTCAGCCTCCCAGAGTTGGGATTACAGGTCTGTGCTGCCATGACCCTCTTAAGTTTATTTGTTGATTACTAAGTGATGTTATAGAAGAAACTGGTTGAGATTTTTTTTTAGTACAAACATCCCAGCAACAGCACATGGCAAGCTGCTGCTGAGGGCATAGGTGCATTATTGAAGAGAGAATGTGGGCAAGGGATGTGGAAAGTTCCCTCATTCCAACAGTATGGAACAGTCCTGGCTACCCCTGACAATGAGATGTGCAGGGTCTCTGGCCAGACTGTGGTCAAAATGGGAAGACACTTAGTCACAGAGTCATGGGAGTGCCTCACAAGCCTGGCTCTAGTTGCAGGAACCACACAGGCAAGCACCTGGGACAGGTTCCTTGCACATTCATCATGAACTATACAGAATGAGGCTGTACATGAATTAATTACAAAAGCATCAAATGTGTACACACGTTTGGAAAACTCACCAAATTGTTACCTATGTATCACAAGTTGTTAGACCAAAATATTAAAAATGGGATACAAGTATATATTTCTCTTCTGTCTTCTTTTCAAAAGGATTAATATTTTCAAAGCATATATATGCTATTTTCCACTAGCAAGACCTATGAAGAGATCAAGCAGCCCAATATCCTTGAGCCCCCAGAGGCCATGAGCCATGAAAGGCCCAGGCCAGGGACAATGGCCAGGGCTGGGGCAGGAGCTGGCCTACAGTGCAGAACAGAATGCTAAAATCCCAAGAAAGGAAGATGTCTTTGGCTAAAACTTTGGCATTAAATAAAAGAGACAGGCTCTTAAGTGAAATAAATAGGACACACATGTAAATACTGGTGTGAGAAACTGAAAGTGTAAATGAGGACCAAAATGTATAATAGGTAATGTGAAATAGGAAGAAAAGGTCCATAGGGGAAGTGGGGCGGGGGGAGAAGGGGAAGAAAAAAATATGAAAAAAGAAGGAAAAACCAGAAACAAAGTCTTTGTAAATAGGGAAGGGTGGAGGGGTGCAAGGGAGTGCAGGGGAATGGGGAAAAAACAAGAACCAAGATATATCATGTACAGGTACAAATTCTCAATGATGAATGTGATCATAACGTATACCTAAAATGTACCAATAAACTTAATGACTTAAAAAAAAATAAAGAGACAAACAGAATAGGAGTGATTGCAGCAGGGTCCAGTCAAGGTGCTGAGCACTGAAAACCGTGAACCATACAACACATGGACCTGCCATCTGTAGGTACCTAGGATATATGTGGTACAAGGCACTGGCACTGGCACCTTGCGAGTGCTCAACAAGGGTCAGTTATTACTTGGATCGTTGTATTGTCCTTAGGCATGGTTAGGAAACTTTTTTTGGCATGGAGAGAAAGCATGGATAGATGAGCATAATTTAATTGAGCTCAGCTATTTGTAGGGCTGTCATGTTGAACAAGGAATAGACCTTGTGTGACTCTAAAGGACGGAAATGGTACTCAGAAGTAGAAAGTGCTTATTAAATGTTCTACTAAGAGTAACAGGATAATATTTGGTTTGTCAGAGTAGATTTAATTTCATTAAAAGGAGGAATATTCTAACAATTCAGCTTTGGAAGTTCTTACTTAGGAGTTTCACTTGACTCATAAAGGCCTTGGCGCGATGCCTGGCAGGTAGTAGGCACTCAATAAAGCACAGCTATTTCCATTTCATTTTTTTAGTGAGTTAGTGGCGGAGTTGGAATCGTAATCCTTCTCTGGCTCTGTTCAGAGCTGTCCTAATAACACCATGGGCAGTGCTTCTAAACTTTTAACAGGTGTGTGGCTTTTCTGGGGACCTTGTAAATGCAGATTCTGCTTCCATAAGTCTGTATTTCTAAGAAGCTTCTGGGTGATAATCCTGTTGCTCTAAGGAATAATTCTCAGTAGCAAGAGCCAAGGTAATGCTGAAAACCATTTGGTTCCAGTTCTCATTTTGACAAAGTCTTTATTCATTCATTTGTTCTTTCAGCAGTGTTTCATTGAGCAGCAGGCATTGATGTTAAAACTATGAACGAAGACATGATCGCCACCAAGTCTAGTGTGTAACAGAGAGAAACAGACAGGGTCAGTCGCAGCAAGAGTGTTGCTGGAGGATTGCAGGAGCATGCTCCTAAGGAGCATGGAGGCAGGTGTCCAGCCCCGCCCTCCAGGGAGGAGGAAGGAAAGAGGCAGGGGGCAGCCCAGGAGAGAGTGAGTCACAGAGTGGTGCTTTGAAGAGGGTGCCTTAAGTAGTGTCAGGTTCTCTGAGAAGACAGGGAAGAAAAACAGCCAAGTTGCATGACCTGGGCAGTTTCTTGAGAGTGAGAGGATGGAGCCAGCTTTCAGTGGCTGGAGGAGAGAAGAGGAGCAAGGAGATGGAGCTAGAGCTGGTTGACACCAGGAGCCATAGGGGTCCTCTCTGGCTGGTGGCAGGGTGGAAGCACAGCCCAGGTACCTTGCCTCAGAGTTTGTTCTGACATCTTGTTCTTTGTCTTTGAAAACTGCTAAGTCACATTGACGTTAAGGAATTTCTCTGTGTCCACAACATTTGATTTCCTGGTAATTGCTGGAAACTGAGAGTTTACTTTTAATTTAACCAAGTCAGCAGAGGTAGAGAGACATGCAGGTTACTGTGTCTTGAGGATGGGATGGTTGTGATCCTGGAGAGGCAGAATAACTGAGATGCTTTTGATATTTTAACATGGAATAACGCGTATTAGTGATAATTTGCTGAGCTACATTTAGACGAACTCTTCTCCTGTCCATAGGAAGTATGAAGGGGCTTCTCCGTTCCTCCTCCCCAACCCCGGTGGGATTTTACTCCTGTGCCAAAGGTCTTTGGGGACCTGGCATGGACAGTTTCTGGATAATGGTGGCAGGAAAAACCTCATTGCAGAAGGTGAAAAGTGACCCTTTTCCAGAAACTGAAGAGTGTTCAGTGACCTCAGTCCATCATCACTCCATCTTTTTTTTTTTGGTACCAGGGATCGAACTTGGGTCCTTGCGCTTGTGCAGCAGGCAGCAAAACCACTGAGCTAAATCCCCGGCCCTCATCATCACTCCATCTTATCTTTTTTAAAAAGTAATTTATTTTTAGCTGATTTATAAAAACATAAAATTATAAATATCAAGGGGGTTCCCTGTGATGTTTCAGTACATGTGTACATTATGAAATGTTTAAATCAGGTCAAACATATGTTTCTCCTCAAACATTTCTCATTTTTCTATAATGAAAAGTCAAAATCCTTTTTGTTTTATCAAACTCACTGTTAAAACATTATTGTTACCTAAGTCACACTACAGTGCACAAACACACCAGAGCTTCTTGCTCCTAACTCAACAGACTACCCACTGATCAGCTTTTCCCAGGCCCTCTCCTAGAACTCTTCCCACCCCCTGGTAACCACCATTCTACTCACAAGTTCTAGGAGATCAACTTTATATTCCACGTGGAAGTGAGATCATGAAGTACTTGACTCCCCACCTAGATTCTGTTTCCATTTCCGCATATCCATCATCACCATGCCTTGCCTTTTTTGATAAATTTTAATTGAAATTGCAAATACCAGTATATTTTTCCTACATCAGTATGAATATCTTTAACTTCAGTATGTTTATAGTTAGCTTTTTTTACATACAATGAAGTACAGCAATTACAAGCCAGTACTGGCTGAGTTTTCCAAGAATGTCTATCTGTGTGACCCAGATCCCTGTCAAGATTCCTTGTGTCCCTTCTTGTCAACCCGATCCCTATGCATTTAAGCTGCTTCTGTGAGTTTTGTCCCATAGGATTAACTTTTCCTATGCTACGGCAGATCTTCAGACAGAATCATGTCGTATGTTCTCTTTTGTGTAAACTTTTTTCACTTAGCATCTTTTTGACACTCCTCCGCATCATTATGTGAATCAACGGTTTGCTCCTTTTTTGTTGTTCCACTGTATGGATGTATTCATTCTTTCATCCTGTGGGTAAAGGGTGATAAGAATATTCAAACACAGATCTTTGTGTGGTCAGGCACTTTTCTTCTCTTGGTGAATGCTTATGAGCAGACTTCCTGGGTCATAGGGTTATTTTATAAGGGATCACCACTACTTTTTCCAAAGTGAATTAATGTTTTTATATTCTCACCAACAAGTTTGATAGTTCTAGTTGGTCTGTATCACTTGAAAGTGTTTTCATAATGAGGGAGAACCAATAGAGGAAGAGAGTTCCTCACCCATATTTGTAAACTTTTATGCTTTAGTAAGTATAATTATGCGTATCCAGTCTCTTTAATGCTTGATAGGATAATAGGGTGTGGGTTTTGATCACCAGTTCTCTTTAATCCTGATCCCAGATTTGGATGTGGGCAGGATGAATATGTTCTGGGGACATTCTAAAGTGAATTCTTTTTTTGTTCCAAAACAAGATTTTTCCTCTAAGCAGATCAGAATTTAAGTTGGGCTAGGTGAGTTTTGGGCTAAATGTAGGAACTCATAAAATGAAACTGTTGTGATAGGACCCTAAGTGTCTCATACGTAAAGCTACCCAACAAGGGACCCAGCACTCTGGGTTTGGCACCTCTGTGCAGAGCTCACTACTTCTCAGTGAGGGGAGGTTGGCTGTGATTCTGAAACAGCTGCGTTTGACTCCCTTCCTCTCATTTTTCCTTTGGTTAATACAGGTGTTCCATGACTAGAATCTTTGCTCTTCTGGTGAGCTGAGGTCTGGCTTTCTCAAGAACTTCATGCTGTCCATTCTGCAAAATGCAGAATACAGAAGCTTTGGCATTTCAACTTCTTTAAAGTGGTAGATTTATTCAGTCTTTGTAAATAACTGTCTTTCATTTCCAAAACCATAAAGTTACCATCAGGCAAATTCAATACTCTTCTCATTAGTGATGAGGACTTTTTGTCAGCAAAATGACAGCGTGGCTGGGACTGTCCATCTCAGATGTGTGACAGTCTGACAAGAGGTTTATGCCCTATGTTAAATAGGAGAAGTGATGCATAAATTGAGCACACCATAAATTTCACTTACTGCTTTTTTGCTATTTGCTATTTTGAATTCTGTCAATAGCGCTTTTCCAAAATCTTGCTACTTTTACATAATCTGAAAGTGGATTTAGCAAAGGCAGAAGTGGCAGTAGCACAATAGGCAGCATAGTCAGTGTATAGCAGTGTAGAAAGACTGCAAGGGCACAAGAAATGCCTTTCTTTATTTCTTGGAGAATCTGTCCTTAAATTTTACTTGATCCTGGGTAGCTGTATGTGATTTGCCACAATTAGCAACTCTTAACTTTGGTTAATTTTTATTTCATGGCTTTGGCATTTGTTCCTGCCTCTTTTTTTTTTTTTTTTTTTTTTTTTTTCTGCATTGTTAAAAAAAGACATCAGTGGTTTATTCATACATATTCATGCTGCACATTTTTTTTTGGGTTGCATTTTCACACCATTCCATGCTCCATGTAGCTTCTGCCTAGCAAGGAGGACGAGGACACTATCAAAATTGAAGAGGATGACGAGAATAATTTCCAAAGTGACCAGCATTTGGAGCCAAGTAATGAGGTAGGAACACGGCAGTTAACTCCTTATTCTACCTACACCACTCTGCTGGAGCTGGCCTTCAGTTTGGAATGTGTTCAGTGCATTTCCTGTTCATCTGCCTGTATTGACTGCCTGCTGTATGCGCTTCTCTTTGCTATCAGCAGTTATAAACTGAATGATAGAACCAGTCACAAAACATGAGAACAAAAGTGTTGTTGCCAATAAAAAGAACAGAATAACAGGGATTGGATGTTGGACCTGGATAGATGTTTAGAGATCTAATTTAGCCTATTCATTTTATCCTTTGGAAACTCAGGCCTTTGAGGGGAGATGATTGATCCAGAGCCTAGAGTAGGTCATTGTCAGAGCTGGGACGAGAACCCTTGTGTCTAGACAGCCACGAACTCTCAGGTCACTTGAATGCAATGTAAGGGGATATGGATGGAAGTAAGTGACCTTCTTCAGTCTCCTGGTGTTATCTGGACATGGTGAGAGATTGACCCCATCCACATAGAATGTTGTTCCTATCATACTGATACTGATGAATTGGAGTATACAGTCTCTAGGGTTGGAAGAATCCTGCAGACTGAGCTGTTGTGGGAGAGAGGAGGCTACAGGTGTGGCATTTGCATTCTTCACAATGTTCAGGTTTGGGGTGTCATGAACAGGGGATACTACAATGGACATTGTTTGAGAGAGCAAAGCAAATGAAAACAGGGTTTTGGAATCAGGCCTGATTTTGAGTCCTAGTTGTGGCACTGCTGTCTCTGATGATCTCAGTTAACCCTTGCTTAGTCTCTAAGCCTGAGTTTCCTCATCATTGAGTATAGTAACACTTCCTTTAGGATTGTTATGATGCTTAAAAAGAAAGTCATGTAAGAAGTGCTCAGTAAATGATAATAATTACTATTTTGATTATTCTGTTCTAGATTTTTCCATTTTTGGAGGTTGCTTGTTTGATGGATTGAATAACTAGATTGGTGGCAAAAGAAGACCTATAAATAACAGCTCATTTGTATGGGTCTTGTCTTCCATTTAAAAAAGTCTTAATCATTTTTCCAGTGTGGAAAGATGGGGGTGATGGCTAGTGTATATATCACTAGCAGCAATGAAGTCAAGAGGAGTTATTTATAGACTGGTAGAAGAAATTTACAGCTTTGGATAGAGGAGAGAGAATCCTAATTGCAGCACCACAAGACATGCCCAGAACAGGCTTTAACTGGATGCTTCCTTGGTGCTGTGCTTCTGGGACTCTCAGTGACCCAAGAAGGTGAATCTGTAAATAACGACTCCATGGGAATTAAGAACTCCCCACCTTCCTAATGAGACATTTCAAAGCCATGTTAATTAGTATGTGTCTGGAAAGAGTGAGTTGGCTTTCTCATGTGGGCAAGAAGTATATAACAAATGTTCAAAGCACTGTTGATGGCATGGATTCCATGACCTCCTCAGGAAGCACTTTTAAGGAGATGGGCGTTAGATAGGAGAACAGACATCCATTGTGCACCTGTAGGGAGTAAGACATTTAACCTGACTCATTCACTTCATTGTATTCTCCAAAGGAGGTAGCATTGCTGTCCCCATTTTTCAGATGAGGAAACTGAGGGTGCCTTAAAGTGACTGTGTGTGGACCTGCGTGCCTGTGTCCCTCTTTTTCCTTCTTTCTCCCCTTTGATTTTCTCTCTGCTTATTTGTGCTCATTTGCCCTGCATTTCCATCCTTTTCCTGTCTTCCATGTACTCCCTTCTCCTCTTCCACGTCTCAGATTTGACCAAGTACCTTTATTTACAGATTATAGAGGATGGTACCAAAGGAGGCTATAAAAATGGATATTTAAGGCACACAGATTCCAATATTTTAGACCACCATGGGGCTCATAAGACAGGCTGCCCTGGAGATCAGAACCTAGAAGGCAGCAAGCTCCTGGGCCTACTTGCCCCTTTCTTCAGTGAGAAAGCCATGCTGTCACCGGAATCCAGGTAGGTGTGGGACCCAGGTGTGGCTTTGTCCCTCTGGTTTGAGAGGAGAACGCACTCACTCTGCTAAATGGATTTAGGTGCTGGTGCTGTACAATATACCTGGGAGAGCTCCCGAAATGGCTCGGAAGGAATCTTGCCAGTCGTGCAATTAGGTAATTAGGCTGTGCACTCGTGGCTGTGAGCGGGCTTCAGCGCAGCCTCGTGCAGGCCCATTAAAAGGAAGCGAAAGAAGGCTTTCCTGGAGAATTATTCCTGGGAGCCCCAGAAATGGCTGCTTGGCTGTTGGCGAGAGAAATCAGCCCTGCTGGAATCTCCTCCAGTTTCTACAACAGCTTAAAAAATACCATTGTAGTTGTGACTCTGCTGTTTTATGTTGAGCTTGAACTAAAATTCTCTTCTCATTATATCTGCTGGGAGTCATTCCTATGTGAAGAAATACTACAGGTTGTTTTCCTTAAAACAAAAAAAGGAGAAACATTCAGTACATTTGTATCTTTTAAATGAATCCTTCATGAGCTGTTTTCTCTTTCATTTTCCTTTTAGTTCATCCATGACAGCTGCTTGGGTTTTGGACTTAGAACTGTGCTTTCATCTCTCAGTGTCTCAGTTTCTTTGATCACTTCTTTAGGGTTGTTACGAGGAGTACTAAAAAAATCTTTAAGAAAAATTGGTGGCCTGCGTTATGTGTTCAATGAAAGTTTTCAGTTCTTTTCTGTACAGATGGTTATTAACTACTGCCCAAGACCTCTGGCAAGAGCCAGGCATTCTAGTATTTCTTATGCCATTGTTTGGCTAAGATTTAGGTCATTGGTGGACATTTGCTGCTATTGCAGGTGATCTTCTTAGTCACTCAGCATTCCCTGAGCTAGTTAGTGATAGAATCATTGGAGAATTTTCTAGGGAAATAATCAGTATTCTTATTGGTTGGGGAAATAACCAGTTACCTAGACATTCCTTCGGGGTCAGGTGAGGGGAGTGTTTTCTTTGCCCTGGAAAAAGCAGAATTTGGAGTGAGACAGACTGAGCTCCTGTTTAACTGTACCATTTAGATCTTGTTCCATCTCTACCCATCTTTGTTTCTTTATCTGTGAAGGAGGGTTGGGTGGGGTGATGACAATTATTTACCACATAGGGGCCTTATAAGGGTTAAATGAAATAATGGCTATATAGGTTCAGGTCAGTACTAAGTGAGATTTTGGCAATATTACTCTCTATATCGTGCCCTTCCAATTATTCCTACTAACCCCAGGTAAGATTCCTGGCGTATAAGTACAGCAGGGATTTATGCCTCTGTATTCACTCGTGAGCCAGTGTCTAATGACCCCAGTGCACAGGCGTAATAGACTCAAGCCTAAGCTGTCTCAGTCTTTGAGCTCCTCTGCCTTCCAGCCATCTACCTTGAGGCCTCAAGGGGCAGCACAGTGGCTAGGCCCCAGAGTAACCCTGATGCAGTGATCCTGTCTGTCAGAATGGACTAGGAAGCAGATCATCTACTAATTACATTAGTCTATGTTCTTTCTAATAGAAATAGAATAGTCTTATTAGTTACAGTTGTCTTTCACTTAATCAGAGTATCTCGTTTGTTGAAGGTGGAATGAAAAGGTCTGCGTGGCCCACCTTGAAGAATGGGCTGGCAGGTCCCTCCTCTGCCTTGGCATTCTCTGTGTGTGGGATGCTCAGCCCTTGCTTTACAAGCTTCTGGCTCATTTGGACCTTACTCTCTAGGGAACATGGTTTGAGATTTTACCACCTTAAGTTTTTGGTGTTTGTAGCCTAAAATAAGGTGCGATATTTCATAGCTAAAAAATTATAAAAATGTAAAAGGGGAGCTTTTGGGAGATCAGAATCAGATCTGGGAGATCTGAATCTGCAGTTCTAGGGATGATTGAGGGACAGGTAAGGAGCCACCAGAACGTGAACCTGGCAGGGGTCCACAGAGGTCTGCAGAGGATTGACAAAGGGACTGGGTATATTTTGGCTAGGGGAGATGTCTTGCTTGAAGGTAGATTCCATATTAGAGAGGGACTCGTCTTTGGGAGCTCTAGACAGGACCCCGGAAACCCAACATCCTCTTGGATACTCCCCTCTTCTTTACCCCCCAAAACTAAGTCCCAATCAGGCTACCTCTTAAACAGCTCTTGAATCCATTTACTTCTCTCCATCTCTGTTGCTGCTTTTAGTGTGCATCAAGCGATCTCCAGTATTGCTGTAGTAGCCCTCAATCAGTCCCCTACAGTCATCTTTGCTCTCTTCCTATCTATTCTCCACAGACTTCCAGAGCAGTTATTTAAAAATTCAGTGTATCATTCTATCTAAACCCTTGAGAGGGTCTCCACTCTTCTTGGGGTCAGGATCTTTCCATGGCTTGCCAGGCCCTGTGAGATCTGGTAACTCTGTCCCTTAGTTCTGTTCATACTGTTCTTGTCTTGCTTTCTGTGCATCAACCACAGTGCCCTTTTTTCAGTGCCTAAAAGGGGTTGAGTATCCTTTGTTAAGGGCCATTGTTCATGCTGATTCCACTGGATAAACACTCCTGGCTGCCCTCTCCCATCCCCCCACCCTGAGCGCTGTGTTGACCCCATTCATGTGCGGTATCCAAGCCTCCATAAGACCCTGATGTGGTCAGGCACTCAGGTTACGTATATTCATAGGACATGCCACACTTTATGAGCATTCAACATGGCACAGCACAGGGCTGTTTTGCAGCTTCAATTTTCCCTCACTCCCATCCCTTCTTGGCTGATGACCTTGCTGCATACATCACTGAAAAAGCAGAAGCAATTGAACTCAAACCACTGCTTGCCTCTATTGCTACAAACTCTCTTTCTGACTGTTGGAGTAGAAGAAATATCTCTGTTCCTACCAAGATCAGCCCTCCCCATGGCTTAGTTCGTCCTCTTTTGGCCCTTCTCTCCTGCATCGGTAGTTTTTTCTTGTTACTGAATCACTGCAGCAGCCCCATAAACATAAGACATGCCTGATAGCTGACATTTGGGAAAAGTACCCCTTGCCTTCTGATTTCACATCCATTGCAGCTACTGCCCACTTCTCAAAAGATTTGTCTATATTCACTGCATCTGCTTTCTTCCATTGATTCTCTTTTTACCATTCCAAGTGTTTTGATAACTTTTGCTGTGCCTATCAAGGTCAACAATAATTTCCATGTTGCAAAATCCAGTGTCGGGTCTGCCTCTCAGCAGCAGCCGGCCTCTCTCTCTGGCCTGTTTCCTTCTGCCCCAGTGGCGCCTCCTGCTCAGTTTCCTGTGTGGAGACTCTGTTCTCAGCCCCTTGCTTTGCTTCATCTTTCCACTCTCTCATGATGTTGGAGTATGCCTTGTGACTGCTGGATGTATGCTTAAAGCCCAGACCTGTCCTCCAGGTCGCGCAGCCAGCTTTGCACTGGTCATCTCCACCTGCGTGTTAGCAAACATCTCTCCATGAATTGATCAAAATCCAACTACTTGTTCTAATCTACTTCCCCCCCATTCTTTCTCATGTCTGTTAATACCATTGCTATCCATCTAATTACTGTTACCAAAAGTGTAATTTCCTCAGTTCCCATGTCCATTAGCAAATCTTACTGATTCCACCTCGAAGATATATTCCTAATCCAACCACTTTTCTGTTTCTACTTTTTTAGTCCAAACTGCTATCATCTCTTACCCGACTCCTTCAACACCTCAGCCTCATTTGTCTCCCTGATTCCGTTTCTGCCCCTCCATTCTCATTACCAAAATGATTAATTAATTAATTAATTTGAGGTACTGGGGATCAAAACAAACACCTTGTATGTGGTAGGCAGTTGCTCTACCACTGAGCTATACCTCCAGCCCCCAGAATGATCTTTTGAAAGTTTAGATCAGATCATGTCTCTCCCATCCTTAAAACCTTCCAATGGATTTCCATTGCCGACAGAGTAAGATGAGACCCAGCACCTACTATTTTTCTGTTTTCATCAGCCACCTCTCTTTTCACTGGCCCTCAGCCACACTGACCTTTCTGTTCTGCATATATCCAAGCTTGTTCTCACCGGCGGGATTTGGAATAGCTGTTCGCTCTACCTGGAATGTACTTTATCCATATGTATGTGACTAGCAGTGTCTGCTAGATATCAGCTCCGTAGAGAGGCCTTTCCTGACCACTCCACCTAAAGGGAATCTTATTTGATGGTTTGTCTCTGGATTTATTCCTTCCTTCTTCCTTACCTCCCGTTCATATTGCTTACCATTACTTTACATTGAATTACTTAGTTATCAATGATGTATGACTGTGTCTGCCTTCTCCTGAACAGAATGAATGTAAGTTCCATTGTTGTTTTTCACCATGCATAACCACTGCCTTACATGTCACATTGAAAGTACTCAATAAATATTTGAATGAATATGTGGACAATTAATAGCTCAATCTGCTCCAGAAGGTCAGTTTAGAAAACAGGAAACGTTAATTCTGCTTTGGAGTCAAAGGGTTGGGGTCTAATCTTTGTTCTGTTGTTTTTCTGAGAGATCCTGAATCTTTGTGAGCCCATTTTTTTCATCTGTAAAATAAGGTTAATAATAGTTCCCCTCTCACAGTCTGAGTTTGAGGATTCAGTGTATTTAAAGGATGAGGCACATGGTAAGTGCTTAGTAAATGTCAGTGCTTTTCTCTACACTTTCTGTGTGGCACAGATGCTCGGGAAAGGGCACATAAACACTTTTGGGGGCTCTGAAAGGACCCTTGGACTGAAGCATTCCAAAGGTCCTGATTGCATTGACAGCTTAATGAATCTGCTGTTCAGATTTCCAGCAAAGTAGCACTTGAAATGTTTTATTTAGTAGCACCACTGCTTTAGTATATTGTAATGGCTCTTTTACCAGCTTTTACTACCCATTTGTAAAGTGTTTTCTTGGGTTTTGCTGTGTGTCGTTTGGTGATGAGGAATGGTCCTCCTTTGGCTAACTGGATAGTAATCGTCATTATTTCTTATCTCTGTTAAAGAAGGAGGGGAGAGGAAAATTTAGGTTAATATCTCCGAACACTTGTAATACCAGAAATATTTTTAAAGTCAGGTTTTCTGTAGTTTAAGATGATTCACATATCCTAGATGATACTATGATAGCGTGAGCAAGGTACCATACATTTTAGTTTTTTTTTTTTTTTAATCCAATTTATTGTCCGGCAGGTGTTAATTTGAGCTGAGTTGACCCTGCCCCCTGATCATACGCATCTGGGTATGAGGAGGCCTTCGTTCCTGCCCTCAGAGGGTGCAGTGGGGAGGATAAATCAGGGTGCCTGCTACTTCCAAGGGTAGCACATATCAGAGGGAGGGAAGGCCAGGGTATGTTACAGGAACTGTAGGATTTGGTCTGACTGCCTCACAGGATTTCGTGAAACAAGGCAGGAAAAAGAAAAAGAAGAAAAGGAAGTAAGGTTATGTGGCCATGCTGACTTTTTCCTGCAAGCTGCATGACCTCATCCTGACCTGCATTATCCCGCTCCTGGAAGGCCAGCAGCCTTCCAACCAGCTCTGCCGAGAGCCTCCCCTCTTCCTTTCCTCCCTAGTTCTCTGCCTCAGTTTCTTCACTTCTTTGTTTCTTTTGAATGTGTTTCCTTCCTTTATTTTTTGGATGATAAACATTCTTATTTTGAAATCTTCAGATTGTTTTATGATTTCTGTTTTCTGGCATGTGAATTCTCTCATTTTCTGAATTGTCTTTTTGTTGGATTTTCTGTGCAAATTTGATTTGCTTGTCCTAACAGATTCCACCTGTATTTTCCCTGTGTGGTGGTCTTGAAGTTGCCTGAGGTCAGCATCTTAATAAAGGTCAGTGACATTTGTGTGGTTCCTCTTCCATCCTGGGAGTTAGACTTCTGGCTCCACTACTTTCTGCAAAGGCCCCCATTCTGGCCCCCTTCTCAGGGCTGTTTCCTCTGTACCTGATCTGTAGGTACCTTTATCTTAAGTTTGGGCCCACTGGTGGACCTTGAAATGCTCTCTTATCATGGATTTTTGCTGTCATTTCTGTGATCAGAACAGTGGAAAGAGCTCCTGTGTGTGCTTACCACCTGCTTGGCAGGAAATCTCTTCCTTTCTGAAGCACATGTGTGTGGAGGCCACCACATCACAGGCCTGTCAGGGCCCTCCTTTCCTTCACATGGTCTGCCAGAATCTTCGTGTCTCTCCTGCCTGGCTTTCCAGCCTCAACTCCTTATTTGCTACACTTTGGTGGTTGTTCATGTCATTGTCCATGCTCAGATTATTCTGCACTGATCCCGTACCATCCTTTCCTCAACTTCAGAAGCCCCCTTCTGACATGTTTCTTTCACCTGTAGTCTGGACACTGGGATAGTTGACCTGTAACCCTACCAGACTTTCACAGTGCCTCTGTTTCCCTTTTTATGTTGTGGAGTGATTTGCACACACTGACCTCTCACACCAGTCTTAAGTCCTTGCTGGCAATTTTGTATCCCTGGTTCCCCCTACAGTGCCTAGTACAAGAAACACACTCACCAAAGAGTTGTCTTAATCACTGGCACCATACCATGTGTTTTAAGTGCTGGGCTAGTTTTGTTTCCTTGGAAAGCAGAGCCTGAGATACAGACTTGGGTACAAGCGATGAATTTGGGATGTGGCAACAGGGAGCATGAGTGCCAGAGAGAGCGTGGAGAGAGTGAGACAGTGAAAGCCAAGCCAGTAAGGGTACGGTATTGACCTGGTAAATGCTGTGGGCAGCTGGGGCCCCATCCTGCTGGGCACCCTCTTAGGGACAGAGTAACCTGTGCCTGTGTTGTCCTCTGAAGGTTAGAACCTGAGCTATTCCCCCCACAGCTCTCTCCCCATTGAATGAGGGTTCCCCAGAGGTATTGGCTGCCCCGTACTTCTATACTGCCTGGCTCAGAGAGCTTTAGAAGAAGCCAGGTAGTGAAATGCAGAGGTGCTCCAGGTGGGACTGGCTGTGTCCATAGATGCCCACAGCTGCAGCTGAAGTCAGAGGGGAGCCAAGGACATGTGGCAAGGGACATAAAAGTAACTGCCACCCAGACACTACCTTGTTTAATTCTCCTACCTCTCCTGTGGAGGAAGACTTATCTTTCTTTCAAAGAATCACAGAGTTAGAATATGAAGCCATTTTATTTCTTTTATCTTATTTTTTGCATGCTGGAGATGAATCAGTGGCCTTGTGAAGGCCAGCACCCCCATCCCTGAAGGCATTTTTATCTGCCTTCAAGGTCAATGTGCCTCTGCTGTACATACATGCATGTTGATGAAGCATCTCTTCATGAACATCTATTTATTGAGCACCCACTATGTACCAGGATAGGTCAGGTTACCCATGGACCAGACAAGTTGGTGAGATTCATCCAAAGCCATCCTTGCCCTTGGTCGTATGAATGAGGACAGTGTCTCAGGTTGTGTTTGGTCACCCTGTAATGTCTTGACACCTTATGGTCCTTCTTGATCCTACCTCAGCCCAGCCTATGCTCACTATCCATGTGGCCCACTCACTTGGTGTGTATTTTGTGTCAAATGTTGCTCTTACCCATGCAGTAGACATAGTAGTAATTGCCTTGGTTGGGTATTGTGAGATGACATGGGATAAAATGCTTGGTGTGGTTCCTGGCCTATTGGGACTGTATTTCGTTTAGGCAGAATCTAGGCAAGAGTTAGTGGGGACAACTTGGGAACTGGATAGAGGACATGTTTATTTTTCTTGCTTCCTTCTCTTTGGAGAAACAGGCCAGACCTTCTGAAAGCATTACATGAACTGCTTCTGGAACAAATATGCTTGGCAGAACAGGGAGTTTCTGGAGAATACCTTGATGGTCAAACTGAGAAGAAATTTAAGCAAATGATCATTCAGCTGAGAGATGAACTCGGACATTTGGTTCAAGCTAGCTCATTCACCAAGCCACATGGTGAACTGAAGTCAACGGAGGCCCAGCTAGTAAAGATGGGTGAAGTGGCCGTGGTGGAGCTGAAAGATGCCTCAGTGCAGACTGTGCCCATGGAGAATCACCTGGTCAGGTTTGAATGTGAAGGAAAGAGAGAGGCTTGGAAAGAGATGCCAACAGATGCCATATTTGGTGCTGAGCCAGAGAATGAGTGCAGGATGCCAGGACAACAAGCCACTCCATTTCCTTGCCCCAGCACGGCCAACAAAGTAAGTTTGTCTGTATGTTATCTCCACTGCCACCATATTTTTCCACTTACATGAAGAAAAAGTCTGGTATTTCTGTGCTCGTGGCCTCGACCTGGAGGTGTACATGCTTCTACCTGTCCCCCTCCCTCCCTCTTTCCTGTCCTCACTCCCATTGTCTGGCTCCCCTTTCAACCCCAGCCCTATCTCATTTTCTGTGTGTCAGGATATTTTTGCATTTTCCTTAGAAAAACCATACATGGAATCATGTTGATATATCTGTCTTAGCTTTCTCTTTTACATTATGTATTGGAGACATTTTTTTTCTTATACTGGCTGTATAAGATTCCGGTGTGAAGATGTGCCAAAATACAGTTTTCACCTGCTGATGGACATTTCGGTTAGCAAGTTGAAGTAAAATTGTAATGATTTTAGAGTGGGGATGAGGTTTTATTTTGTGAGGACTTTTTGAGGGAGAAGTATTTTTCTCAGGGCTTGGTCTGGATTCGAAGCCAGGTCTGGATTCGATCCTGAGTTTCCATGATTGGCCAGCAGTTAAGAGCCTTGGCTGGGGTTCCCACTGTGCCTAACACCCTTTCCTTGGTCAAGCTACCTTTCAGTTATGGTTGCCCAAAATGGAAGGCCCTGGTTTTGTTGAGTATTCAGTGTAGGTGCTCTCTTGGAGTTGGGGTGAGAATCCTTGTGGCTGGGAGATATGTTTGGATAGGAAAGAAGTAGATCGTGTTTCTAATAGAGTTCCAGGGTAGACTGTTGGATTCTTGTCTCTGATGGTTATTTTGTACCTGAGAAATCAACTGTACACACTGCTTCATAGCATCAGAATGGAGAATTAAGTTTATTTTCTGACCACTAAATTACTGCTTTTGTGCATACCAAAGAGAGTTAGATATATCATTAGCAAAATTGCTTTTGATTGTTTTAAATTATGCACCCAAACTGTAATTTCCAGAAAAAGGTTTTCTAAAGATATCAGTAGAGACCTAAAAAGAAAAAAATACACTGTCATTATATTAATGGTACTCAAAATGCAAATTTGTGTAATTTGGCTAGAATGAAAGTGCTCTCATCTGGCCCAGCTCCTTCAGTTAGTACCTGTCTATTAGGAAAACTAGGTAGTTTTTTTGGTTTGTTTTTGCGTTTTTCTATTGTGTGGGAGGTGTCATCCTCTGTTCAGGAAAATTGGATAATTGAATGGACTTAATTTCCCCAAATATTTAAATATTTTTTTTGTTTGAAATTATCTGTCCTGGTTGTGTTTTGAAAGGAGAGAAATTGTACTTTACTTTAAAATTTTCATTACTATATATATCAGGGATTGTGCTCAATTCTCTCTACACCATCTCATTTAATCATCTTAACAAGCATGAGTTTTGTAAGTATATGTACATTTTACACATGAAGAAATATAGACATTGAAAGGCTCAGGAAAATGGTCCAGTGTGACTCAGCTGGGAAGTGGACTGCTGAGATGTTATGAACTTGCCTGGTTGTAGAGGCTTCAGCGATAGTGTCAGCCTATCTTTTTCAGGGAGTCTGGAACCCTCTCATCTCCTATGTGGTTTCCAGCATATGCAGACATGAAGAAAGTTTAATGGTTTTCTTTGTGGTTTTGGTCGTGGCTTATACAAGCACTCTGGGATCCTGCACACATAACTGGTGGTGGAGCGTGAAACAGAGACCAGATATCCTGGTCCTGGCTATTTAGTTACAGAGGCAAGAGGAAGGACTTTACTTAACCCATGTTGAGTCCCTGGATAATAAGTCTCCTGACCTCAGTGGCTTGCATAGGATTAGTGTGGCCTAGACCCTATGGCTGTCATGGTGGCAGATGGACATAATGTGTTGTGTCATGAATGTCTAGGGCAGTACCTTCTATGTGGTAGGAGCTCAGAGTTCGTGAGTTCCTGCCTCCATCCATTGCCAAGCAAGAAGTTCTGATATGACATTGCTAATAAGTGGGTAGGTGGACTCTGTTTGGAGTCCATAAGGTAGCATTTCGCACGCTGTTATTTTAGAACAGGCATTGGGTTGAATGACGGCGGTCTTCCAGCTTGAAATTGGCTTTGGCATTTGTGTACTTTCAGATATCTTTTCTGCTGCCATATGACACACAGATTTGGAACTAAGAATAAAGATTGGTGGAGACCCAGGACCAAGCAAGTGACTGTTATTTTCCAGCCCTCTTTGCTGAGCCATCCACCTCTTCCCAAGTGTTTGTTCCCCCCTCACCCCTGCAGACTGCTCTTGTCCTTGAATCTGCTCTCTCCTCTTGCCTGGAATTTCAGGGCAGAAAGCATCTTGCTTTTTCTAACTAAGAACTAGAGTCTGAAGAGCTGGTTTGAGCTTGAACCTTGAACCTTCTTGATGTATGACAGTGGACTAGTTGTTTCACCCCTCAAAGAACAGGCGTGATACCCTCTGTGATGTAGTGAGCTCTGAGAATACAGAGTTGATCCGGAGACTGTGGGAGACTGTGCTGGAGAGCATCTTATACCCTAGAATATGCAAGAAAGGCCCTTACTCTGCTCCTTCCGGAGACACTTTGGTTGTCGCCTCACACCCTAGGTCCTAAATATTTCCTGTATGAATGTCAGGTTCCTACTCCTCTCCTATTAAAAAAATTATTAACAGCTTTATTAGATAGAATTTACATATCATATGCTTTAGACACTTAAAATGTACAATTCAATGGTTACATATATTTATAGTTGTATAACCATTACCATTGTTGGAATGTTTTTATTATCCCCAAAAGACATCTGTACTCAGAAGCAGAGAGGTCCAGGCCCCCGCCCACACATCCCCAGCCTCAGCCACTTAACATATTCCTGCTGGCTTGAACCACTGGTGATACATGCATGACCATCCCATTGGGTGGCTCGTACCACTGGTAATAGAAACAGATCTAATCACTTTTATTGGTATTTTTACTAATAAAATTAAATCAGAGCCACCAGCAGGAAGCAAGATATGTAAATTAAATCAGAGCCGCCTAGCAGCGAGACATGTTAATCACAGTCTCATCGTGACTGTGTCAATCTACTTTCAGACCATTTGTTTACATTTGCCTATTCTGAATATTTCATATAAATGGAGTCATACAATATGTAGTCTTTGGTGAGTGGCTTGTTCTGCTAGCATGATTTTTTTTTTTTTGGTGGTAACGGGGATCAAACTCAGGATCTTATGCTGTGAGGCTGGTGCGGTGCCACTGAGCTAAGTCCCCAGCCCTTGCTTAGCATAATATTTTCAGGATTCATTTATGTTGGAGCACTGGGTCAGTACTTTATTTTTATTGCTAAGTAATATTCTAATGCATGGATATACCATATTTTATTTATCCATTCACCAAGTACAGCACATGTGAACTGTTTCCCCTTTTCAGGTACTATGAACAATAAGTGCCAATTTTTGTATATATGTGTTTTCCTTTTTCTTAGGTACATACCTAGGAGTAGAATTGATGGGTCTATGGTAAATCCATATTTAACCTTTTTTTTTTTGGTACCGGGGATCGAACTTGGGTCCTTGCGCTTTCGGGGCAGGCGGCGGAATCACTGAGCTAAATCCCTGGCCCCATATTTAACCTTTTAGGAAATGCTAGACTTTTCTAAGCAGCTGTGCCCATTTTACATTACTAGCAATGTATTAGGGTTCAAATTTCTCCATACCTTGACCAACACTTATTACTGTCTTTTTGATTGTAGCTATCCTAGTGGGTATCAAGTGGTGGTATACTATTGTGATCTCATTTATACCAGCATCTTTTCATGTAATATTAGCTGTATGATAACTCCTTTGGAGAAATGTCTATGGGGTCTTTGGCTCATCTTTTAACTGGATCATTGATTTTTTTTGTTGTTGTTGTGTTGTAATAGTTCTTTATATATTTTAGATTTAGTTCCCTCCCCTCAGTTTTTAAGTATGTTTAAGACTCATCATTTGAAAGGTACCCTCATATGGCCTCTTACTGTTTGTCTGTTCATTCCAAAAATAGTTTTGGAGTGGCTGCTGTGTACTAGTTCTTGTGTAGGAAGCTGTGGATAGATTGTGGCCAAAATATGCAGAATCCCTGCACTCTGGGCCTTACACAGCATGGTGCAATGAATAGGCAGTGAATAAGTAATGGCACAGATAATGATCCTAATGGTGAGGAGCCTTCTAGGGGACCATAAGTGAGTAACAGGGAGACTTGACTTGGTATTGTCCTGAGGAAGGCACCTTTGAGCTGAGTTCTGATGAATGATTTAGAGTTAGTGGGGAAGTAGAAAGACTTTGACCTTTGTTGTGAGAGAACTGGGAAGAAATTATAAGAGTGGATTAGAGAGAACAACAGTGAGTACATGAAGAAGGAGCCATTCAGGAGCCTGTTACTGTGGCCCAGGTGAGAGCTAACAGCATCTTTGTGTTGGGTGGTGGCAGTGGAGGATGAGAAGAGTTGAAGGAATTGAGAGACAACTTAGGAGTTGGAATCATTAAAATCTGATCAGTGGTGAAAGTGATGAGAATAAAGGGAAGTTTAAGAATGACTCCCAGGTTTCTGGATTGTACAGTAAGGGAATAATTGAGTGACTCACCAAGACAGATAAATGCAGTGTTGTGTATTTGTGGGTGGGGACATGCCATGATGGCATCAAAGCGTTGAATTTTCAGTTGGCTTTGTAGTGCCTGTAATGTACTGCAAATGAAGGTTGTTGAGGATGGGCGGATTGGGAAATCCCCTGGGCCAGTGACTCAGGAACCACTGAAATAAGGGGGTAGTTCTGGTGGACTAACATGGTGGGAGACAGATTGGCTTACACTGGGAATGGGTGGGAAATAAGTGGGAAAAATGTTTCCCAGAAGATTTTGTTGGATAAAGAACTGCCAGATATGGAGCATCTGAACTGTCCAAAGACAGTAGGCCAGGTCTGAGAGGATGTCAAGAAGTTGACCCTTGACAATTCGAGGGGACACCTGCCAAGATATGTGCTCCTTGACAGGAAGTTCAACAAAGATGCCATTATAGGAATCAGCAGTCTGGGTGGCCAGTTTGAAACCTATTTTATACGATCAGCATGAGTTTTATAAAATCAACCAAAGGAAATATGTTTGAAGTGTGTTCACTGTTTGTGTATGTGTGTGTTTTCAGGATGTTAAGAGGTCCCGCTTGCCAATCCTAGCAAAGCCATCCCGATCATTAGGAAATATGTATCATCTTCCTGGCACCCAGGAGGTGGTAACTCATCTACAGGGTCAGATCTTGGAGTTGCAGGGGGAGCTGAATGAGTTTAAAACTCTAAATAAGCAACTTCACCAAAAGTTAATTCTGGCCAAGGCAATGATGGATGAGAGGCCAGCACCTGACCCAATGCTACTGAATGGTAAGCACCAAGAAAAATGCATTTGCCATGAGCTAGACGAGCAGCATGATAGAACTGCCTGAAATGTCAAGCTTGTTGTTTAGAATTGCAATAAGTTTGAGTATAGATTTCATGAATTGCTGTGATTAATCTTAATAAATGCACAATAAAGGAACACAAAAAGGAAGATTTAATCTATTGCTTCATTTTTTTTCTGGGGTCTGGATCAGTGGGATATTTAGTGCTTTTGGGTCTTGAGGGGTCTTGCCTCCTTCAGCTGGGATCGTGGTGCCCAGTTGTGGACAGCTTCAATCTGGGTTTCTGACCTGGCTATGTCTGTGGAAGCCTCGGGCACGTGGCATCAGAAGTACGCAAGTGAGAGTCCTCTTTGCAGGAATATTCAGGGCATCTCTGGGCTGATTGCAAACCTTTCTGACCTTATGTCTTCCTCTAGAAATGACCTACCTCCCTGTCTACTTTGAATCTACTGCTTTTGCTCTTTTGGAGGCCTGGGTTAAAATGTGTCTAAAGGGGCAGAATCCAGAGACTTGGAGGAAACACATCAGGTGGTGTGTGTCCTCTTTGTCTAAGACAGTGGTGCTTAGAAATTTTGGGTCACAACTCTTTTGAAAATCTGGAGTATGGTAAGAGGCCTTGACAGTGCAGATCAGCACATGGTAGCATTTTACATTGATCTCTGAGAGTTCATGGATTTATAAAAGTATGTATGTTGACTCCTCATTTTCAAGCCAAATATGTGACTAGCATTGAGTGAGAAAGAGGGACAGATACAGAAGATGAGGTTAGGGGTGGGTGGAAAATTGGGTAGGCTCCCATAGGCCATTCTTGTCTAAAATTGGAAGTTGTTGGAGGATTCTGATCAGCAGAGGGATGTGACCTGACTTAAGCCTTGAAGCACAAATGGGCAAACTACTGTCTTTGGGCCAAATCCAACTTGCTGACTGTTTTTGTAAATAAAGTTTTGTTGGCACACAGCCACACTCATTCATCTGCATATTATCTGTAAGTACTGTTGCACTATGCCGGCAGAGTTGAATAGCTACGATAGAGACCCTAGGGCCTGCAAAGCTTAAAATATTTATTATTAGCTTCCTTAAGAAAAGTTGGCTGGCTCCTGCTTTAAAGAATCACTTCTGCTTTGAACCATTAGAAGGATAGAGTTGTCACATTTTGAGATGGGAATGGCTGCAGGAGAGGCAGGTGTGGGGGATATTAGATGTCTGGTTTGGGACTTACTGAAATGCCCGTTGACCTGTTGACCATGCTAGTGGAGATGGCAGGTGGGCAGTTAGAGATCGGAGAGTTTGGAGTCAAGAGGAGAGGTCTGGGGTGAAACTTAGGAAATAGCCACATAGCACTAATATTGAAAGCTATGCAGTCTCAGGGAATTGAGAGTGGGGCTCTTTAGAGATTAGAAGTTGAACTTAGAAGGAGCAGCCAGTGAGGGAGGACCCTCTGCCCAGAGAGACAAGGAGGCCTTTAAGGGAGCTGATTCCATGGAGTGGGCGGGCCCTGATGGCATGGGTTTCAGACAGAAAATGGAGGAGAGAAGCTGGAGACTGTAAGAACCGAACCCTTTGAGGAGGAATAGTACTGGCAAGAGGCATAGAGAAGCAGAGCAGCGAGGAGCCACATGGTCACTGAATCTCCAGGGACCCAGGGAACTGGTGGATGGGGGAAGATGCAGTGAGGTAGGGTACCGGTGGTGTTGTCTAGCGGCGTGAAGTGTGAAGCTAGAGTTTTGGGGAAAGATATAGAATGATCTGGAAGTGGCAGTGAGGAGCAGAGATGCTGGCACACTTCCAGAACCCAAATTCAGAGATGTAGGAATAAACAGCCACTTCTGTGAAGGCTGCAGGAGCAGCAGTGTCCACAGGGGACAGCCCTGGTTCACTGAGAACGAGGAGGTGAGAAAGACATCCACAGAGGAGGTTGATGGTCCTGGGGAGTTGCTAGTGATAGGTATGTGTACTGCGGGAGAGTGTGTCTGGTGAAGGGATTTTTCAGAGATCAGCCTTGGACTTCCTGTAGTGTTAGTACAACAAGCACCTGTTATTTATTGAGCCCTGCCATAGGTATTAAAAACAAAATAATTGAACCCAGTCCTTTGGTTGTTCAGTAATCATCTCTGTCTTCAGTTCAGACAGCAGTTTCAGAGATAACGTGACTTGTCTGTAGTCACCCTGTTACTAACTTCCACAGCTACTTGTGAACCAGCCTGCCTGGTTTCGAAGCCTGCATTCTTTCCTGTTTTACAGAGCTTAGCGTATGATATTTCTCGTGTGGATTTTGTGATGATCTATAGCCAGAGGTAACTTCCATTTAATATTAGGTTCTCTCTTGGGTTTATCATAGTTGAGGTTTCAACGTAAGTTAGCTTTCAGCAGAATTGCTCTTCCCTCCCTTCCCCACCTTCTATCAGTCCTATCTTCCTTTCAGGGAATGATCCCTGAGCACTCACTGCGTCCCCAGCCTCACAACACAGGGTGTAGGGCCAACTGAGATGAATCAGTTACAGTCTCTGCCTTCTGAGAGCTCCCTATCTAGTTGGGGGGTGGGCAGCTGCACATAATTAAATCAGCACAGGAGTGGGGTAGGGGCTTCTGAGAGGAAAGATTTTATGGCAGAGGTGACTCAGCCCAAGAGAAGCCCTAGCACTTAGTGCAGGGGCTGCCATTTGTGCTCAACAGTGTTTTTACTTCTTGCTGATGCTCTAGGGTGCCTCAACAAGGTGCTGCTTCTGCTGTTGCTCAGAGGACCCTGAGGCCTCTCTCACATGGGAAAAAGGGGCACGAGTTGATGGAATTCATTTTCTCACTCACAGTTTTTTGAGAACCTGACTTAAACTATTTCAGACAAGCTGCAGTATATTTATGCTTTTTATGTCCTGTTATGGCAGCTCGATAGATTAATTTTATCTTATAAATTGCATTTTGCCTCCTCAGTGCTTTCATTTTCCCTGTTGTATCTTTGTGTTCTTCTCAGTTTCTTGGCTAAGTTTCAAGTCTATGCTTTTATTTTTCTTTCTCTTTGCCAGTGCCTACAGCTCAGCCTCTTGTGGGAGCAGCTTACCAGGACAGCTCAGGAGAGCAGAAAGGAACTGAAGCCACACCCTCTGCCCAGAGAGACAAGGAGGGGGACAGTGACCAGCAAACAAGCTACGTGATCGGTCAGAACTAAATCTCTATGAATATTGAACAGCTACCTGGGACCAGGTGTCATTTTGGATGATTTAGGTCAAAATTATCATTAGGCCCACAGCAGTTCTCTCAGGGAATCATTATCCTTCTCCCCGAACACATGAAGAAGCTGAGGTTTTAAAAATGATTGACCCAGGATCCCCCAGCTGGTAAGGAGGTGGAAGAGTCCGGGCACAGCAGAGTGTCGGTTGGAGCTTACCAGTCCATTTGTTAGCCCCTTCTGTTAGCCAGTAGGTAGGTTTTGGTGGTTTAGCATGAAAAGATACAGTGCCTGCTCTCAAGGGACCTCACACCTTAGGGAGACAGTTATTGAAACACACTATTAGCATCCAGGATGGTGCTGGCTGCTATGGAGCTGTACACAAGGGCGATCTCCCCCTTGCCCAGGAGGAGAAGGTCAGAGGAGAGCCTGCCACTGAGGTCATGTGTATGGGGTTTGCCAATAGGCCAGTAGGGAAGGTACAGGGATGTGAATGAGGCCTACAGCAAGTTTTATCCTCCCCCTACTTTTTAATTATGAAATATTATAAGCATACAGATACTCGCAGGATGACCCAGCAGATATGCATGTTACCGTTCAATCAGAATGAGCAAATGCTTACATTTTCTTTTTACCTTAGATCTTTTTTTTAACTCTTCATTTAAAAACGAAGTCATTATTATTCTGGATCTGGTTCACTCTGTAAGAAATAAGGGTCATTAGAAATCCTGAATCTGTCATAGGATGGCCGTGGGAATGAACACCAGGCTCTGCAGAAAGACTGAGCTGTGAGTCCCATCCCTCTGGTGTGCACTTTCCCAAGGCCGGAAGTCAGTGCAGTGAATGCACACTCACATGCTTCAGGGTCTTTGGTGCTTTTGAGGAGAAAGCAGTTCTCCTGTGCAGTGAAGTACCCCTCAGTCATTGTGGAAAGTTTTAGAGCTACAGTACTTTTTATGGACTAAACAGATGGCCACAGGGCCCTCTTTGGATGTCTTCTTCATAGTGATTAATGGAGACTTTCTGATGGTTTCCCTTTGCTGCTCAGTATGCCCTTATCGCTGTACTTCCTGTATTTTTCTGAACGTGCACCCAGAACTTTGCACATGCTGTTGGCTCTGCCTGAACTTCTCCCTTTAATGCTGCCTAGGGTAGCTTCATTGTATAGATCCCCACCTAAATTTCACTTTCCATAGCTGTACTTCCCAAGACCCCAGTATCTGAGGACTCCTGTTAGCCCCTATACCTTTCCTTTCCTTTCCTTTCCCAGCATCCATTGGTATTGAATTGACGCGACTTGCTTAGTGACTGCCCTCCTCAGGGGTGGGTGCTTTGGGTGATGCCTTCACATCAGGAGTCCAGTAGTAGGCACTTGGGAAGTGAATGAAGGGATCACACAGGCATTACTGGCCTTCACATGGAGGGAGAGGGTTCAGATCTCTCCCACCCCCACCCCCTAGCGGGAGGGCTGTGTCAGGAGGCAGCATTCAGAGTGTTGAAGCAGGCAGCCCAAGTCTGATGAAGGGTCCTGCTACTCTCTCACTCTGAACCTTGGCCAAATTAGCCAGGTATCAAAGCCTTGACTTCTTCTGTAAAATGTGTGATACTAACAATGTCTCCCAGGATTGCTGTAAGTAGACAACACCGGTGAGGTGCTAGGTGTGTAGGCCAGGTCCTGGCACGTAGTTACATGTCCTGAGCTGTCCACTAGGCCTACTGTGTCCCCGACCTCATACACACCGTTTAAGAGAGAGAGAGAGGAGAGAGATGGATTAGTTGCCATCTCTCCCTTCGGAGAACTCCCTGTCTAGTTGGGGTGTAAGCAACAGCAGATAATTAAATCAGCGCAGGGGATGGGATGACTTCTTACCCTACAACCTACAGTCCTCCCTTTCCCCCCTCTCCATACAGTGGTTCTAAACCAAACAGTGGAAGCAGCTCCTTTATCAAAGGCTGCTGAGACATTGCCATCCTGGTGCTGGCTGTGAGACTTGCTGTGTTCTGGCCTTGAAGCCTGGAAGCCAAATCCTAACCTGTGCTAAATCACAAATTGCTATAGATTGTTGACTTTTGGGGGCATTTCTGAAGTCAAAACTATTAGCGAGATATGTCTGAATGTTATGTTTCTTACCTTTTTAGAGAAGGAGCTAAAAATGCAGGCCTAAGTGTTCGTGTGAGAGTGCATGGGGCCCCTGCCCCCATTATCTGGGATGTGCCTCTGTGTGTGGCTAATACCGGAGCTGACCACAGTCCGTGTCACAAATGGACATTTGTACAGGACTTATGTTTGTCTTCACCTCATGATTACTTAATGAAAGTCACTGGAACTAACCTTTGGTCCCGTGAGCAAACATTGCTTCTTGTCATGAAATGAAGACCAAATTCCATTAGAATGAGGTGGTTACAGCAAAAGTATTTCCTTATATTGGAGAGTGATTCACTAGAACAATGCCTTGTTGAGAGACCTCTCTCTTCTTTCTCTCTCACCCTCTTTCAGCCTGAAGTACTTACTGATTACCTTTTCCGTCATTGGCCCTATAACGGTCAGCTTTTTTTTTTTTCTGAAACAAAATACCTGACATACACAGTTTAAAGGACTAAACGTTTATTTTGGCTCATGGTCTCGTCTCAGTCCATGATTGGCTGACTCCTAGGCAGAAACATCATTGCAGAAGGGCAAGGTGGAAAAAACCTCCTCAACTCATGTTGTCCAGGAAGCAGAGAAGAGGAGAAGAGCTAGAGAGGAAGGGGCCAGGAACCAGCGATAGCCCCCATGGGCCTGCCCCCATGACCCAGCCAGACACACCCAAAGTATGCTTTTCTAATCTCCCAGGTGTCTCTCAAGCCAATCCAGCTGAGGGTTACATTAACCGTGACAGACCCCATGTCAGACACTGGAATAACAGATGAATTCCATGGGCTCTACTCTCATGAACCTCATAGGGTAGTGACCCTAACAAACTGGACACAGTAAGAATGCTTCCTTTAGGTCACGTGGCAGTTGCTGTCTAAAACAAAAAGGTGTATTTTATGGTGTGTACATCACAAGCAGAGACAAGAGTGAACCTAAAGTCATAAGGAACCGACTGTAGAACCAGACATCGGAACATGCAGTTTCACAGGATATTTGTGTGATTTTCTTTTGAGAGTTCTTCTAGGTCACCTGGTCCATCCCACAGTGCTGCTTTTGCAGCATTCACTTGCGTGCTTCCAGTGATGGGTATCTCCTATTTAACGGTTTGGGGGAAACAAAGAACATATTCATACTAGTTAAGTTCCTTCATTACTATTTGTCAGATGCCGTGTAAGCCTTTTTGTTTTTCAGATATTGTTTCATAAAACCTTAAAACACAAATACAACTCTTCATAGTGAATGATGTTCTTTCCATTTTACAGATGAAGTTACTGAGATTCAGAGAGGTTAACTATTTTGCCTAAATCACTAAGGTCACCTAGAAAATGGCAAATTCAGTGTTTGAAATCCAAGCCTGTTGGATTTCAAAATTGATTTTTCCAACTATATTCTGCTGCCTTTTAAAGTATTTGAACAACTCCTTGTATGGAGTTATAGTTTCTCTGAGAAGCAGGCAGTGTGGTATAGGGGTTAAGGGTTGTGTGTGCACCCAGCAAGTAGCAAATCTAGTTGTGATCTTACTGCTCTTTGTCTTCTCTCTGACCCACCAATCCACCTTTCAGACAAGTTGGGCTGCATCTCTGGAGATTTAAGCTTGGTATCAGGAAATGTTTCTTGACAGGCTTGTGAGTCAGTGAAAAAGCTCACAAAGGGGCCATCACGATGTCTCCTGGATACTGATAGACTTGGAAATGAGAAAAGCACACTCCTGTTGTGGATGTTGGGAGTTACTGCTCTTTAATGTTGCTTCATGAGACCCTCAATATTTCTCAGACTGTCACTGTTTTCTGATCTGTGCTAGGTACCGTACTAGACAGTGAGAATGTGAGGATGAAAGGCCACATTCCTGCTATAAAGCAGTATGCAGTCTAGTGAGGGAGAGAGGCATCCAAATAACTAATTGGTTTCTAAACAAATGAGCCAACTGTAATTCCTGATTGGTCCTCAGACCATAGTATGTTTGTTGGGGTGACATACATGTATAAGGAGCTATGGAGCATAGAGAAGAATGACTTTTGCATAGTTTGGAGGTGGGTTTGGCAGAGAAAGAAAAATTAGATCTGGGAGGACACATAGGAGTTCTTAGAGTAGGAGTAGAATAGAGAGCTAAGGGTTTTCCAGGCAGAGAGCCAAGCACATGCAAAAGTATGGAGACATGAAACAGCGTTTTATGTGCAGGGAGCTGTGGTTAATTTTCGGGAAACACCAGAGGTGGTGTCAGGGAACGTTTCCTGAACGGTTGCTAGAATCAGATCATGGAAGGTCTCAGGGAGTGGGCATACAATGAGTTTTAGGTCTATTGCTGGTTTGTCATGTTTAATTCACTCTTTTAAACATTTTCTCTGAGAAAGAGGATAGATTGAGAGGTAAAGGGCGTGCTTGCTAGGTTTCTATTGGTGTGACAAAATACCTGAGAAAATCAACTTGAAAGGAAGAAAAGTTTATTTAGGCTCATAGTTTCAGAGGATTCAGTCCATAGTTGCCTGACTGCATCACTTTGGGCCTGTAGCAAGGCAGAACATCCTGGAGAAGAGTGCATAGTGGAGCACAGCTGCTCACTTCATGGTGGCTGACAGACAGACAGGGAGGGGGAGGGGCCAGGGTCACAGTCTGCCTTTCATGGGCACAGTCTCTCTTTCTTGCATGCACCCCCAATAACTTAGCCTCTTTCCATGAAGCTCTACCTCCTAAAGGTTCTGCCACTATCTGTGGTACCACAGGCTGGTCTTTTGGAGACATTTAAGATCTAAACCATAACCAGAAGCACTAGGGGCAGGGAGACTTGTTTGGCGGTTGTTGTAATGGTCTTGGCTCAGTTGTTGTGATGTAAAGGAGATACTGACATAAACATATTTGGTTTTCAGATTCTAAAGTTTATCCAACTGATGACCTTGCCACATTACCAGCATGTATAGAGAATCCTGAACATTCACCGTGCTCAACCTCAGTATCTACTCACTTGAGTTCTAAGAGTCAGCTTTCTGCTAAAGACAATGTGATTTGGACTGATGAATCTGAGAACCCTGACATCTCAAATGATACAGAATACTTAAAACAGAAAATCCATGACTTGGAAACTGAGCTAGAGGGCTACCGGAATTTTGTATTGCAGCTTCACAAGCATTCCAAGTGCAGTGAGGCCATTATTACAGTTATGTGTGAGACAGAAGGGGCCCAAGGTGGTTCAAACAAGCCCAAAGGCAGCACCGATGAAGAAGATATGACCTTTTCAAGTCTGCACCAAGTACGATATGTGAAACATATGAAAATCCTCCGTCCATTGTCCCTGGAAATGATTGATGGCAGGATGCTGGAAACTCTCAAACAGCGGCTGGTGGAACAGGAGTATGAGCTGCAGAAGGAGGAGAATTTGAACTTGGAACTCTTCAGTGAAATCCATAACCTACAGAATAATTTCAGAGATTTCTCACCCTCAAGGTACACTCCATATTTGCCTTCTCCCCCATGTAAGCTTGCAGCCCACCAATACTGCCCCTAGGCAGGCCATGTGAAGTACAGGAGGTTGCTGCTCTGTGATGGGGTGGAGTATCACAGTGTCACAGCCTTGGGGAAGGCTTTGTGGTGGGGATCAGGCAGCCAGGCCCTTGGAGAAATGAAACATGAGGCCACAAAGCATAGTGCCTGCACACATGCACATCAGTTATGAGTGGAATGTCCTCTGAAATTGGCAAGGCAGATTTTGCCTTCTTGGGCTGGGACTAGGGTAAAGATTTCACATCAGTCACTTGGTGAATTACAGTGCATCTGCTTTACTGCAGTGTTTATTCTTCTCTGTTATTGGCTTTTGCTGTACTATGGAACAAAACCTGATGTCCTAGGCAGAGTGGGAGGAATATAAATATTTTCCGTATCTTTACCCTCTAAGGTCATCTTACAGAAATAAGGCTGTGTTGAAAGAGAAGAATTTTTAGGTCGTGAAGATAATGCCTTATGGGTATAAATACGTACAGTTTTGCTTTATGAGTTATGGCAAAAATGGGTCATTTGTAAAGGTGACCTTCATTTGTCACTAATTTGAGACAAGCACATCGTTCTGAGTTGGCAGGAGCCAGAGTGAATTTTCTAAGACTTCCCAAGCAGGGAGATTGAAGGAAGCTTGCAATTTACTGATGAGCTGTTGTGTCAGGCCCCTGGTAACAGAACTTTTCTTATTTAATCCTTACATCCCCTGAGCATGAGGTGTTCTCATCTTTTTTCTATAGATAAGGAGCCTCATGTAGGTTGCTGCGACTTGCCTGCAACTATTCCTAGGGCTGTCAGAGCTGCTCCAGGCTTCATGCCCACGATGTCCTACTCTAGTGCCCATGCTCCTCCTCTTCCATTGAACCAACCCCTCCTCAGGCACTGGTGTCACATGATTAGTATGTGCATTCTTAGTGTCAGAACTGTTCTCCAGGCCCGCATACTGTTGTCATTTCAGGGAAGGGGAACATGAGGAACTGAAGTGTCAGCCAAGTCTCTTTGGAGCCAGGTTACTGTGGCCACAGTTGCTATGAGCCACGTGTCCTCCACTTGTATTTTTCTCAGTTCTGGCTAATACTCCTGGGCCCAAATATGAAAAGACAGCCCCTGGAGGTAGTATTGAATAATCGAGTTTCGGAGAGTTGTGTTTGAATTCCAAACTGTCACCACTAACCCAACTTTGTGATCACTTTTGTTTCCTCTAAAATGAGGCATGAATATATTTGTTGGAAGACTGAGAGAATCAGATAACAAATAAAATACCTCCTTTGGTGATTGACAGGTCTTATGTACTCTGCAAGTGGTGGGTAGGAGTATGATTATTCTCTGATCTTTCAGTTGGGAGGAGAAAGTCCTATCTTATACCTTCCTTTTTTTTTTTTTTAACTTCATAAGGGTGGGTCCCTGGATCCTTCAGGCACTTGTTTCTATAGTTCAGAATAGAACTAGTTGTTCTCTTGAGTCCTTGGCAATTATACTTTAATTGGGAGCTTTATAAGGTTAAAACTATTGCAGAGGAGTCTTTGTTCTAGCTTTGTTGGCTCTTTAATCTCAAAGAAGGAGTAGCCTTGTACAGTTTCAGCTTTTCTAAAACTATATATATACTTGTACAGCTGCAGGTAAAAATTTTGCTCTGTCATTTTTCTAATTAGCATGTAGGTCACAAAAATTCAATTCTAAAATGGCACAAGCATTTTCTTTTCCCCCTTTTACCAGATACGGTTCATTAGTTCAGTCCCAAGCCAAGGAGCTCTCCCTTCAGCGGCAACAGATTAAGGACAGTCATGGCATCTGTGTCGTTTACCGTCAACACATGAACACCATGATTAAGGCGTTTGCAGAGCTGCTGCAGGCCAGTGATGTGGACGACTGCATGGCCGCAGGTTTCCGGGAGCAGCTGAATCAGTGTTCTGAGCTCCTGGGGAAATTGGAGAAGCTGTTTCTCAATGGTAAGTGGTGTAGGGTGGAGGGTCCTGAGACAATCAGTAATTGACCTGGGACTTCCTGGGCGGGCCTAGAGGAAGTGATGCATTGGGCCTCACCTTTGCCTTGACAAGGTGACAGCAGAAGGCCCTGGCTGCTGTTTCCTGCACTGGTCACATCCATGTGGCTTCTGGTCTGCACTGTACCAAGGCTGTGTCAGTTCAGATGCCTAAGGGGCCAGGCTGGAGAATTGCATGGGTGCTGCCCTCAGCACTGGCCAAGTGGTTGCCCATTCTTCTGAATTATCTGGAAAAGATGGCGTGTGTGTGTGTGTGTGTGTGTGTGTGTGTGTGTGTGTGTACACACTCATGGGTTTTAAATGTTAGCCCCCCCCCAAAAAAAACAACAGAAAAAACCCCAAACAAACAAAACATGTCAATTAAAATGTATTCAAGGGTCAAGAATGACCAGAGAAAGGATGAAAGGAAATCTTAAAATTTTTGCTATATGCTAGATATCCTCCACCATCTTTTCTCTTTCCTCTCTTTTGAGACAGTGTCTTGCTATGTTGCCCAGGCTGTGTCTGGGCTCAAGCAATCTGCCTCCCTCAGCCTCCTGAGTAGCTGGAAGTGTAGGTGCATGCCACCACACTTCTGTTATTTTAGTAATGTTACTACATAATTTTTAAATGATTTTTTTCAAGACTATAACAAAGAATTCCTATACCCTTTGTCTAACTTCGTCAGTTGTTAACGTTTTGCCTCATTTGTTTTATTTTCTCTCTCCACATACATATTATATTTCTGAATCTATGAGGGTGTATCGACCATGTCATATCCCTTTCCCTCAAGCTACTCCAGGGTGTTTTTCAGGCCAAGGACATTCTTATATATAATTCTCAAAGTCAGAATAGGATAATCTCATATACTGTTATTTAATATGTAGTCTGTATTTTATAATTGATTCAGTGGTGTTTATAACAGTTTTATTCCTGATCCTGATTCAAAATCTTGCCCCCACATCACTTTTCCCCGGTGTTGGGATTGAACTCAGTGCCTTGCACATGCTAAGCAAACCCTCTGCCATTGAGCTAGATCCACTGCCAGCCGTCCACTGCCCCATTATCTTTAGGTGTCGTCTCTCTTTGGTCCCTTTTAATCTGGAGTCCTTCCTCACCCTTTCTTTATCTTTATGACACTCATGTACTTGAGTTCAGGCTAGTCCCACAGTTTTGGCTATCTGTTGTCTACTCATGATGAGATTCCTGACTAGCTGAGATCAGTTATGCACTTCTGGCAAGAAGGCTACATGAGTGATGTTTTGTTCTCATGATGTCACATTAAGAAGGCACACAATATCAGTTTTCTCATTTTTGGTGATGTAAACTTTGATGGACTTTGGTGATATCTGTCAGGTTTCTCCATTGTAAGTTATAGCATTTCCCTGTGCAACAAATAAATAATTGAACACTTTGTAACTCTGTAAATAGTCCATTCCTCTTTGAACTTTTACCCAGGCATTTTAGCATCCATCAGTGATTCTTGCTGGAGTCAAGGGTTGTTATGGTGGTGGCTACATGGGGATTCTTTTTCTAACACCTTCTTCTTCTTCCTTTATTATTAGGTGACAGATGCAGTCTACATGAAACTCCTTTTATTTGAATATTTGTTGTTTACTAGTGTGGGCCAGTAGATTATTTTATTTGCTGGACTGTTTTCCATTCTGTCATTCACAGTGATGCACACACATGATCCCAGGTTTGGTGAGTTGCAGTTCCTTCTGATACATTTCTGTTTTTTCAGGAGCACTTCCTTACTTTCCAGAACAACAAAGATGTTGCAGGCTCCTCTTATACTGTCCCATTTCTCTCAGTCAACCATTTCTCCAAGCAGCCTCCATTCCTTTTCATGGAGAATGCTTTTTAAAAACTAAGATTTGGTGCTGGTTGAGTTCATAGTTATGAAGGTATCATTGTTTCTAGGCCTTTTAACAGGCAGAACTAGGATGCATGTAAATGTATAATTTACTTTAGAGAATCATTACAGTTATACTACCTAATAATTCTAAGCCAAACTCCTTATCTGCCCTGGGTCCATATTTGTAACTTCTTTCTGTTGCTCCAGCCATAAGAACTCTGGCTCTAACAGCATCATTGGTTTGCTCATGTCCATGATATATGCAAATGGCTCCAGAATTGCTCCAGCCATACCACTATGAAAGACGTACTAGAAGAGTTAAAACATTTGTTTGCAGTTCTTTTTGTTTTTAGGCTAATAGTATATAGTTAGGTATTGACTTTAAAAGATACTTGGTTTCATTTTTTCCATAGTGTTGTTACAGTATTTATTTGAAACACAAGATTCATTTGTCTCTCCTTGTGTTCAGTTTTAACTTTTATTTTAATCCTATGTCCTTGTTGATTTAATTTTATTATATGAGTGTGAAAAACATGAATGCAGTTTTCCCACTGTGCTCGTTCTTCGGGCCTTTGCACCTTCTTCTCTCTGGTGCCCCTCCCTCATCCCTTCAAGCCTTTTCCCGTTGTCACCTTGTCAGGGAGCTCCTGTTTGATAACTCTGTGTAAAAAAGCAAGAGCCCCCTGCCTGATCGTTGATGTTTTCTTCCCCCCGTTATCCTGCTCTGTTTCCCCCTCTTTGGCTCACTCCATCTGCACAGCACTATACGCCTGGTGCTCTGCTTCCCTTGCTAGATGACAAGCTCCACACGGCTGCATGCACCTTGTCTGACGTGTTCACTGCTATAGCGCCAGGACGTAAACAATATCTGGGCATAATTGTCACTCGATATGTGTTGTTTGAGACCCTGAATAAATGAGTGAATTAATAGCTGAATCCCATTTATAGGGGGAAGTATGTGGCCCTCTGAGAGGAAGCAACTCATCTGTGATCACTTATGGAATGAATGGGAGAGCTGGAATTTCAAATCAGATTTCTGGGCAAAAATATCTTTCTGTTAGATCTCCTTGTATTCCTGTTGGGCTCATGTGTGTTCTTTGATTGAAACTTTATAGGGACCTTGGAAGTGTGAGGTATTAACCCAGATTTAGTGCTGATGAAGCTGGGGTTCAGGAATGATAGCCTGCATATCAAAACATGTGGGTCTTTCAGTGAAGAATGTAGCCCTGGAGTGGAGCTGGTGGGATTAGGGGTCTGGCTCCCCACCTGTAAGCTTCATACCTTCTGAAACCTCATTCCTTGCCTCAGTTTCTCTACCCATAAACTAAGCATTGTACTACCTAAATCACAGAGCCACTAAGGTCATTAGATAATGGCTCTGAAGCTTTGGCTCAGCGCTCAGCATGTGGCCTTCACGTCCAGAGTGTTTCCTTCCGTTTGTACTTATGTTGAGTTGGGGCTGTACTTGTTTCACCAGTGAGAAACTTAGCCTTAAACAAGGAGACCATGTTACTTACAGGCCCAGGTGAAGGGGTCGAACCAGACTTTGACTGTTTGCCTTTCTTTGTATGTATAGAATAGATGGTCCAAGAGGCTCCACGTATGTTCAGTTTCATTCCAGTTGAGAACGTGGGATAGGTGACCCATCTGGGCCCACGCCATGCTTTTCCCTGAAGACCTGTTGTAGACAACTTTCTTGGTACTAGTTTCCCAAGGATCTTTAAGGAGCAGGGTATGAGAACGCTTGACTTTTCTCAGCTTTATAGGAATATTCTGTCTTCTGGTCAAGATTTTCCACATAGGCTAGTTTTCATTTTGTTAGTGAGGAGCTAACTGGGTGACTGATAAAACTACATCTTCTAGGCCCAGGGTGTTTCCTTGCTCTCTTTCCTTCCCACAGCCCTCACCCTGGCCAGTGGCAGTGGGCGGCCACAGGGAGAGCATCTTTGGCACCAGCTGGCTCCCACCCCCATCCAGCCACCCCTTGACTGACTTTCAGGCATCATTGACTTTGCCAAACCCCAGGAGAGCCCACCTCTCCCTCCCTGTGGATTCTGGAGGCAGGAGCATTTCAGGCTTAACAGACAGCACAGTCCTCCTACAAAAGACATAAAGTCCCAGGAACTTCACCTCAGCTTCTCTTCTTAGAAAATAAAATGTAACGTGGAGCTGGGTCTTTGTTGGGTGCTATCTAAGGTTTCTGGCTCCTGAGTTAGGAAACAAGCTTGTAAAGAAGTGGTTTTATATTTGTGGCAGTTGCATGGCATGAGTTCTTAAAAGTTTAAATAACGACCTTCTGAAATCAGTACAAAATATTATGATTACTATGGAATAACAGATAAGCAAATACTCCTAACAGTGTGTTACCCTGGAGCTTATATGCCCAGACCTTTAAAATACATGTGTGTATTGCTTGTAGAAATGGGACTGTTTGCAACCTCTCTCTTTGTTCAGTTATAGATCACATTAATATACATTGTGTTAGTGGTCGCAGAGCATTCTTCTGTATAAATGTACTACACTTTGTTTAACCACTGCCCATTAGGTGTATACTTAGGTTGTGTCCAGGTTGGGACTGATATAAAAAGTTACATTGGAATCTTTGTGCATGTCCTTGCTATTTCTTTTATAATATTTAATTGGTAGAACCTAAGAAATAAAATGATAGTGTGGTTGTAAGGAGTAGGGATTCTTCCTTAGCTCCACTAAACTAGGGATTCACTAGGGGCCTAGGACTCTGCAGCATTTTGTGGATATGCACATTTTTCTGTGGTGAGACTCTAACTTTAGATTCTCCAAGAAGGCTGGGACCTGTTGTAGATTAGGAACTGGTATTGTAACTGAGTTTCCCACCGTATGCTGGTTTATGGTGCTTCCCTAGACCAGTGGAGTAAATGCAGAAGACAATATTGTGTCTTCAAAGGATTTTGAGTAAGGCGTGGGAACAGTACAAGGAAGGTTGTGGGAAACTTCCTCAGTGAGTTTACCATGGGTGCCAGTGTCTAGCCACAGGAACAGAAGACAGCTGCTGGGGTCTCTGGCCTTGGCCCTCCTTTGCTGACAGGGATGAACCCAAAGCACTTGTTTCTTCTCAAGGCCTTTCACAGTCTGCCTTTTCTGGGTCTCTCCCTTCCAGTGATGAGGATGCTGGAGAAAACAACTAGGAAATAAGGAATGCTGGTTTTATTGTTTACCCTTTTATGTGTTTACCATTGTTCTCAGCCCACAAGGAACTATTATGAATTCTTCTCATTTGATAGGAGCACAGAGATGAATTAACTTGTTCAGAGTCACACAGGAAGAAGCAGTATCTGAATTCGTTTGCTTCCACAACCTGTTCTCCTAACCGCCGTGCTATCTTCTCACTCTCCCATCAAGTTGGTCGCACGTCAGATGTTTCTGTGGGCCAGGCCTTGGGTTTCCCCACTCTGTGAGTGTTCACCCAGTCCCAGTCCCCTTCTGTAAAAGTGGTCCTCCTCCTCCACTTACAGAGATTCTGCCCATCCATCCGGTACGTTTCTTTGATCACCCCAAGTGGAAGCAGACTCTGGTTCTTTTTCTTCACTGTGTGTTGTTTTCAGCTCACACGTGATATTCACGTATGATCCTGTGAAGGAGGCCATCGCGAGGGTTTGGGGTGGAAAGAACAGGACTTTTGGAGTCAGATATTTGAGTTTAAACTCCAGCTTTACAGATCATTTGCCCCTTTAAGGGTTATTTTACCTCTATAGAGATAGTAGCATCCATTTTAACAGAGTTGCTTATAAAGATTAAATGAGATTATTTAAAGTGTCTGGTATCCTGCTCAGCAAAGAGGAGGCACCTGAGAGGTGTTACCATGATGACAGGGTAGACATAATGATCCAGGCTTTCAGATCAGATGGAGGATTTTGACTTCTAATCACCCCTGGAATCTGCCCTCCCCAGGGCCCCTTACCTTCTTTCCTTTATAAAGCATTCTTCCTACTTCAAATCATAGCTCTGCTTCACCTTCCCTACATTTTCCCCGATGACCCAGGCTGTCCTTCTACAGTCACCCCACTGTCCCTTGTCCTAGCATTGTCATATACTTGTCTTTTGGGCCCACTGTCTCCGCTCTGGTGTGAACTCATAGAGGGCAGGGTGGCTCCTTATTCATCTGTGGATCCTCAGTGTCTAACCTGGTCACCCGAGAGATCACTGAATGTTCACTTCCAATTCCTCATGAGAGGGAGAGGGAGCAACATTGAGGTCATGTTGGAGATGCCATCTGTGGCATTGGAACTGTGCTCTGTGTGACTGATGAGTGCTGAGCCAAGGGGTATTGTTTTAGGTGAGCACAGTATGTATAGGATGGGTCAGTGTGAGCCTAAAGGTAGGTCAATCAGTCACAAGTCTGTCTTGCATAATAATAGTCTTGTGCTTACATATGAAGTCTCATTTACATATGAAGGGGACAGCTAAATGTTTTTTTATTTGAGAAGATGAAGTCCCCCCACTGCCACAGGTTACACAGCTTTTAGGTGTACCAACAGGATTTGTCTGAGAGATGGGAGCAGCACTTTCATGACGTGCATCCTAAGCCCGACAGATGGTACCCTGTCACCTGTGTGAAGGCATTTCCACCGAGAAAGTCAGTGTATTGGTTGTTATGATCTCCCCACAAATCCCACAATAACCATTTGTCATTTAGTTTTAAACGAACCTTGTTGTAACAGGGGAGCGGGTGGAATACAGTTGCTGTTGAGTTATTACAAGTTCCCCAGTGGGTCTTTTATTTGAAAAAGGGGGATCTCATGCTGCTGGTGGCATGAGGGCACTTCTTTCTGTGGTCATAGGCTTTGTGAGGAATGGAGGAGAGGTCTTTGATGGTTTTAAATGGATTTTATGGTCAGGAGACTTAGCATGTTTAATGCCTAGCCCAAGCCAAGGTTACCGCCCTCTGAAGTTCCTGAGGGAGATGTCCCCCTGGAGAATGGAAGTATATGTGAAGTGGGTGTCGCCTGGCTTCTGCCTGATAGAACACAGATAACTCTTGGGCTCTTTGGAGGGTGGGCTGGGGCAGATGGCCCATCCTTAGGGCCTGTGGGGTCAGAATCACAGGGTCAGTTGAGTAGCCTTGGGGCAAGGATGAGGTGAACATTGCCGACTGGCTTGTTCTTTTAACAGACAGTTGTCCCTGGGACTGGGACTTTCATTCTTGCCCTTGCAATCTGACCCAGTCAAATGTGGATTTCCCCAGGAGAAGGAAGGCAGAGGACAGAAGCACGGAGGCCTGGAGAGTGTCCTCTGTGATAGAGGTCTGCCTCCCTCTGCCTCCTTCCAGGAGACCGGACTGTTTCCACCTCATTTTGGCCAGGATGTGACCTAGAGATTAAAGGCACAGATTTGTGATCCAACTGGCTCTGAGGATACCTCTGCCTCCCTTATTGATCTGTAAACCGCAGCACAGTGAGAGTGAGCATGGATAGAGGGTTGAAACCGTAAACCTCCTACGCTTCCACTCCACTGGAAAATGGAGAGGCTAATACTGTGTGCCTGGGATGGGGCCAAAAGGGAAGAGTGGATGCTAATAAACCACACTTGGCCTAGTGCCTGACTACTTGGGCTCATTTGATTCCTTCCTGGTGGTCACAGTGCCCTGCAGTGGAAGGTGGCTGTCAAGCCCTTGTTATGTATATGCTCTTGGCGCTGATGTGGCGGGCTGGTGGCATGGGGAGGGCCTAGATATCAGTGCCAGCTACTCTGCTAGTTGTAGGCGGGAACCACAGACAGAAAGCAAACATGCAAGCTCTTTTCCTGTACTGTGGTGTTTGAGAAATTTTCCTTTTAGGAGTAGTTTTAAAAATTGTATGTGTGGGTGCAGTTTAATTATAGTCTCATTTTTCAAGTGCAGCTATAGAAGTGTTTGGTTTTTTTTCTTTAGCCATGCGTCAGTTTCTTCAAAGAGCTCATCCTGGTCTGCAATTTCCAGAGTTCTGAAGTATTTTTAAAATAAAGTTGTTAGTCTCTTTGAAATCTGGGCTCATGCTTCCTTTCAAACAGCGAATAATGACATGCAGGGATAGAGCGGAGCATCTTTTTGGCCCAACAACATCCTGAGCTTTAGCTTATTTTCTTTTGTCATTTCCTTTAGTAATTTCCCCTGGTGTAGACAGTGTTCTTTCTTTTCCAAATGCACTCAAATACTCCTTTTCCTAGTAATCCTAGTTCTGAGAGTCTTTCCTAAGGAAATAATTTAAATGCAGATAAAGCTGTATGCACAAAGATGTTTATTTCATTTACTTATTAAAGTGAAAATTTGGAGATGACCTAAATATCATATTAAGGAACTGGCAAAAACTGGTACATGTGTGCCTACCATGGAATATTAGTATGGGCATTAAAAAACTCAGGTTTCTAAAGCAAATTTAGTAAAAGAAATACTTAGGATAAAGTACAAACTGAAAGAAATTAAGAAACTGCAGCATCATTTCTGCCCAGGTGCATGGAAGAAACAAGGGAAAGCAGTGGAGTTATGTGTCTGCAGGGGGGAGCAGGAAGAGTGAGCTTTTTTTGATTCTGTTGCCCTTTTCCTACACTGAGCATGTATTCTCTTAATATCAGACTTTTAGAGAAGGAAAAGGAACTGCACCCAGCGATGCCTTTGTGATTGCTTTTTTGATTCAGTGCATCACCTGGAACTAGTGCCAGAGCAGTGATAAAGCAGGAGCCTGTCGTCTGAATTATACTCCTGGTAATCCCACTTTCAATATCCAGAATTGTTATAAGGAGTATTTAAACAAATGGAACAGTGCGCCTCTGCAAATGAATGGGCAAGAAGTTATTAGGGAACACTTTTTAAAAAAAATATTTTCCTTCTTTCTTGACATTATTTCTGCTTCCAGGAAAATCAGCTGGAATGAAACCGAGTCTCCAGAATGAACCAGTAGAGAGGTAAGCATGCAGCATTTGTTAAGAAGATTATCTGGTTTTGGTTTCCTGCAAGATTTTTAAATTTATTCTGGTTGTTCCCTTCCTTTCTATACGTTTTCTGCTTCTTTTAAATGAGGTGTAAATACTTATAGAATTGACAGTGGCCCTCACAAAACCAAGAGTTCACACTGTGTGTCCATTCACGTGGCTCATGGCATTTGCTGGATGGTTTGAACCAGACAACGCATTCCTTCTCTTGGCTTCTGTGTCCCTGCAGGAAAACAATTCTCGACTCCTTACCCTGGCATTGAGCCCTTCTCAGTTGGCCCATCTTCCCTCCCCTTCCCTGCTGCTCACTCCTTTTCCCTTTCACAGTGTTCCCTGTACTTCATCTTATCTGCCTCCTTACTGTTCTGCCCGTGGCTTGCCCGGGCCTCACACTTGGCCTCCCTCCTCCTGTAGTGTGAAGTCACTCCCAGACTCCATTGGAGGGGAAATGAACTTGGCTCTTCCCAGTGCCCTACTTTCCCCCATGTCCCAGGGTCTGTTACACTCACTGAAGCACTGGCCCCTAATTACATTAAGCACCCATCCCGTGGTGTTATAACACTTTCTGCATTCATCTTTCCACTCCCAGACTCCTCAGAGGAGGAAAGGAGCTAACTGGGTATTGGTGTATGTCAGCTACTGCCTTAGGTGCTTCACATTTATTATTTCTGACCCTACAAGGTGAGCATTTTTATTTCCATTTAGGATTAGGAGCCTATGGGTCAGAGTTGCACACTTGCCATTGAGAGGCGCGAGCTAGGACTTGAACTTGAGTCTGTCATACTCCAGTGCTTGTGCTCTTACTGTTATTCTGTGTCGTCTTTTGAGGGCAAAGACCACATGTGATTGTATTCTTTCTCAGCCTGCCTCCATGACCAACTGAAAACTCCTGGGTCTTGCCCTCATTGACTTGTTAAAGGCTCTGAGAGCTATTACAGTACTGCTGTGGGGGTACCTTCCTTTTCTTTAGGGATGTGGCCTTTTGGGATCCTAGGGGCAAAATAAAGAAATAGAGATCATTTTTGGATACAGAATTTAAAAAATATTATTAACATCATGAAGGCTATTGGCAGCATTGCATGGAGCAGAAAGGGAGGTATCACAGTTCACTGGAGGATATTTTAATCAGGGTTTTTATGAATTGAGAAGAAATATTTCTTCTCCCACTGCAGTATCTCAAAGATCCTACCACTATTTCTGCCTTCATACTGACAGATCACACCCCACTGTCAGGCTAGGGAGAGGGCAAGGAAGGGCTCCCCAAGTAAGGTCAGCCTTAGCTGAAGTAGAAAGAATGAGTATAAGGGGCCCAGGGCTGCTGGGAGAGTAACCATTCTGGTGGCAAGGGAAACATGGCCCCTTGGAGCAGGGAGGCCAGAGAGGCACGTTGGGCCCATCGGGCTGGTTCTCAAGTGCTGTGTTAAAAGAGTCCCGGCACTATTCTACAGGAAGAAGGGAGTCTTTGAAGGAGCGGAAGCTGGGGCTAGACATAATCAGATTGACCATTTGGAAGACTAATTTTTTCCTTTGGTGGTTCTGGGGATTAAATCCAGTGTTGCTCTTGCTAAGACAAGCGCTGTACCACTGAACCACAGCCCTAGCCCCTGGAAGAATACTGAATCTGGAGAATGGGTTGGATGAAGGCAGTGAACTGCTTTTAGCCCTCCTCAACCAAGGTGTCTCCCCTTTCTATTTCTAACAGACTTGTTTCTTTTCTTTCTCTTCTGCGTTTTTCAGCTGTAGGCTTAGCACTCAAGGGGTCACTCTTAAGCTAATTAAATGGGTGTCCTTGGCACTTTTGCAAGCAGCAGCAAGCCTGTGCATCCATCACACTGTCTGGGCAAAGTTGCATCTGGTGTTTACCTGTTAATGAATGTGTTGCAGCTTTGGAGTCCTTTGCTCTTGTCTGAGCTCATGAATAATGAGACTGTGGCCACTGACAAGAAGTAATAGGAAAGTGGGAGAGAAAAGAGCTTAAATTAAGGAGCTTATCTATAATGGAGATTCACGTGGGCTTTTCACAGCTTTTGGGTTGTTTTTCTTCATAGCTTAGGTGGTCCTCAGGAAATACAGGTTAATAACCACATGATTGCTAGAGTGATGCTGTTGGGAACTGCTTAGGGACCATGAGGCTTTGAGAGTTTTAATTCCATAGGCCATTTCATGGCTTTGGCCCAGATGCACACGTCTTCCTGGGGCTTTGGAGTCAGATGGGCCTAGTTGAGATCTGAGTAGTGAGGTCTTACAAGCTGAGACAGTGGGCTGATTCATGATGAGCCTCAGTTTCCCCATCTCTTAAGAGGAAGCATAGCACTCTTCCTAAAAGGGTATCTGTTGGGACCCAGCAAGATCCAGAGTGTCTGGTCCAGAGCAGGCATTTGGTAAATGGCTCCAGCTACAGCTGACTGTGCCCTCTCTTGGGTGGCTCCCCTATAAGCCAGGTGATGGGGCAGACACAGTCCCCTCACTTCACCTTCACCCTTGGCTCCACACTAAACTCTGTGGAGCTCTTTTAGTTTTTGGATGTCATTGCCTAGCACTGTAGGGAAATGAGAGAGCTAATTTCAAACATGGGATGGTTACACAGGGAAAGTAACCTTGAGTATCGTGACATTGTGGCCCTGACCTGAGATCTTAGTGTGAGAAATGATGTATCTTTCAATTTAATGGTTCAGGATTGAAGAAGACAACTTCACCTACCAACATATTCTGCCTGAATCTCCTGACTCTTCTGCCTCTCATGTGTTGTCTGATGAGGAAATATCCGAGAAGGCCTCCCTCTCCCGAGATCAGCAGCAAGATAGTGAGACCGAGAAGGTGGAAATGGTAACGAACCATTTTTCTCAAGGTAAGCTAAGCTTTGGTAGGCATCATACTCTGACCAGTTTTAAACCCTAGCCTGCTGCCTTGTCTGGGTAAGCAGAGTGTGGGGACTTTCTCGATGAAAGTTCTGGAGGCCACGGCGGGACATGGAGGGACATCTCTATCGCTGGAGAAAGCCGTGGTGGTGAAAGGGTGGATGGTTGGGAGGAAGCCATTTTTTTAAATGATGCTGTTCTTGCAGGGATAGGCTGGAAAACACTGCACTTGTGTGTCAGTGCAAGTTTGGTTAATTTCCTTTTGTGTCTGTCACCCCTAAGGCAGCATTAGTTTGAAGACACTTCTGCTTTTATTTGTAGATATCCAAGAGCATTCAGCCCCCTCTTCTGATTATTTGGTCTAAGTACAAGTTTGTAATTTCTCTTCTGCTTTGTTTCTCTTAGTGTGGCACTTGGCACATGGGCCAGACCCTTTGTCTTCCTCCGTTCAGGCTACTGTAGCAGAATACCACAGACTAGGTAACTTATGAATGGCAGACATTTGTTTTTTCACAGTTCTGGAGGTTGGAAGTGCAAGATCAAGGTGCTAGGCAGCACGGTTGGGTTCTGGTGAGGGTCCCCTTCCATGTCAGAGGCTGCTGTCTTCTCACTGTCTCCTCACCTAGAGGAAAGTGGGGAAGAGAGCTCTCTGGAGTCTGTCACAAGGGTAGTTAGTGGTCACTGATCCTGCTCATGAAGGTTCCATCCTCACGAGGCACTTTCTGACCCTATCACACTGTGCTAAGGGCTTCAAGACACTGACTTTGGAGACATGGATACTCAGACCACAACACCCTTGTTCTGCCTCTGACCAAGAACTGAGCTGGTAAAATCAGTGTTCCCAATGTTCCCCGGTGCTCCCCTACCCTGTCACCTTTTCTGTATTTGGAATCTTTTTGTTGTTGTTGTTGTTTTTGTTGGTTGGATGGGTTGTTTGTTGTTTTTGGGGGGGATTCTTTTTGAGATGGTCTCACTGTGCAGCTCGGGCTGGCCTTGAACTCACAGTGTGGCCTAGGCTGGCCTCCAATTTGCAGCAGTCGTCCTGCCTCAGCCTCCCGAGTGCTGGGATTACAGGTGTGCGCCACTACACCCCAACTGCACTTGGAATCTTGATTCTTTCCTGTTAGGGTAAAATGTAGGGCTTAGTGTTTGTAATTCAGTATATTTCAAAGAGTCAAGGGATTGGATAGGCCAGACCAGATAGACAGGGGATCAGCAAACTCTTCCTATAGAGGCACGGATAGTAAGTGTTCTAGACTTTGCAGGGTGTGCAGCCTGCATTGCTGTTGCTCAACTCTGCTGTCACAGCACACAGGCAGCCACAGGCAATGTACCTTGGTGGCACAGCCATGTCCAGCTACACTTTGCTTACATACAGAGGAGATGGGCCAGGTTAGGGCCCAGGCTGTAGTTTCCAGGCCTTCAGCAGAGTGTAGCGTCTGGACCTCTCCTGAAGTCTCTGCTTGTGCTCACTCCTTCTTTCCACAGTGTGCCAGCATGGACTGCACAGCACAGAGTGGACAGTGCCCCCTGCCCAAAACTCTCTATTGACACTTGATCTCATAGGTTATGGTTTTCAAAAAATTCGAGCCTTTTTTAAGCAATTAAAAGCATGTAAGAAGAGTCCACCCAATATGTCCCTGAGACCTGAATTGAGCCTTTGCCCCGGGGTGGCTTCTGTGCCTCCCTGGTATGCACAGGCCCAGCCGCGCACAGTAGGTAGACTCAGCTGGAACATGAAGTAGACACCGTTGGTGGGACTTGGGTTAGCCTGCAACCAGGCACCTGCACTGCATTGCTTGGGATTTTTGGATATAACCCTCTGACATTGTTGTAGGGTTCTGATTCCTTGATTTTTCTCATTCATTTTGGGCTCTAGTTCTGCCTTCCCTGAATTTGGGTCAGGCCACAAAATATTTCCCTGTCTCCCTGGTGCCACCTCCTTCTGTGCTGTAAGAATCCAGCATGGAGCTCATTCCCTTTCCAAGGGCCCCCAGACTTCCTCTGAGGCCTTTGTGTGGACTCACTGGAGTGAGGGTTTGTGGGACTAGGAGAAGGGAGTTCCTTCAGAGCAGGACATGTGACCCCCTGTGCGGTGTCAGGCAGGGTCCTCCTCTTCCTCTTGCCTGCCCCCTTTTTCTACCTTCACTCTGTCCACCTCATTTTATTTCTGATATAGAGCTGTTCAGGCATCTCTGTCTGTTCCTCTAGGGACCTGAGACTTTGGCTCTCCGTGCCCTGAACGGGAATGGTGCTGTGTGCAGCCACCCTAATATACCCACCATTATCTTTTCTTGGTTTGTTTCTGTTAACCTTTTATTCTCTGCTTCTGTTTTTCAGATTCTCTGCATTGTTCATCATATTTATAATCTGTGTAGGGAGATCATTTAGTATTTTTTCTTTCCTCATTTAACATTCTAACATAAGCTTCCTGACGTGTTGTTAGATAATGTCATTTTTAGTGGCTTTAGGATAGTCCACTGAATGGCTAAACTGCAGTTTTCCCTATGTTCCCCTGTTGCTGAACATTAAAGTCATTTCCAGAATTCTCAGTTGTAAACAGTGCTTCAGGGAGTATCTTTGAACATGAAGCTTTTCCCTTATTTGGGGTCATGTTCTTAAGATACATTCTCTAAATTGGAGCTACTAGGTAAAAGATACGGTGTGTTCATGCGTGTGTGGTGATTGCTTCTTTTAGGATTATGGTTTTAAAGAGTGCATTTATCAGAAGGGTTTATTGTAAGAGAGACAGGTATTTCTCTCCCTATTTGTAAAGGCAGTTACAGTATTGTGTTTCCTTCCGCTCATTATGGCTGCATAATTAATAAACAGTGTCCAATTCACCTGGGCATGATTCCTCCAGCCCGAGTGATAGCTCCAGCTCCTGACCAAAGATGCAGTGGAAGGTGGCTGCCTTGATGGCTACAGAGCATTTATGCCCTCAAAGGCAGCAGTGTGTGATATAGTATAAACCAGCAAGGACAGTTGCGGTCCACACTGGTCAGTTGCTGACCGACTCCGGCCTAGCCACTGGGAGAAGACGTCAGGGCAGCGGAGCGGGTATGGGAGGTGCAGTGCTGGGTGCGCCAAGCCTGGGCGGCAGCAGAGCCTTCAGCGCCGTGCTGCAGCGCGCAGTGTGCTCCACCCGTGACTTGCCCCACTTCTGGCACTAACAGGAGATAGCTGAAGGTCTGGGAATTAAGTCCTCTCATAAACATTCAAATTCATGGCAAAATTACTATTTAATTAGGAAAAGATCTGTAACATTGTGCTACTTTTAAATGAAAGCCATTTTGGAGGAATTAAAACTGGGTTATAACATTAGTATAATGTTTTAAAACAAACATTACTAAGACATACTGAGTATACCCTAATTGATGAATTAAAGGCATTAGTTTTGCCTTTGGATACTTAATGTGATTATGTTTTAAACAGTGACTCTAGAAAGCTACCTCTGGATTGAAACTGTGCTTGCCTCTTTCTTTGTTACAGGGAGCTGCAACAGAGGATGAAAAAATAATATGTGCTCATTTTAGGAAATTTAAAATTTGTATCTATCATTAAGTAATATGTTAAAATATAATATAGAATTTTAAAAAGTCTAACATCTCTCACCCTGATATTAACTGCTGTTAATATTTAGGTGTATTTCCTTCTTTTATGCACTTGTCTTTCCTGCCTGTACAACTTTTTACGTACTGTGTTGAAAAACGAATTTTGTATCTACTTTAAAATTTAACATACTAACATAATTTTCCATGGTACAATAAAGTTTTCATAACATAATTGTAGTAGTTATGTAATGCTGCATCATAATGGATATACTACAGCTTAACAGTTTTGAGTTATTTTAGTTTTTACTATAACATACAATGCTGCAATGAACATTTTTGTGCATTCTGGCAAATACTTTTCAGTATCTCTAGTGATCTCTTTAAATAGAGTCCTAGAAGTAAAATTATTTGGTAAAAGACATTGGAAAAGAACTTTTCTAAGGCTAATGATATGAATAGCCCCAAAAGGTCATATCCATCTATACTCAGACTAACAGGATGTACTCTTGAGATTACCCTTCTTATTACTAGTCTTACTAGCACTGTTTTGCTTTATTTTTAAGACTTGAATTAATAAGTGATAAATGGATAACATATTCCTTTCAAAAAATTAGTCTTGAAAATATCTGAATTCATTATAGAGGCAGTTTAATCAACTCTCAGGCAATTCAGGCAGACTTGAAAGTGATCTGTTAGTTTCACCATGAGGAAGATTTTAAATTAATATTTGATATTGAGAAGAATAAAAGGGTACATTAGAGTTAGCATTAAAATTGTATGGAATATAATTTTTCCGTGTGATGTAAAATAGCTTCCTCATGGAAGGCTGCAGAGAATCATTACAGAGCTGTGTCTGCAGGCTGTGGGAAGTAGCTTGGCCTCCCCCAGCCTAGGAAAGAATTGCCAGTTGCAGACTATCTTAATACATCCAGTGCTGTTTGGAATTTCAAGATCCCTGCATAATCTATAAATTATTCAATTTGTTGAGGGCTTCAGACTTTAAATTAAAAATGTCCTTCCTTCCTGTAGATTTGCTAATGGAACACATTCAGGAAATTCGAACTTTAAGAAAACGTTTAGAAGAATCTATTAAAACAAATGAGAAGCTACGGAAACAGCTAGAACGGCAATGGTCTGAATTTGATCAAGGTAAGGAACGACCTTCCCACAGGGCATTGCAAGTCCATGAGTGCTTCCCTGTGACACGCTTGCCTAAATAAGCAGTCTGTGGCCAAGGCAGGTTCTTGATAAATGTTAATTTCTCCATCATTTCTGAAGTCTGCCAGCCTCTGGCATCCTGAATTGTGCTCGGCTCCTCATTGGATTTTGGAGGCTGTCAAGGTAGAGATAGGTGTTTTAGAAGAGCACAAAGCCACATTTTGTGTTTCTGTCAGAAATGGATTGTAAAAGTGTCCACATTTTAGCAATCTGGTAAATCTCACATGTCAATCCAAAGGGCACCAGCATTCCTGCATAGCCACAGTTACCTCTACATGGAATGATCGTCCATGAAAACTAAACGTATTTTTCCCTACAGAAAAACATTCACGTAGTTCAGCAGTTAAAACCTTTGTACTTTACCTGTTAACCCTGCTCCCCTTTCCCTCCTCCCAGCTTTTGTTGTTTTTTTCTGTATCCTTACAGAGATCATTTTAAAAATGCAAATAGAAATATAGCTTCTTATTTTCCTTCTCACTTGCCAAAAGGTAGCAGACTCTGCATCCACTATTGTGGCTTGTTTTTACTCAACAGCATATCGTGGACATCTGGCCCTATTGCTCCAGAGAGTGTCGTCGTTCCTTGAAGCGAGTGTCTGAGAGCAGCATGGGGCACTGGGAAAGGCCTGAGTTGGCCTGGGAGTTCGAGGGCCTATGTGTGGATCCCAGTCCGTGTGCTTTTTAGTTTTGTGACTGGCCATTTCGCCCCACCGACCAGTGGCCATTTAGAGGATAAATGGGGCAGTGTTGCGAGTTGGGCCTTGCTCAGTGCCTCACCATTTGGTAACAGCAGCTTTCCTCATCTTTATTTTCACTTTTAGTTTGTATAACACAACCAGTTTACCATTGCAGAGCTCTGCAGTGTGCAGGGACCCCCAAAGTCATCCCAATTTTAGCAGTGAAATTCCTGAGTTCGACAGATAGTACTTGATGGTGGCCCTGGAGTCCTCGGACCCCTAGTCCACTTTGCATTCCCCTTTAGCCCACAGCAGCCATCGGGGGCATCTTTCCAAAGTACTTGGTGGGCTTCAGTTTGCAGAGTAAACAGCAGTCTCCATCATGCCCTCTCCATCCCTCCCTCCCACTCCCACCTCACCTCACCCCTAGCCTGTACCCTCCCCCTCCCACCTCCAGGGAAATTGATTAATCTGAGTTATTAGGTGTATCAAACAAGGGACAGAAATACACGCCTGGGCCCTTCACATTCACTCTTGGTAATGCCTGAATTAGATTCATTCTGTTCTACATTTTCCCTAGCAAATCCAATTATAGAATTATTTGGGGGCTCAAATGGCCACTGGCTACAATGGAGCAGGCAATTGCTCTAGAGAGTAATTCTGTCTGACAGGAAGGTTTACAAAAAGGCATTCATAAAGTATTTACGCTAGTGGGAAGACATGCTGTTCTCACCATGTTGTCACAGTTTCTGAAAAGACAAAGAAATAAAAGCGGCTCCGCCTCTCCCTGCTGTGAAGTGTTCATGTGGGGACTAGGTTTGAAAAAGGCCTGACTTCCTGCAATGTTGAGGTGCAGTATTGTTAGAAACTGCTGTCACGTGCATTTGAGCCTCCAGCATTTGAGCCTCCAGCTTGTCACCGTTTACCTGAGGTTGCAGTGATGGTGGGGTTCAGAGGAGGTCACTTAGCATCAAAGTGGTCCAGTCCTCACCAGCTTGTGCTTCATGCTCTGGTTTGGACTGTGTCAGGCTCTATTCTTTGACCTGATTATCCCTTTGGAAAGTGACTACCTTAGCTTTCGTCATTGTAGACACCCATAGAATTTTTCCTGCTTATTCAGATGCTTCTTTGGTCCTCTTTTGGCTCTGTCCTAATGTGAATGGTGATATTAATAGAGATGGTCATAGCAGGAACAATAACAATGTAGGTAATTTTTATTGAGTGAACGAAGATTCGGTGAAGTTATGTGATTATGCTGAGGTCTTATAGCTATTACAAAACCAGAGCCATAGTTCAGCCTGGGGCCTCTGATAGTGAAGAATAGAGGAAGATGGTGGAGAGATACATTTATGAATTTAAAAAAATTATATGACATTCTCCTAAGTAGATCATTAGCAGGAGAAAAAGGTAGTGCTGTAGAGTAAGAAGAGTGGGAACTTCTGGGAGAATTGGCCATACCTTGTCTACAAGGAGCTTAAACATTTCAGGTAGTTGGTGTATAGTAGGATGCTTTCAGCTGCAGATAAGAAAATCTGAGTAAAACAGGCATAAACAAGAGGGTTTATGTTTTCTTACATAACAGGAACTCTAGAGGCAAGAAGTCACGAGGCAGGTTTTATGGCTCGGTAACAGTAAGGTTTGGGGCTGGTGTCTGTGATGACTGTGGTAATTATCAGCCTTCCATCCTCTGTAGGAAGTGTCCAAAACATGGGGAGGGAAAGGCTGGGCTTCTTTCTGGCCTTCTGTTTTTAAGGGGTGGAAAATCTTTCCCTGACCCGCAGCAGGCTTCCTTTTGGGTCTTGGTGGCCCGAAGGGGCCCCTGACCATGTTCTCACTTCAAGGTGTCTGGGAGAACAGGGGTCTGGCAGCTTGGTTGTTGTGTAGGGAGTGTTCTCAGTCGGCATGGAGGCTGGGAGGGGAATGTCGGCCTGCTGCATGGAGAAGGCAGCTGCGAATGTGAACATTATAATGGTGTGGATGAGAGAGCTGGGTGTGTGTGTGTGTGTGTGTGTGTGTGTGTGTGTGTGTGAAGGGAGCTGTCCAGCAGGAGGTGTCATCTGAGCTGGATTTAGGGGAAGGATGAGATTTTAGCGGACAGACAAGAGCTTGGTGAGGTATTTATGGAGGAGAAAGTGACCTCCAACCCAGTCTGTCTAGCTTTAGACTCTAATGTTTACATTACACACTTAGAGGCAGTGAATTTGAGCCAAGAATAGAAAGAGTGTGCCTCTGACGGATGAAGAGGATGGTGAGCATTCTACACAAAGGGAGAGTGTCATTCTGCAGTCAGGAAGGGCTGTGACCACATGGGCAGACATGGCCCAGGCACTCGGGTGTGAGTGGACATGGAGTGGGGTTTGCTACAGTTGGAACTGGCCTGTAGAGATCCCCAGATTCTAGACGGAGAAGTGTGGGCCTTGCATTTAGTTTGTCCCATTGTCTTTTGGGATTGTGTGTAGGATGATAACCCCATTGGCAGAAGCTGGGAGGGAGGTCTAGAGCAAGATGTTAAAGCCTGAACCTTATGGACACAAGAGTTGGTCAGGGTCCAAGGCATTTTGGAGGAAGAATCAGCTATCGGGATGGCCTGATTGGGCAGTGGGGCAAAGAGGAGTTTAGTATGGCTTGCTTGGTGTCAGGTGCTGGCTTGGGTGAGGGATTGTGCTGATACCATCATCTGGGGCATGGAACAGAGGGGAGAGAAAGGTCTGGAGGGGGCCGAGTTACCTCAGGCCGTGTAGGGAGCTGGCTGTAGAGGTTGAGACTGTCTCCCACTCCTCTCACCCTGGCCCAGGTCTCTGCTTTGTTCATCTTTAGGGCAGGTTAAGATATGGGAAGCCCTCTCTTGCCTCCTCGTTTAAGCCCACTCTCAGTTCCCTTTAGGCTCTGGCAATACCTTATGTAGGCCACAGAGGAATTTCCATTGCATGTTTCATTTCCTCGTTGTTAAAATTGCTGTCTAGGAGGTTCCATCCTGTTTATGTGTGTTTTTGTAGGTTCTACAAACATTTTTGCATATGGTTCAGAGCTGCACAATTCTCTGACATCAGAAATACATTTCCTGAGGAAGCAGAACCAGGAGCTCAACATGATGCTAGTGAAGGGGTCCCAAGGTAAGAATGAGAGGAGCCACCTGCAGCCTAGGCCCTGAAGCCTCCGTGTCAGGCAAAGAATGCAAGTGTTGGAATCTGACCAAGTGAGGTTCGAATCCTGTGGCTCAGTGACAGCTTTACTCCGTCTAATTGCCACAAGAGCCTTTTGAGGCACTCTTGTTTTATAGCTGAGAAATCGGCCTCAGAGAGGTTAAGGAATACCTCCTAGGGCTGTTGTGACAATTAATGGAGTAGAGCCCTCAGCAGCATCTCAGCCAGGCCCTCAGTAAATGTTACTGTATCTACTTGTCAGTCATCCCCCATCCAGCCACCTTGCATTCATCTTGGTTCACAGAGGAAGAGAGAAGGGCTGAAAATATATTACTACCAGAATCTCAACCAGGGATTTCCTACACCAGTGAGGTTTATCCAGTATTCCTTCTAAAAATCCCTTCTCTTAATTCCCTCTGTTTGGAGCTGAGCTCCTGAAGAGCTTTCACTTGTGATATCTTTCAGTACTTAAAATGATCCTTGCATCAGGTATTATTAGCTGTCTTTCACAAGTCAGAAGCAGAGACCTGGAGAGCTGCACTGCTGTGTAGTCCCAGGACTAGAAGATATAGAGCTAGAACTTGGACCAGCCTACCCCACTTTTCCTAGAGAATATTGATGCTGATTTGGCTTTAAGGGCCCCAAACTTAGAGCCTCTGCATTCATTCACTCAGCAACATTCCCTGTCTCCTATTCTCCTGTGTCAGAGCTGATGTAGATTCTTAACCAGAAATGGAAGAGCCCTGGTCCCTTCTGTCATGGGGCTCATGGTTTGATGGGAGACATAGCCAAACAACAGGGAGCATGAGGACTGGCCACAATACAGGCAGGTCAGGGAGCTGTGGGACACTGATGCCGGAGGAGCTGGTCTCCATGAGCTGAGTCTAGAAGGGTGTGGGGAAATTAGCCAGGGCCTCTCAGGTTCAGAGGAGCCCTGGCCTTTTAAATGGCAGGAAGAGAGTGGACAAGGCCTAGGGGCAGCTGTGGCTCAGCAGGAATGATGTGCATCTTGACAGGTCTGCCATCTAGGGGCTGGTCTGGAGTCCACACTAGTTTAGAAATTCTCAGGTCATGGTTAGGGTGGAGTCAGAAATCCTGGGCCGAGTCTTGGCTCTGTTGCCTACTGGCCATGTGACCACGGGGAGATGTTAACCTTACCATCCTCAGTTTCCTGTCTGGAAGATGAAGGGGAGCATAGGTTCTACCTCGGAGGGGTGCTGTGCGGATTAAGTAAGAGGTATGTGTGAGGTGTTCATGCAGCACCCGTGGTTAGTGCTGAGACATGGCAGCTGTTACTACCACCAGCACTGCTTATGGCGGGGCCCCCCAGTGTGCTTAGGAGGTCCTGTGCTGAGCCCTTCGCCTCCACACAGTGTGCGTGTGGAAACTGAGGCATGGAGGAGTGAGGAACCTTGCTCAAGGTCAAAGAATTAACGAATGCAGGAGCCACACTTGAACCCTACCACCCTGCTCTGCCTCCAGCACCCTGCTCTGGGCCTCTTTGTCTCCTGGGCCTCTGGGAATATTTTATTACTCATGAGAGATGATGTCCTTGGGCACCTTCTGCACAGCCCTGCTGACCTGGCGGGAGGCTGTGGGCGGCTTGTGATCTCTCTGCCTGTGCTGCTGGAGTCTGGGCCCTGTCTCCTGCCTCTTCCTGTAGTTTCTACCCACTCTGCTCCGTGAAGCTAAAGTAACCAGGTTTGCAAGGCCCATTATTTAATAGAAAATTAAACAGGGCCTTTTCATCCCAGTGACGTTTAATCTACAGCTTTGATGTTGACAGATTTATCTGTCCAAAACGCATAAGATAATTGGAATGCCAAAACCATAAATGCCAGATTAAATCTCATTCTTTTTTGTATTCTTGGAGTGCTTGAGCTGAAGTGCTATATCTGCGTAATAAGGTTGGGAAAAACAAATGGTATACCTTCTCACTGGCGCTTTTTGGTGTTTGTAGATAAACAGAAGGAGAATGAAAAATTGCTGGAGTCTGTCTCCAGGAAGGCTGCGAGTCTGGAGCTCCTTCAGCAAGAGTATGCCAATGTGAAAGGGGAGAACGAGAGGCTGCAGAAGGAAGTCAGCGAGAGAGAGAGACACAACCAGCAGCTGCTCCAGGACGTCCACAGTGGCCACCAGGAGCTGAGCAGGTGGGGCCCGATCTGCCCGCCACAAGCCCAGGAAACATACCAGTCCTGCCCGGTGCCAAGAGGAGGCAGAAGCACTCACGCCCTGTGTGTGGTGGACAGAAAGGATGGGGAGAAAGATCATCCACCGAGGGAGGCGAGGGCGGGGCTGAGGCTTGCCATGTCTTACCTGGGGGTGCCAGGGGAACGAGTGTCACACCTGCCTGGGAAGGTCCTTCTGACAGAAGGCGCAAGTGCCCAAGGCAGAGTGGCTGCCACCGCTGAGCAGGGAGGCCAGCACAGCTGGAGGACAGGGCTGTGGCAGGGGCGGAGGGCAGGGAGGTGGCCGGGTGCTAAATCATGTCATTGGGCCCACTTTGCATTTGTTCCGAGTACCATCAGAAGGTACTAACAGATTCTGAGCAAAAGAATGGCCTTTCCTGATGCTGATGGAGATTTTAAAAGGCCCATTCTTCTGGGTGTCTTGCAGTTTTCCCTCTTAGATTCTGTCTTGCTGAGCATGATTTCAGTTCCTCACATCAGCACTCACGAGTGCCACCCTCCCTCAGAGTGACCGTCCTCACCCTCAGCTGCCAGGGTGTGCAGGGACGTAGCAGGGCCACTGTGTTTGCCGTCAGACAGCCTTGGGCTTAGGCCTGGGCCCTTCTCCAGGGTAAGGGACGGAACTTTGAGTTTGGCTCCCCACATCTCTGCGTGGAGGGTCAGAGAGTACCTACCTTTTTTGGGGCCCGTGGAAGATGACATGAGTGGGTGTATGCAAGGGCTAGGCATGGGGCCACTTGGGAATGGTGGCTGTGTTGGAATTTTTAACTCTGCTTGTCCCATTTTGTTCGAACTCTTCTGGCCGAGGTAACACAGGCCTGTCCTATGGGGTCTGAGTAAGTTGCCCTGGGGTAGAACTAACCTCTCCTCCCATGCTGGGGGCCGTTTCAGAGTGCAGGAGGAGGTGAAGTTGAAGCAGCAGCTGCTGTCACAGAATGACAAGCTGCTCCAGTCCCTCCGAGTAGAGCTGAAGATGTATGAGAAGCTGGATGAGGAGCACAGGAGGCGACAGCAAGGTACCGGGCACCTTATGGTTAGGTCCTTTGTGTCGGGGGCTGTGAGCTTGCCTAGACTGCTGGAGGCAGAAGTGGGAGGGCATGGGCTTCCTAAGCAGCAGTGGGAAATGTTGAAGAAGGAGTAGGATCAGGTGGCAGGACAGCTATGACCCATAGTCTCACTCCTTGGATCCCGGCTGTGTGAGCTTTAGCACATTGCTTCACCCTTTGGGGCTGTTTCTGCCTCTATAAACATGTCTGCTAACATCCACCGTGTGGAGCTGTCATAAAAGTTGAATGAGGTCATTTATTAAAGCATCCTAAGCCAGTACCTGGCATGTATTTGGCATTCAAGAGATAACTTTCATCATAATTTTGCTGCTAGTACATATTTCTGTTTGCCCATTCATCCAGTGAATATTGATGGAGCACCTACCATGTACTGGACATTGCTCTGGGATGGTAGTTGGCTCTGGTTCTGTTTCAAGAGAGATGCCAGATCGGAATGACTCAACTATAAGGTCTAATGTTTCAGAATCAGTTGTGAGGTGTAGTGAGTTTTTTTAAAACTAATTTTCCAGATGGTTTCTCTCTATTGAAAGTTTATCTAGAAAGGGGTCATCTCACAGCTTTCATTTCTCCTCAAGTTGCTTTTCTTATTCTTGTTGTTGTGCCTTTTTAATATACTGTGGCTCTTAAAATCATCCCCTTTCATTCTATAATTCCAGCCCAAATAGATTTTATTACTACTAGACATAATTTCAGGGTTTGGTGTGTAATTTGCTAGGCTTTTATAGCCAGAAGTGAAAATTAATTTCCAGCTCTTATTTAGCCTGTGGAATAGCAGCAATTAAGTCAGCCAATATTTTTGTTTTTAAAGTTGACTTGTTATTTTAAATTGTACCTAGTTCTTAGGAAGGAGGAGGTGGGTGGCGATGGCAATATGAAAACACTATTGAGTTCCTTTGGTGGCTTCCCCCTTGCCTGTGGAAGATGACAAAGCTTCCCTTTGTACATGTCCACAGAGGCCAGAGCAGAAGCATTGGGGGCAGGCTCAAAGGGACAGGATCCTTGCAGTGACCTGCACGGCCTCCTGACAGAGATCCAGGCTTTGCGAACACAGCTGGAAAGGAGCATCGAAACCAACAGCACGCTGAGGAGCAAGCTGGAGGAGCAGCTGGCACAGGGGCCCAAGAAGGTCCAGGAAGGAGCCCTCCCTCTGCCTGCCCAGGCCCTGTCCATCCTCGAGGGGTCCCTTCCTCTAGACAAACATGGTATGGCTTCTGTCTCTCCATACTTTACAGAAAGTCAGCTCTGAGCATCTGTGTGTGACATGTGAGCTTCTAAATGATGCTTCTCCCCTGTGAAGGAGTCTCCATTGACAGCAGACATGCTGTTCCATAGGAGCCAGGGTGCCTGACATGGAGTTGTCACCTCTGGCAGACTGGCATAATCTCTGTCTAGGGAGCTTGGTTTTCTGGGTATGGAATTTGGACTTCCAGCCACCCTTGTCACCTGTGGTCTTGCTCACTCTCATCCATTTAGTCCTGCCCACGTTACTGTCACTCTGACACTCAAGAGCCTTTCCAGTGTTCTTACTGCTTTTAAGAGAACCTGCATCTCTTACTCTGGCTTTTAGCATCATGCGGGATCTAGAAAACCGCCTCATGGAAGCGGGGGTCTGTTTTGTTTTCTTGCAGGCTTTTCTAGCCCTGGAGAGGCTATGGAGGGAGCAGAGGGAGGATAAGACACTCCTGCCACACAACCACTTGGGCCTAGAAGAAACGAAACCGTCAAGTGGTCAGGCTCAGCGCAGTTGGTTGGACCATCCCCTTTGCTCTGTGGAATTAAATCTCAGAGAAGGGATGGGGCTTTCCCAAAGTGACACTGCAGGCAGGCGACAGAGCTGAAGCTAGACACCATTTCAGCTCAAGTCCAGTGCTGTTCCTGGTCCCTGCCTGACCTCTGGAGCCTCAGAGTCTAGGGACTGTCATCCTGATGCCCACAGTGCGGTGTGTGTGTGTGTGTCCTGCAGGACAAGAAGCGGCAACATGCTTTGTAAATAATGCTCTACAGTTTGTACTCATCTTTACTCGGATTGAGGATTAGGTCTGTTGTCTTCAATTAATTTGCAGCACTAGGGATCAGACCCCAGGGACTTGTGCATGCTAGACAAGTGCTCTACTGCTGAGTCATGCCCCCAGCCCCTGCAGCTTTTAGTTTAAAAACACAGATCTTTAAAGAAGCACCCAGTCAGTCTGCTTTGCTACTTGCAGTGATTGGTTCATTGATTTCTCTTTGATAAAGATTTTAAAATTTAACCCAGAAGATGATGCAAAAAGATGAAAAAAAAGTAAAGGGAAAAAATCCTTTGTGATGCTACACAATGATCATTTATTTTTCACCTTTGCATATTTCTCTTCTTTCATTAATTAAGAACAGCTTGACTTTATATTGGTCAGCTTGGTTGTGGGGCCATTCTGTCCTTTCTGTGGTTTTACCCAATTTATCATGCCATGAACATTCTCTCTGCTTTCACATGGCCTTCCTGATGATTGTTTGCAAATTATTGCCAGCTACCAAATCACTAAGTGATCTCTGATTTGGACTTCTATTAAACATCAATGTTGATATGCTTTCTTTCTGTTAAGCAATATTCTTAGGATAAAATCTACCTTATAAACCGTCACTGTGTCAGCAGAGAGGGCAGCTTTACCATGACTTCATCAGCATGGCCAGCACTGCTTAAAATATAGGCCGCCCTGGCCCTTTTTAGGGCTTATAGGAAAGTGGGCCCAGTAGGTTTTGGGGGTGGCTAGGGGAGATAGAAGCAGCGAGAACCATTCCTTACTTGGGTGCCTAGAGGGAGAGTGGACTAGTTGCAGTGAGGAGCCATTGAACTTCCTTTTCCTGCTTCTGGAACTTAACCAGAGGCAGCTGCAGGACATTGGCCATGGGCATCAGGCTGTGCTTGGAGCTCACGGTACTGGCTCAGCAGAGAGCCTCTCCCGTCCCCCTGTGTCCAGCTCAGTCTTACATCATGGGCAACAGTATGTCTTCCCTTGTGAGCGACGTTTTAGGACTGTATTTAAGTGCAGCTCCTTGAAGTTATGTTTTAAAGGCTGCTGTCTGGTTGAAAGTGATTTCTCTCAGACGCTGGCTCCAGGGAGCTGAAGTCCTGGCTCCTTAGCCCCAGGAACTGCACTGCACCCCTGGCAGGCACTGAGTACTGTCAGCCTGCCCCTAGAGGGGCATGGATGGAAGCTTGGGTAGAGTATCCTAAGGCCTAGACACTATTCTTGGTGTGCACTCACATGCATGATGAGGCTGGATAGACCACTTCCTGTCTCTGCCCCTTGGTCTCCTGTTTCCTGAATTACAGGGATCTGAATTACAGTGCCATTTTGCCCACTTCATTATTGAGAATTCAGTGGCTTTTCAGATGTGAATGTGCTTTCCAAGGTTTAGAGCACTGCACAGGTCAGCTATACAGTTCCTAATTGATTTTGTCTCCTAATAGTGTTTCAACTGCATCCCCCAGGTCCTACTGCGGGTCAGTTTCCTCTTGCTCAGGTTACTGCAGCAGTCCCCACACTCATTTTTCCAGTCCAAACACAGATCTCAGCAAACATAATGCCTTTGAGTGGGTTCCACAATCTTTGTGATTCTGGCCTTGCACCCTGCTGTGTCTTTCCCTGGTACCTGGGCTTTGGCCAGAGGAACTGCTTCCTCTTGAGGGACACAGTCCACACCTCTGTGACCTTGCACCTAGTCCTTTCTCTAGCTGGCATTTCTTTCCGTCCTTCTCATGGGTCATTCACAAACAATACTGTAGGTGTTAGCTTTGGGAAGCTGCATTGGAGCCAGCACCTCTCTCACCTGATGAGGCTGAGTGCCCACAGCCTGTGCACTTCCCTCTATTTACCTGTCTGATGAGAGAGTTCTTCCAGGGAAGACACTGAGCCTGGTCACTCTGCCGCTGGTGTCTTGCACAGGGCCTGGCAGGACTAATGCCCAAGGAAGATTTGAATCAATGCTTGTGTGTCTAAATAAATGTATGTATGTGTGTGAGATTCTTTACCATAACCTCATTCTGTTTGTTTTTTCTAATGATAGTGAAACTAACAGTTTGTTTCCTTCTTTTGCTTTGCATTTTGTAGGTGGTGACAAATATTCCATGGCAAGTGATAATTCATTTGAACTGTTTGATTCTACTCAGACAGTAACACGAAACTCAGGTACAGAACCGAAGTCTGGGTAACTGAGGCAGTGTTAGTGATGGCAGTAGAACTTTTTAAGTGGAAGCAAAGGGGTTTACTGGTCCCATCTGAGTATTTGGCAGGGATTCTGGATTCAGAGTCTCAGCATCTCTAGCAGATGATCTCCTCCTCCAAGACAGCTAATCCTTCCCTAGGATTTAGCAGCCTCAGCAACTTCACTGGGTTTCTTTTTTTTTTTCTTTTGTTGGTACATTTTAGATATACAATACATTTACATTTATCATTGGGTGCTTGTACCTGCACATGATGTATCTTAGTTCTTACTTTTTCCCCATTACCTGTGCACCCTTCACCCCTTCCACCCTTCCCTATTTACATAGATTTCGTTTCCATTTTTTTTCTTTTCTCAAAATTTTTCCTTTCCCTTCTTCCCTTTCTCCTTCCCCTCCCACCACCCCTACACCTTTGGACCTTTTCCTCTTTCAAATTATGAATTATTCATTTTAATCCTTATTTACACTTTCAGTTTCTCACACTAGAGAAACTACTCGGTATTTACACATGTGTGTCCTATTTATTTCACTTAACAGTATGGCCTCAGTATGCATCCATTTAGCTATAAATGTCTCTAATTTCTCATTTTTGATGGTTGAGTAGTACTCCATTTCATAAAAAAACATATCTTCTTTATCCAGTTTCCAGTTGATGGGCACTTGGGCTGTTTCCAAGCTTTAGCTATTACAAACTGTGCTGCTATAAACATGGGTG